AAATCTCATTATAAACTGTCGTCAACACTGTAGCCCTCTGAGGTTGTACTTTATGCACTAGCTGTAGGATGAGCTGCATGTATTAGTGTCTGAACAAGGCTGCTCTCCTGTTGCTCATTTCCTGTTGCCTTTGTTACTATACTCTTTAAACCTTCATTCAGTCTTACGTTCTACATTTAAAATCTTGCTTCTTTTTTGAGAGCCATTGAGTTTCTTTATACATATACATACATATACACATGCACATATTTGTTTGTTTATTTGGTGTGTACAAGTGTTTTGCCCTTGTATGTCTATGTATCATGTACATGTCTGGTGCCCACAGAAATCTGAAGATGGTATTGGATCCCTTGTCACTGGAGTTATAGATGGTTGTAACCCAAGTGGGCATTGGAATTTGAACTCAGGTTTTCTAGAAGAACAATCAGTGCTCTTAACCATTGAGCTGTCTCTCCAGCCCCTTTAGTTTCTTGAATGAAGTGCTCCTCCATAGCCCAGAACCCATCAGGGCCTGATATTTGATAGGCATTTGATAAATAGAATTTGAACACCGTTGTCATCATATTGTAAAATAGATGTTGCCTTTGCTTTAAATTTTACAAATTTAAGCTCTATTAGCCCACTTGCAGATGAATAACATTGACAGTCTTGACTTTTTGGAAACTGATTTGTTCATGTTAATTTGTGGTTGTTTAGCTTTTGGGATACTGTAGTAGTTCTGATCAATGATGGTCCCCACCTTTTTTGTGTGTGGGCAAGGAATTAACTCAGGCCTAACATATGTTAGATAGGAACTCTTCACCAAGTTACACAGTCCTCTCCCTTCTAAAATCCTTAATGTATTCTTAGAATTTTTTGGATTTGTTACGTGTGTGTGTGTGTGTGTGTGTGTGTGTGTGTGTGTGTGTGTGTGTGTATGCTTGTGTGCCAGAGACTGATTGCTAGTCTTTATCCTATTGCTTCTTTCTACTGTGAATCTGAGTATAGGATAGAGTCCTTGTCTTTGTGTCTGTCCGTGTGTGCAGGTTCATATTTGTATGTCAGATATGTTTATATATGTATACTTACATGTAGATGTCAGAAGACAACCTCAGCTGTTACTCCTTAAGAATTAATTACATTTTTAAAAAATTTATTTGTGCCTCTGTGCATGTATGCAAGTGTGTATATGTGTTATAGTTCACATGTGGGAGTTGAGGACACCTTACAGGATTTAGTTCTTGTATACTGTGTGGGTTCTAGGGAACAAAATCAGGCCCTTGGGCTTGGCAACAGTTGCCTTTCCAGATTGAGTTCATTCATCTGTCCCTCCCTCCCTCCTTCCCTCCTTCCCTCCCTCATGTATACAGTGTTCTGTCTGCAATTATGCCCGAATGCCAGAAGAGGGAATCAGATCTCATTATAGATGGTTATGAGCCACCTTGTGGTTGCTGGGAATTGAACTCAGGACCTCTAGAAGAACAACCAGTGCTCTTAACCTCTGAGCCATCTGTCCAGTCCTCTTTTTTTTTTTTTTAAAGACAAGGTCTTTCATAGGCCCAAGATCATAGATTAGGCTAGACTGACTGGCCAGTGGGCCTCAGGGATCAATTTGCCTCTGTCTACCCCCCACTGGGATTCCCAATATACACCACAATTTCTGACTTTAAAATATGGATTCTGCTGGGCATTGGTGGCACACACCTTTTATCTCAGCACTTGGGAGGCAGAGGCAGGCAGATCTCTGTGAGTTTGAGGCCAGCCTGGTCTACAGAGTGAATTCCAGGACAGGCTCCAAAGCAATACAGAGAAACCCTGTCTTGAAAAACCAAAAAAGTAAAAATATTAAAAAAAATTGGATTCTAAGGTTCGAAATGGTCCTATCAGTTATAAGGCATTTTAGTGACTGAGCCACCCCCCTCCCCCCTCCCCGTCTCTTACAAACTTTAGCTGATTTAAGGGTATAAGTGAGAAGTTAAAAGTAATAGCATGAGACAGGAAGTGAGCACCTGTCTAGCATGCAGCATGCTATGCCTTTGGTGAACACTGCCCCGACTCCCCAGACTCCATCACAAAAATGGCAGTATGGAACCTTTATAGACTGCTATATTGAATGTACAGTATGTATAATGTTAAACTTACTTTATAGAACTTGAAATGGGTTTCTCTAAAGTCACTATATTAGATGATCTTGGTCATACACTCCTGTAATTCTAGTATTTGAGAGACAGAGGATAGAGGATAATGACCAGCCTAGCCTACTTGGTGAGACTATGCCTCAAAACAGGGATCATTGTCTTATATGTCATTTTAAGTAGCAACTGATTTTGGGAATCTGTTCAGTATTAAAAGTATAATATAGATTTGTTTAGAGCGCTGTTCATTCACAAATGCAAAAAACTTGAAGTTACTTATTTTATAACTTTGAAAAGTTAGATGGCTCAATGATTAAAAATACTTGTTCTTGCCGGGCGCTGGTGGCGCACGCCTTTAATCCCAGCACTCGGGAGGCAGAGGCAGGCGGATCTCTGTGAGTTCGAGGCTGGGCTGGACCGACAGCCTCCAAAACAACACAGAGAAACCCTGTCTCGTAAAAACCAAAAAAAAAAAAAACAAAAAACAAAAAAACAAAAACAAAAACAAAAAAAAACCAAAAAACAAAAAAACCCCCAAAAAACCAAAAAACAAAACAAAAAAAACTTGTTCTTGACGAGGACCCAGTTCAGTTTCCAGCACCTACATAGTAGTTTACTAACATCTGTAACTCCAGTTCCATGAGATCTGATCCTCTCTTCTGCCCTCCTTGGACACAAGGCATTCCTATGGTATACATATGCAGACAAAACATTCATACACAAAAAATAAAATAACTAAACCCAAAAATTTTAAAAGAGCATTATAAACAAAATTATGAATTAATTGTATATATTTGTTAGAAATTTGTCCATTCATGTCTACTGAATGTTTTAAAATAGAGGATATAATGGGATTTTCTTTGGAGACACAGTCTCATGTATGGCAGTGTATTTTCCAACTTGCTGTGTAGCTGAAGATTACCTTGCAGTTCTGACCTGCTCCCATCTCTCCAGTGCTGGTGACTGCAGCATGTCCCATTGTTGCTATTTATGAGGCACCAAGGATAGCCCCATGACATATTTCATTTTAGGCGTCCCCAGCTTTATAGTGTAATTCTAGGTTGTGGAAATGAATAGCTAGTCCCCCCCTCCACTGCATGTAGGTGAACATAAAAAGAGTTATGGAGGTATGGAGGGATACTTTGTAAATTTTAATATGTCAGTTGAGAATAATCTTTGACTTAACTGAAAATTATTATGTTGTGGATATGGTGAAATGGCAAAAGCTAGAGATGAAATTGAATTAAGTAAAAGTTGTGGGTTGAAATGTCTAACCATATGGTCTTTCTCTACCAGAACCTCTAGACATTTTGTTGCCTCCCCATTTTTTGGGGGGGGGGGAGGCAGAACCTTATGTAGCTTAAGCTGACCTCCAATTTACTATGAAGCTGAGATTGACTTTGATCTCCTGACTTTTCATTATGATTGATTAGTTAACTTTCAAAACAGTGGTACCTTTATCAGTTGTTCCCTGTTTTGAGGTAGGCTTAATTGATTTAGTATGATACACAAGGTAATACTATAGGGGGAAAAATCAAGTTTGTAATTGAGACAGGATGGATGGGTCTTTATCCCAAGCTCCCCTTCCCAGGCCATTTAGAAATTTGTGTTGGTTTCCTCAGTGTCCTTTTTGCCACTACACACTTAGAGCAGAGTACTATCCACAGGGACTTACAGACAACACTCGAGGAACTGAGTTAAATAAGCCATGGATGTTCTGGGGAAAATTAGGAAGGGAGAAACAGAAAAGTTTGGGTCAAAATACTAGTACTAGATAGTACTAATTATGGAGGAAAAATGAACTGGTTTCAAAAGAAGGCAGTCAAGAGAGGCACTTGGCCGAGCAGAGTCATCTTAAGATCCCAAGTTGTAGGAGTTTGAGTTGGAAACATTTGGCTAGGTGGGGTTTGAAATGTAGACCAGCCTGATCTACAGAGTAAGTTTCTCAGGGCAGCCAAGGCTATATAATGAGACCCTGTCCTGCCTCCCCCATTCCCCACCCCCCAAAAAAATGGAAGAAAGAAAAAAAGATAAAGGTGAGAAGACTAATCTCATTTTTGCAGCCAACTCTAGCTTTAGACAAGACATTCAGAAGGAACTATGTAAGACAGTCTCTCCAGAGCTTACAAGTCCATTAAACTTGCTCTATTAGATTGATTGGGAAGGAGCAATCTAGGGTCTGGACCTCAGGATTGAGTAAGTTCCTTAGTGCTTAAGTTAGATTTCCTCCTTTAATCCATAAGAAAAAGGAGCAGAGCACTCTTGCTTGAATTGTTCTTAGAGTTCTCCAGAAGTGTTGCATCAGGAAATAATTCTAGGGAACCATGTTATAATTAGTAGCTGGGTTCAAGCTTTGGGGCTTGTGAGATTTTGTGTTTGTGAGATTTTTCAGTACTTATGGTCATGATGATCAAGTATACTAGAACAGGATTTTCCTCTCATTTGTCCCTAGATGTTCCCTGTGTCCAAGGGGCTTCTCTTACAGTTTAAGACTGCTGTCTGGACTTGAGTCCATACCCAATCCCAAGGGTTCTATTTCCGTCTTCTGTGTTAATAGCACCGGTGGAGTTTACTGCTTTGAGAACCTATGTGATCATATGTGATGCTCTTCTAGTAAGTTAAAGAGGAAAATAAGTTGCTAAGTGATTTTTTTAGTATTTTCATAGAATCTAAGTAAATAAGATAAAAACAATACCAAGAATGATTCCTAATACCAACGTGCACAGGCCCTTTGCATCCCACATGTGCAAACATGCAAGCTCAAGTGCACACCACAGGGAACTTGAGATTATAAACAGATCACATGTTGTCTGGCTGTATGTTCTGACTTGGTATTCTTCACTTTCTCTTGACATTATTTAACAAAGATATGTTTCTATTTAACAGGTTTTCCCACATACAAAAATCATTTTAAAAATACGGAGAATGGCAGCAGAAACGCAGACACTAAACTTTGGGCCTGAATGGTGAGTTCAGTCTTGTCCTATTTGGCATTGAATGACATAATCCACTAATATGACATATACAGGTGCTGGGTGGTATATAAATGTGCATATTTCTGAGACTTGTTTCATATGTATATTTTAAAAATGTAACTAGCATATAGTAACTTATATTTGGTAAAGGATGGCATTCTCTGAGTTTTTTCATGGTTTGGCTAGGTATTAATAATGAAATTAAAACTATAGTTCCACTACCCTAGCAAAGTGTTTATTTTTTAGCCTTTGTGTATGTATCTAAACAATTTTATATAATTATAATAGTGATACTTTAATATCTATGTTTTCTGCTATTGATATACTTTTTAATGGAAGCATTTGGAATTTTTTTATTGATGGGCTAGGCAGGTGGTCCAGAGTTAATACTGGCTATTAGCAGTAGCCCATCTAGAGCTGAGTTAGCATTTGCCTTTAATAACAATTAATTGACCTTTGAGTCTCTTACAGATATATTTGGACCCCGAATATGGAATTCTCATGGAATTTTGAGATCCATCACATTATAGTGTGGCTTTCCCCCCTCTTCTTTCCCCCCCAAAGTTGGTGATTGAAGATCCTCTCTTCAGTGGCGGGCGTGAATAATAATAGTTAATTTTCCATTCATACTTGGACCAAGCCCCTTTGGTAATGTTGAAGGCAGTACCTAAAGGAGGAATTTGAGTAGCATCATAATTCTTTGTGTTTAGGTTGTGGTTTGTAAGACTTCTTCTATACGATTTCAATCTTGTTTGAGGAGTCTTATGAACTTACTTGGTCATATGCACTTTTCATATGTAATTCCTAGATATTCTTAACCATCATAGTTAGCATTTGGAGACAGAAGGAGAAAGCATTTTTAGTTCTCAGAATTGACACACTGCCTATAGTTTAAATTTATTTTGAAAATGTTGATCTAAACAACGCTACACCTGTTTCAGTCATTTTATATTTAAAGAATTTTCTTATTACTAAATCACTGTTTCTAGGAAAATCAGAAATTATAAGTAAGCAAGGAAAAGGTATAATTACCTTAATTTGATCCTTAGTACCCATTGTAAATATCTTGGTGTGTCTCTCCAAGTGGTTTTATGTATCTTATTTGTGAATATGTATATTTATTTTCACAAAATGGGGTCATATTGTGCATTCAGTCTTGTAACTTAAAAAAAAACAAAAACATACAAACTAAACAAAACCTTTTTCAATAATGCTTTTTTTGGTTATATTAAATAGTTTCATTGTATCGATGTACTATCATTTAACCAGTTCTCCAGATGTAACATGTAGAGGCTATTCTCAGCTGTCAGTAATATAAAAACATTTTAACATTCTTATAGCTAAATCTTTATTCACGCCATAGTAACTTCTTTAACCAGGTGGATTTAAATTCTTGTAGTTTGCATTGTAAACCATTGTGTTTGCAGCTGTTCTGCTATTATTAATTACTTGGCTTTTGTACTTGTACATCCTCACATGTTTTTCTTTGTAAAATCATGATTAAAATTGTTAAGTCATTTAAAGGGTTTTTTCTTACAGCATCTTGCTAATAATACATAGTGAAAAAGAAAACAAAATTTAGCCAAAACCAAAGAATTAAAAACAAAACAAAGCCGGGCGTTGGTGGCACACGCCTTTAATCCCAGCACTCAGGAGGCAGAGTTAGGTGGATCTCTGTGAGTTCGAGGCCAGCCTGGTCTACAGAGGGAGTTCCAGGACAGCCTCCAAAACAATACAGAGAAACCCTGTCTCGAAAAACCAAAACCAAACAACCAAAAAACAAAAACAAATCAACCAAACCGATGATATTCTTGGTTTTTTTTTTTAACATCTTACATCACTGGTTTGCACGTGGAATCCTGTTGGAGTGTAAGTAAAGTTTTGTGAATAAAGTTTTATTGGAAGATAGTCATGTTCTTTTGTTTCCATGTTACCTTGATTTTGTACTATTCTGGCTGGAATGAGTATTTCTGCTAGAAGCAACCTAATTCTTAGAGCTTGTACATTTTCTCCTTGGTCCTTTGCAGAAAGTTTGCTGCTCTGACATGTGTTATCAAACATCAAATCATTTGCAGGTATCTTTTTGTCATTGGCTCAGTCTGTCAGTAGTGTCTCACATATCCTCCTTATTGTACCCTGAATTATTACAGGGTAATAATAAATTTGAACTGAGGTAACTTTAGCAGAGGGTGGTCATCAGCCCTGTCCTTAAACAGAAACTTTTAGTTGTTACCTAGGCTAATCCTGTAGCATTGGTACTTAGGAGCCTTTACTGAGGGAGGAGTGGAGAGCTAAGTAGGCACAGCCTTACTTGTGCCATCCATCAGTTCTTTTTAGCCAAGATAGTGTATAAGGCCCTTAAACAACTGAGTAATCCTGTACTAGAAAGCTGACCTGTCATTGGAGACTTCTGGCATATTTTCTTCATGTAGCATGTTCATTATGAATCTTAATGTAAGGAACTGTGTTCAAAATAGTTGAGAATCAAGGAACAGAGTGATTATATTGAGTCATTTTGTAACTCTGAAACAGCAGAAACATTTAATGGTTTTTTATGCAGAAGCCACCATTCTTGTAATGAATAATAGAAAATACAGTGCTTAATAAGAGATGCATAAAATGAAGTTTTTTCTCTTTTAAAAGATTTTTATCTTCATTTTAAAAAATATACTTGTAATTGAAAATTTTCTCATTTCTTTCCTCCCTCTAGTGCTTATCTGGGGCAGTTGTGTTGATATGAGAACATTGAAAATTGTAGGGAAGAACCACACCTGTTTAGCCTTACTAAACCCAACAGAATCGTTAGGTTGTGGATTGTTTATTAGAATCAAGAAATGCATTACAGATTCACCAAAATAGTGTAAAACAATATGACATAGTTAATGAAGAAAATAATTTTTAGGTATATTAAAAAAAACCACCTCAATTTTAAATGCCTTTCTTCAAATGTTACCACTTTAGACTTTTTGACTGTACAGCTTGTCCCTTCTCCCTCTTACTCCCTAACTCCTTTAGTGTCTATATCAAAATGTGAAATGCTAAATACTTCTTGTTCAGAACACAACCTCTAGCTTTGACTAGACTGTGAGCTCCTTTGTGAGCAGGCATTTGATCTGTATTGTTGTATAGTTTGTTATTGCTGTAGCTCCAGTGCCTGACTCTTCGGCACTCAATAAATGTTTATTAAATGAAATAATGAATTGCTGGAAAGTAAAGTTTTTCAGTGTTTTGTTATTGTAAATGATGTGTATGCTTCTGAATGATTTTACTTATATGCTGATAATTTTCCTTGGATTAATTCCCTTGAAGTAGTATTATTAAATCAAAAGTTTCATTTTTAATTTAAGGTTTAGATGACATCACACAGATTGACTATCAGAAGGATAGTGTGAGCTTACCTCACTTCCTCTGCATGTTGATGTTATCTTTGACAAAACACCTTTTCTGTTTATTTATTTATTTATTTTTGATTAGGATTTATTTGTGTAGCTCTGACTGTTCTGGAACTCACTCTGTAGACTAACTAGGCTGGCCTCAAACTCACAGAGATCCACCTGCCTCCGCCTTCTGGGTGCTTAAATTAAACTATCTTGATAAGTTGCTTTGGTATTAAATACTTTTGATTTAGATTAAGTCTTTTAGAATTTTTTTTGTTGTTCTATTGACAAGAAAATTTGGAGGAAACAGTAGTATGAAGAAAAGTAGAAAAAGTCTAAATTATCCGTAGTCCTATCACTCAAACATATATACTTCAAGACATCTAAAAGTCAAATTTACTTGAGAAAAATTTAAGGACCAGAAAAATACTCAGGTAATTCCAGATGACTTTATTCTAGGGAGAATAATAACAGACACCTTGCTTTCTGGGAAGAAGACACACAGAAGCTCTCCTAGGGTTTCCTCACAAGAAGAGAGGGAGAGGGCACCTCCCCCTAAGCACTTTGGTTATACCTTTGTTAAAATAGTTAACCATTTTGAGTTATGTCTCTTTTCTCTGTGTGGTTGCCTTAGGAAAGAACTAATTCCATATTAAAGACACTTATCTCTGTTTTGGCCAATATTTTGAGTTACTGCACCAGAGTTTTTAGTTAGGTACTTCATAAAGCTTTGTTCGGTGAAGTCATTCAGGCTTCATTGGCAAATGTGATTGGGACATGAGAATGTAAACCTGAAACTGCTATAGACAGTCATTACTCCTAAGAAAAATACAAGTTCTGTCAGAATGCCTTACTTTTTCCAGTTCTCAAAAAGGGTTGAAGAGACAGTGAATGAGGTGCTATCCAAAGGAGCTGTACTCTGGAAGAGAATATTTGTTTAAAAAACAAAACAAAACAACCCTACAGTCAATTGCCTGCTTCAATTATCCCCCACCCCCCACAATTTTTCTGGCTAAGTGTTAATTCAGCTTTTTCCTGTATTTACCAGTTAACTTTTGTTGTCTCTAGTATCTTTCTTCTTCCCCATTCCTGATAAAGGTTCAGAAAAATATTTGAATATTTCTGGCTGTATAAGGGGCATGTTAAAGACAAGTATGCGAGAGATTGCAGGTTTAAGAAATAAACTTCAAGACATATGCCTTTAATGTTGGAGAGATAGAGGTGAGTTTGGAGACACCCTTTCGTGTGACTTGTTAAGTTGTTTGGCTGTTGTGTACCAAGAAAGAATTGGTGAGTTTTAGTCAAATTTTCATTTGGAATAAGAGATGTAGAAGATAGAATAAGAGTATATTGTTCAAGATGATTATAAAATGTGTGAAAAAGATTTAGATCTGTTGTGAAAGATTTAGAATTAAGACATCATAAATGGGTATAGAAGATGGGCGGTAAAGTTGATGAGCCCTGTGAATGGAGGTTGTGAAGAGATGGGGATTAAGAAGTTGATGAGTAAGGTGTTGGGCATGTTGTACCCCAAAGACTCTGTGTGTGCATGTGTGTGTGTATGAGTGTATGTGTGTGGGTGTGGGGTTTTGGAGGGTCCTGCTTCTGGTCCCTGTTAGTTCTCTTGTAGGCTGGAGAGGTGAAGGCCATGGGCTTAGAACATTTTTCTTGTTTTTTACAGTTTAAGGCTGTTGATGAAGTTCGTAGAGCAGTGCAATGGTGAGAAGCTAGGTTGCATTGGGTTTTGAAGTTACAGTGAAGTAAGGAAGTGAACAAACTTCTAGAATAAAGAAATATGACTAGTACAGAGCTAGAAGTGAGGTGATACATTACTAAGACACTGATATATATTTATAAAGACTAATGAAGAACACAAGAGATCAGATTTCTAGAAAAGAGGATTGTATGGAAGAGATAAAGGTCACTGGTAGGCTTTGAGAAAGGAGATTACCCACATGCAGTTCAGCTTTTCCATGTATCTGGGTGAGGGGGGACTTGGAATTGACTTTTGATTCAGATCACAATGGTTATTCCAACTGTCTTTCTTAATTGCTTCTGTCTCTTCATAGATACTGAAGAGGAAGCTCTGATCATGTTATAGTTAGTGGATATGATGCCTGTAAAAGGTGTTGGTCCTCTTTGGGAAGCCATTGGGGTCTGTTGGAAGTAGTTAGGGCTACTAGGCTATAAGGGAATCTCTGGTAAGAAGACCTGATTCAAACAGTCACCAGGATTTTCACATGAAATGGCTCAGGTGTGCCCTCTAGTGTTAGGAACTATTGGGAAGCATTTTGTCTTAGTACCATGTGGAAGATATTTAAAAGTGATTGCTAATATATTAAAATTAATGCCTGTCAATTAAGTTGGCTATTGAAAATAAAAGTTTGGGATCTCATTGGTTATAGCATAGTTATTTAGTCATAAAAATCCTAGGCTTGAATCTTAGTTCTGTTGTGACTACTGAGATGTAGTAGTTTCCGGCTTCACTTTTTGTCTGTTTTTCAGTGCTGGAAGCAGAACCTAAGGCCTTTTGTATGCTTAGCCCTGCTCTATCAATGAGCTTCACACTTCTTATATTTTACATTATGGTCTTTATAAGCTTAAGTTGGATCAAATGAGCTAACGTATATATTTTCCAGCTTCAGTTCTTAGAGACAAACTCTGCCTACTTTTTTAAGGACAGGTTCAATTTTTTTCCTGTGTGAGCACGTGTGTGCACATGTTTATATAGATGAATGCACATAGAGAGCTGGAGAGCAGAGGTCACCATTGAAGGTCATCCTTTTCCTTTTCACTCCATATTATTTTTTTGAGACAGGTTCTCATTGAACCCGGAACTCTGGTTGAATAGACAGGCTGGCAGTAATGCAGCTTCTCCCACTTGCCTCCTTCTGTGACCCCCTTTCCTGAGTTGCAATTACAGACAGTTGTCACCACACCTGCCCTTTCTAAACGTGTGTGAGCGGGATCTGAACTCATGCCTTGCACTTGCCTAGCAAGTTCTTTACCCACTGAGCCATATCCCCAGCAGACAGAACCCAACTTTTGAGATTGTAGTGGGAAGAACAGTTTCTTGAAGATCTTTCATTAGTTATTGGCTTTCTCCTTTGAGAAGTGCTTTTCTGTCTTTAGTATGTCCTTTGGGCACCGAACTTCATGTCTGTCAAGAAGAATTTGAAAGGAAACAAAGACCAGTTCAGTAGTTGTGAGCACTCTGCCTGGTACTTCCTTTGGGGTAATGGGGGATTCTGGGACTGATGGAAGAAATTATTTAAAATGACCCTGGAACACTTTGGCAGAAGATACAAAATAAGCTTTACAAAGACTTAATAGGGACATGTCCAAAGGGGCCAACAGGAGCCATTTGAAGAGTTTCTTATTAGTAGTCAAAGATGAGATAGTGGGGGGAACATTATTAAAAATAGTTTCACTGAATTTAAATACATAAAGAAGTAATTCCTTACTGTTGAATATTATTTTGAAAATAAGAGACAAGTTTTTTCTTTCCTGTATAAACTAACATTGAGCCACTGTGCCAAATAGTGTAAGAGATGTTTCTCTCTGCAGAAATGCTACAAGAAAAGAGTAGGTGTGGCAGAATAGAATCACAGGCAACAACTGTAATAAAGTGAGGAATCTAAGCATGAATCATTAGAACATACTAGCAGTTCAGAAAACCAACTAGGCATTGTCTGTCTGTGATGGAATAATATACTACCACAGGGGAGAGATTGCCAAAAATATGCAACGCATCTTAACAGGATATACCCACTTATCAATTTAAATGAAATAACAGCAAATTCAAGACTTCAATTTTTGTTGTTGTTGTTAAACAGTTTCTCACTGTAGCTTTGGAGCCTGTCCTTGAACTCTGTAGACCAGGGTGGCCTTGAACTCGGAGATCCACCTGCCTCTGATTCCCAAGTGCTGGGATTAAAGGTGTGTGCCACCACCACCGGCTTAAAAAAAAAAACAACTTTGTGTGATAATTTACATATAAAATAATAGGTCAAAAATTTCCACCAAAATAGCTTCAAAGGCTTAGTGGCATGTTACTGAGAGTCGGGTTAGCCATGGATTGCTTATTTTGGGCTTCAGTGATTGGTACATGTGAGTTTGTTATGTGCTTCTTAATACTTCTGTATGTTCAGAATTGTTATGTTTCTAAATAGGATAAGAAGATAGAAACCCTGGAAAGAACCATTCTCACTGTATTGTACTAGTGTTTATTTTTTCTTCAGTATTTTGCATGTAAACATGTTCTTATGTTTGCTATGCATGTGCCATTTTTGAATAATAGGCAAATATTTCTTCTATTTTAACTGGTCTTCATGTTAATTTTTAATGTTTAGCAGTTTAGAGGATATATTTTTAGGATGTCTGTTGAATTTTCCATTAGGGTATACCAGATGAATTAAAGTAACTTAGCCTTGGTGTCTGTTACTGTACAGAACTTTGGGCAGCCGACAGTCAGTTGTTTCTAGTGTAGTTGGAATCAACCAACCAAATCTATCTGCAGCCTATCTACTTTCCTTAATTCTGTTTTTATTTTTTGTTTTTGTTTGTTTTTCTTTTGAGACAGGAACTTACAGAGCCTTGGCTTCCCGACTGCTGGGATTAAAGGCATGTGCCACCATGACTAGTTTAGGAGCTTATTTTTTTCTAGTTTTGCTGAATAGTCATCTGGCCCTGGATCTTTTTTTTTTTTTTTTTCTTTTCATAACATTACTTTGGGCTGGGGAACAGCTCAGTTAAAGAACCTACCTAGCTGCTGGTGTGAACGCAGTCCTGGGTTTGACCTTAGGCACTTGCTAAAACTGGGCCTGCTTGCAGGCTTGCTTTTAGGAGGTGAAGGCAGGAGGAGCAGAAGTTCAAGGTCATCCTTGGCTACCAAGTGGTGAGTTCAAGTCAGCCTCAGCTGTGAGGGACATTGTCTCAAAAACAAAACAAAAAAATCAAACCCCCAAACCATTATTATGTTGGTAGTGCTGAGATTCAGATATGAGCTATGCTGATCCCTCAAGACATTTTTAAATTACTTTTTAAGTTTTTATACTTAGCCTTCTCTTTATGTTCCATACTTTATTAAATATTTTCGCTATTACTAAGTAGCCAAAAAAGCTTTTAAATACTTAGCTTAAGTACATTCTTGGAAGTGGCTATTGCAATTTATAGTTTTTAAACACCCCCCCCCAATCTTTCTTTTTAGTCTTGGCTTGTCAATCAGAAAGCACAGGAACATTTCATGTATTCATAGACCTTATAATCCTCAAAAATATTTTTAATTGTGTGTATACATGTGTGTGTATACATGAGTACAGGTTTTGGATCTTCTGGAGCTAGTTACAGGCCCTTCGAGCTGCCTGATGGAGGTGCTGGGAACCAGACTCAAGTACTCTGCATGAGCAATGTGTACTCTTAACTGAGACATCTGGGAGGTTGGGGTGTCCGTCCCGCCCCCCCCCCCCCCAGAGTTTCACTGAGTAGCACTGGGTGTCTTGGAACTCATTTTGTAGTCCATGCTGGCCTCGAGCTCAGAGATCTACCTATCTTTGCTTCTAGAATGCTGGGATTAAAGGCATAAACTACCATGCACGGCTTACTTAAACGAACAAACAAACAAAAAACCATGTGTGTTTGTACATGTGGTCTTTGGCACATGTTTAAGTCAGAGGACAATTTCATAGTTGGTTCTGTTTTTACCTTTATGTGAGTCCTAGGGATTTAATTCTTGTCTGCAGACTTTTGAGCAAGTGCCCTTATGCTGAACCATTTTTCTGGCCTGTGACTTACGATCTTATGATCCCTATTTGAGTGTTTCTATTGTTTAATGTTCTTGTTGATACTTAGTAATTTTTTGTGAGTCTGATGGTTCCTGGTTTTGTGTTTTTGGTTAAAAAACTCTCCAAACTTGAAGCTTCATAGAGACAACTATGGCATCTTTCAGGTGTTGGAATTGCTGAGTTATCATTGACTGTCTAGTTAGCACTTAGTGAACTTCTCAGAGTGCTGTAGCAGAAGCTTGTAATCATCTTTGCTGTTTAAGAGAATGACGTTTTTTGCTTTTCTTAAGAACTGCAGTGAATTCTTACCCTGTATTATATAAAAAGCCCCCAGTGTCATAATATCTGTCTGTTTTTCCTGTTTTAGGCTCCGTGCTCTGTCCAGTGGTGGGAGTGTCACATCCCCTCCTCTTTCTCCAGCACTGCCAAAGTATAAATTAGCTGATTATCGTTATGGCAGAGAAGAAATGTTAGCACTTTTCCTTAAAGACTACAAGGTAAGAAAATACAAAAAGAGTTGAGAATGTTAGAAGAGTCAACTCTGGACAGTGATACTTAGTCTGTGTCTTTTGGACTCCTGCTTATTTCCATCTTACCCCTTTCCTGCATCAAAACACACACGTGGTTAATTGTGACTGAGGGATGTGCTGCCCTGAGAGAAGACTCATGATTCCATTATGGGAACAGGTGCCTTTGTGGCAGCACTGTTTATTTATCTCCGTCTCTCTCTCTCCCTTCTGTAACGGGTAGTCTTCCTGCCAGCCACCTGGGTCCCGAGCTGTCTCAGCCCCCAAATAACACACGAAACACTATATTAATTATGAAGCTGTTGGCAGTTTTCTTGGTTTCTATTTGGCTAGCTCTGACTTAATTATTAACCCATAACTGCTAATCTGATTATTTCCACATGGTCTTCTCTTACTGGAGAAAAGGATCTGGACCTCTTTCTTACTTCTCCTGCGTCATACATCGTGACTGTGTCTATTTTCCAGAATTATCTTTGAGTCCTAGTCCCATCTGGCCAACAGTGCTTTACTAATTAACCAGTAAGACAACATATACACAAAAGGACTTCCCCCTTCCCCCTTCTCCATTTTTTCCCCCTTCTCTCCATTGTCCCTTTTACCTTCCTTCTCAGTCGTGGTCCAGGATTGAGGGAGGACCAACATTCCTCTTCTGCACTCCTTAAATAGAAAGGTTTAGTAGGGAGAACTCTTGAAATGTAACACTTGCTTCACTTAAAAAAGAACCAAGATGAAACAATGTAGGGTTTTTAATTTGATCAGGGAAGATGATATCTTTTGTTTTTCTAGATATACTTTGTTTTTGATTTATTAGTTGATGGGGAATCTCAAAGTTTAGTTGCTAAGGACAGACACAGTTGCTTTGAAATGTCCCTTTCCTCTGTTTTAAGTGAAATGTGGAGATTTTTATTTATCTATTCTGTACTTTAGGATACCAGTTAATTCTAAGTTTAAAGGAAGTGGTTTCATGGGTGCAGACAATGGGTGTCTTGATATTTTATTTTTTTGAGACAGGGTCTTTTTAGCCTTGGCTAGCCTAAAGGTCCCTGTGTAGACCAGACTGGTCCCAAACTCAGAGATCTGCCAGCCTCTGCCTCCCTCTGCTAAGATTAAAGGTGTACCACTATGTTTGACTATGATTGGAGTTTTTATGTAAGTACTGCATAACTAATAGAAGTTAATTGTAATTGAATAAGCTTTAATGTATTTATAATAATCATTGCAAAAAATTAGTGTCTGTAATTTATCTTCTGTAGTTGGAGAAATGACAATCTCATGGCCTTGTGTTTATCACACAGATACCTTTTGACCTTCTGGAGAAAGAATTTTTGCCTATCCTTCAGGAGGAGCCCCTGCCACCATTGGCTCTAGTACCCTTTACAGAAGAAGAACAGGTTTGTACTTACTCGGCCTCAGGTTTAACTCTTATTTCTCTTGCTCCAGTATGGATCTGGAAAGTCATTGCTAAGGGTATCCTAAGGGTAGCACCACATACGCTCAGGTTAAACATCTTACTGATGTTTGGCATTGAGTTGCCAAGGCTTTGCTTTAGATTCTGAAGCTGTTGAGTATTATGCAGAGGTCAGGAAATCTTCCTAGATTTTTTTTTTTTAGTTAAAAATCTTTGTTTAATTTTTGTATGTGTATGGGTGTTTTGCCTTTGATATATGTCTGTGTACCACATGTCTTGTGTGCCTGGTCCCCAAAGAGGCCAGAAGAGTACTTCAGAGTTATAGATGGTTGTTAGCCATCATGTGGATTCTGAGAGTTGGACCCTTGTTCCCTGGAAGAACAGTCAGTGCTCTTAACTGCTCACCTGTCTCTATAGCCCTGTTTCTAGATTTATTTTTATTTTTTTTAAGTTTTGGTTTTTGAGATAGGGTTTCTTAGTGTTACAGTTCTGGCTGTTCTGGAACCAACTCTAGTTCAGGCTGACCTCGAACTCACATAGATTTGCCTGCCTCTGCCTCCCGAGTGCTGGGATTAAAGGCGTGCGCCACCACCGCCCAGCTGTTTCTAAATTTTTAAGGACAATGGGAACTATCCTTTATGAAATACTCAAGTTGAGGGAAGTTTCATCACCCCCCCAAGAAAGAAAGGAAAGATCATCTTTGTAGAAAAGCATACTTTTTCACAGATGATTGTCTCACCAGTGAATTCATTTAACCATTATCAAAAAATTTAAATCTTCAGCTTAGAACATACCTGAAACTTTTCTGTCAGCACTGCGCTTGGTGGTTTCATTTTATAGTTGTGGTAGTAATGTTTGGTCTTGAAGGTGGCAGTTTTATGTAGTGACTTTAATTGTGTATAGATAAAAGATTGATTTTAAGGACTTTAGATACTGCACTGCAATGGAAAAATGAGATTGTGTTGGAATTCTGTATTTCGTGTGAAACGAAGAATCCTCTCTGAGTGCTGGGATTATAGCAGCATGTTTTACTTTATGCATTGCTGAGAATCATACTTGGGGCTTTGTGTATGATGAGCAAGTGGTCTACCATCTGAGCTGTATCCTAGCCATTTGACTCTTTTTCTAAAAAATCTCTTTGAGACAAAGTCCCCATCATAAAATTGACCTTTTAACGTTTTGAGACAGGGTCTCATGTAGTCTAGTCGACCATGGCCTTGAGCTCATAGCTGAGGATGACCTTAAACTTCTGATCCGGCCTCCACCTCAAGTGTTGGGATTATAGATGTGCATCATCATACCCAATGAAGTCCATCTTTTTTTTTTTTTTTTTGGTTTTTCGAGACAGGGTTTCTTTGTATTGCTTTTGAGGCTGTCCTGGAACTAGCTCTTGTAGAACAGGATGGCCTTGAACTCACAGAGATTGACTGCCTCTGCCTCCCAAGTGCTGGGATTAAAGGTGTGAGCCACCAATGCCCGGCTAAAGTCCATCATTTTGTGTGTGCAGATATATGTGGGTGTGCAGGTACATGTGGAGGCAAGAGAACAAATCCAGTTGTCATTTCTCAGGTGTTGTGTCTTTTTGTTAATTGTTAATTTTTATTATTATGTTCCAGTAACACACATGGATGAATATTTTGTATCATGACTATTCTGACCTCTCATCTCCCTATCACTTCATCCATTCTATCCCCATCTCACAAATCTCTCTTAAACATTTATATTTGTGACCTGCTAAGATTAACCAGGGACACCAGTTTGACAGTGGGTTAGAGTTTGGTGGGTTAGAGTTGCACACAATGAAACAGTGATTTCCCCCTCTTCTAGAACCTATTAAAAACACTAGTTCAGATGTCAAGGATAGGGCCCTGTAAGTCACTCCACTTTACTTGACTGATGGTTGACAGAATCAAACTTGTGTGGACCCAGTATAGTAACTACAGTTGATACAAGTTAATGATGTAACATTACATTTTATTGAGTCTATCAGATGGCAGTTCTTGGCCTTTCAGACTCTTTTGTATTAGATAGCCCCTCTTCTTCAGTGTTGTAAGTCTTAGACTGTTATTAATGACTTGTTTAGGGTTGGGCCTGTATCTGTGGCTTATTTTCTGTATTTTTGGGTAACTTCCTTCCCCTAGTTTTTGGAGATAAGTTCTCTCTGGATAGCTACTGACCAAGTAAATGGTGCTAGCTGGCTGGCTAGGGAATCCCAGGAATTTTTTTCTCACTTTGAAACTTTGGGATTCAAGTGTATGCCATTAAGCTTGACAGGCTTTCTTCTTTTAACTCTAATATGTATTTTAATTTTTAAAAATTATGTTTATATGATTTACATGCAGACAATGTGTGTTCACAAGAGTGCTTGTGCCTACAGAGTACAAAGGTCAGATCCCTGGGAGTTGGAGTTATAGGTTAGTTGTGAACCACCTAACATGGATTGTTCAGACCAAACTGAGTTTCTCTGGAAGGTCAGTACATGCTTTTAACCACAGAGCCATCTTTCCAGCCGCAGCTTGATAGTTTTATGTAGGTTTTGGGAATTTGAACTCCAGTTCTAGTGCTTGAGTAAGCATTTTACCAGCTGAGCTATTTCCCTAACACCAAATTTACTATTTTAATGAGTATACATTTCAGTGACATTTAGTATATTCTCTAGAGTTCCATAGCTAGTACAGGTATCTAATCAACAGAAGAACATTCTTCTCATGGATTGTCCCTCCCTCCCTCCCTCCCTCCCTCCCTCCCTCCCTCCCTCCCTCCCTCCCTCCCTTCCTCCTGCCTTGCCCTGCCCTGCCCTATCCTACTCCACCCCACCCCACCCTTAAAGAGTCTTATTATATAGTCCAGTTGACCTCAAACTTCTGATTCTATTCTTCAGTTTTCCTAGTGATAGGTTGTGAATACGTTCTTGTGCCAGGCAGGAGGCTGTCTTAGAAGGTTGTATATTTTATGTTGAAGATAGCACAGTAATTTTTATTTTGCAAGTTTTTCTTTCCTTCACTGACTTCTATTTAAACTTGAGAGTGGGAGAGAGAGAGATACAGAGAGAGTAGAGTCTGTCTGTCTCACTTGAGCTTTCAACATAAAACAATAAATTTGGTACTTGTAGCTAGTCTCAATTGTTCATCTCTAATCTGTAGTATATTTTGAAGCATAGGTTTCCCAGTGTCTGTTGTAGGATTGTTGGATGTTGTGATGGTTTCTTTCATTGTAGGTTATGCTCTAGTGGGACTTTTCTGTTCTGGTGTTGTGCTGCTTGTGACTGAACCTAGGGACTTATGCATGCTAGGCAAGTGCTCTGGCCATGCTACCCCTGCTGTGGTCATTGTTGTGGTAATGGGATAACCTAGGTTTTAGTTCTTTGCATGTTTTTAAAGTTTTGTTTTTGGGATATTGTCCAGTAAGTTTCCATGGCTGTTGATCATAGTACACTCCCACCTGTAGTCTGTGACAGACTCCATTTGGATATAGGTTTTCTAGTTCTTAGTTTTTAAGTTTTGTTCAAAGAAAACGGTTGTGCTAGTTTATTTCCCTGTGTGTGTGTGTGTGTGTGAGAGAGATTTGTTTATCTCCATTTGGTGTCAGATTGGTATAGGTTTGTTATATATAGCCTTATATTTTGAAGTATGCTCCATATGTTTCTAAGGTCTCTGGGACTTTTATATTGGAGGCATATTGAACTTTGTCAAATATCATTTCAGCATTGATTGAGATGTAATTGCTGTTCTTAAGTTTCTTTACTAGTTTGTATATGTTAAACCAACCTTGCATCTCAGGGATGAAATGAAGCCCACTTGGTCTTGATGTATGGCCTTAATGTGTTTCTTAATTTGTTCCTGAATTCGGCTTCCGATACTTTGCTGACTTTTTTTTTTTACATCATTAAAAAACTACATGTTTAAATATTTATTAATTAGCAAGAAATCAAGTGGCTTAAATATAAAAATTTACAGGACTGGGAGACAATGATTATCCAGCACCCACATAAAAGTTGTATGTAATGGTACATGCTTGCAATCTGATGTTTTGGAGGCCTATACAAGAGGATCCTGGGGACTTGGGTCAGGCATTTCAATGAGAGATCTTGTCTCTAAAAAAACAAAAGAAAAAAAAAGGAATGATGGGTAGGAAGGAGAACTGGCTCAGTTAGTTAAGAGTGCTTCCACAGTAAACATTAGGAACTGAATGAAAAACTGGGCATGGTTATGCATGTCTGTAATTCAATGATTTTGAGGGCACAGACAGGAGGATCACTGGGGCTTACTAGGACTGATAACTTTAACTCCAGGTTCAGTGGGAGACCCTGTCTCAAGGAGTAAGTGGAAAATGATAGAGCATGATGTTTTTGTCTGACCTCCACACAAGTGTGTACATGCATGCATATACCACACCTACACAATGCTTGTTTGCATACATGTGTGCAGTGTTCTCTCTCTCTCTCTCTCTCTCTCTCTCTCTCTCTCTCTCTCTCTCTCTCTCTCTCTCTCTCTCTCTCTCTCTCTCACCCCCTCTCCCTTTCACTCCATCCCTCCCTGCCTCCCTCCCTGCCTCCCCCTGTCTACACACACACACACACACACACACACACACACACACACACACACACACACACACTCACACACGCACAGAGTAATAAAAAGAGAAAAGGAAAGGAAATAAAAAGGAGAAGCCCCGTGTTGATCTGGATTCTATATGGGTACAAGTCCTCTAACACTATATACACACTCACATATACACACATGCATTATCTACTCATGCAATAATAATAGACCAGAAAGATGATTCAGCAGGTATACAAGTCTGTGACTGAGTTTGATTCCTGGAACGTATGTTGAAAGAATCCATATGCAATGGCACGCATCTGTAATCTCAGCTTTCTTAAGGCATAGTAGAAGGAAGAGACAGGAGAACCATTGGGGAACTTTCAAGCCAGCTGTTCTGGAGTAGGAGTTCAGCAACAAAACTGAGAGGGCCAGGGAGATGACCCGGTGGGTGGGTAAGGGGACCTGCTGCCAGACTGACAACCCTGGTTTGATCCCTGGAACCCACAAGGTGGAAGGAAAGAACTGAATCCTAGAGTTGTCTTTTGCCTCTAGGTGCTAGTGATGGCATAGGTGTACCTTACACACACACACACACACACACACACTAAAAATACAATAATGATGATGTTGGTGTAGTAACAGAATAAGAGGGAGCCTGTCCTTTTCTTTTTTGGGGGGCTGGGGTTCCGAGACCGCCCAGCAAGGAAACCAGTCTTAACAAGGTGGAATGCAAGAATTGACTTCCTTAAGTTCTTTGACCTCCACACACATAGCATGGCACATGCTTCTCCTGCCCTACCAAACAAATACATAAATAATAAAAGCACCAATCTTTAAGAATGCTTAAAAATAAAATAAAAATATATAAAACATTATATAATAATAGAAAACTCTTCAGTGTCCCTTGTCTTCCTCCACCATATGTCTGCCTTCCCTAAAGGGAGGCAGTATTAGTGGTATATGTAGATACATATGTGTTTCTTGACTGGCTCTTATATTGCCCAGGTTGGTCTCAAATTTGTGAACTCAAGTGAGTTTTCTCACTGTGTAGGAATTACATGTGGGCATCACTCTGTGCAGCTTTCATATTTTTTCCAGGTAAACATGTATTTTCCTTTTTATGCGAATGGTACTGTGCATCACACATTGTGCCTTTTTGACAAAAGCAGTTTTTATTGAAATAATTCTCTGCACACTGGGAAAAGTTTCTGATGTTTGACTTTGTTCTCTGTCCATGGTGGTGAAATTGCAGATCCTTACCATTTATATTTCTTTTACTGTTGTCTCTGAATTTTTCTTTTATACTGCTAGTCTTTCCTTTATTGGTTTATATTATTTTTAGTGCTCCTTATCTTTTCAGGTCTGTCTTGATAAAGTTTTGAAAATTCTTACTCTATTTGTGGTTTTAAATATAGCTTAAGTTCTGGGCAATGAGCCTAGGGCCTTCAGTATTCTAACTAAGCTGTGCCCAGCTCTGTGCACTAATTTTTATATCTCTTATGTAGTTTAGTGGCATTATTTTGTGAACTTTCTTGTTTGGGGGGGGATGTTTGTACTTATTTGTAATTATATATATTTTTTCTTAGAATAATTTTGAGATTTCCAGACACAATACTGGCCAGAAATGATTTTAAAAAATGTTCTGGACTTTGACTCAAAGAATGAGTTGGGAAACATCCCATAAAATTCCTTCCTTTCCCTTTTCTTTTCCTTTTCTTCTTCTTCTTCTTTTTTTTTTTGAAATAGGGTTTCTCTATTTAGCCTGTTGTCCTGGAACTCACTCTGTAGATCAGGCTGGCCTTGAACCCAAGAGATCCACCTGCCTCAGCCTCCTGAGTCTTCGTATTAAAGACGTACGCCACTACTCCTTGACGCATAACATTTCGCAAGAAATCAGAATGCAGTAATTGGCTACATGAATCATTGTGAAAAAATAAAACAAATTTAAAACAAATACTGTTTTAAAACTGTTGATTAACAAAAGTAAACCAGTTACTAGAAATGATTGAGTGTTGAATTTTCTTGAAATATAGTTTAAGAAATAATGTCTCATCCTTTAGAACATAGTAGAGAAGACTTCCAAGCCTCTGCTCTTTAAATTAACCATTATTGGTTAGTGTTTAGGTAGCTTTCATGTTTTGTTTTTATAAACAGTACCGAATTTAGTGATCTATTTACTTACATTATTTTTTACATATATAAATAGTAGCACTTTTGTGTTAAAAAGTTATGAGCATTTAAGTATATTTTGAGAATTTGCTTGTTAAATAGATTAAAGTAGTTTGTACTTTGGCAGTAATATATGAAAGTACATGTGTTTCTCTATTTTTATTACATGATACATTTGACTTTATGTATGTATTGCATGGATCCTGGTGTACAAAGTGGCGTTACCACTGATCTTTCTTTTTAGAAAATATTATTTTAATTATATGTGTGTTTTGCTTGCATGTATGTCTGTGCATCATGTGTATGCCTAGTGCCTACAGAGGTAAGGAGAGGGTACCTGATCCCCTGAAACTGGTGGTGAGCTGTCATGTGGGTTCTGGTACCTAAGCCCAGGTCCTCTGTCAAGAGTAGCCTGTGCTCTTAACCTCTGAGCATCTCTCCAGTCTTGACATTTCTTTTCCCCTTCTTAAGTATTGCAATGCATTAATTGAGATTTTGGGACTTCATAGACTTGTTTAATTTTAGTAATGCCAAGTTGTATATTTAGTAGTCCAGTGATTACTTTTTAACAAAAGGTAAGTTAAATTTATTAAATTTTACTAAAATATAGTTTGAAATTGATGGTGTTAGGTATTTCCTCTTAACTTCTGTTTTCAATTTTACTGTTAGGTTTTTAGTTTTGAAGTCACTTGACTACATGATCAAAGAAAACTTTGTTTACACGGATAGTTTCTAAAAGTTATTTGGACAAATCACAGAGAACAAAATTGAGAGAATGACAAGCTGTGAGGAGAAAATGGTGCACATATTAAAAATCCAATAAAACAGAATTTTAATAAATTGCATGTTCTTTAAAAGAGGGTCTATTAGTTGATTTGGAATGTAAGAACACCGAGGACTAAAGTGGAGTTGAATTTCAGAACTTTTTTCACCTACACACCTTTTGTTTTGGATGATACTGGGAATTGAACCCAGGGCTTATGCATGATGACTATAAACACTGTATATCTGACTCATGTTCCCAGCCCCCTCCCCTCCCCCAAGATAGGATCTTACTAAATTGATCATGTTGACCTGAAACTTAAAGCAACCTATGCGGGCCTCAACCTGAAGATCCTAGCCTCCTGAACACTGGAATTACCCAACCTCAAGTTCACATTTACTTCCTTGCAAGATGGGCTGGTGATTCCATCCATATCTAAGGTTCATTTCCTCATTGTGTCCTACCCATGCACATCTGTGCAAATGGGTATTAGGTTCTAGGTGTACAAGATCATTTAATCTGTTGCAATAATTTTGTTTAAACCCTCTTGCAGAACTTCCTGTTAAAAGCCCAGGATTTTCTGTTTTATAGTTCATTTATGTCTTGTAATATTTCTTGCTATCTTTTCCTTAGCTTCCTTTATTTCATTTATTCAGGTCTGTCAGTAGACTTATTTTAACTCCCTGTCCTCCTCCCTTTCTCATGTGGATACTCACTTCCTACTCTAATTGTACTTGATTATATTCCAGATTGACACTGGGTTCAAGTGCAGGTTTGTACCTACATGATTATGATCACATATACACTGATACATACCTGAGCACGCATTACTCACATGATTGCCAGATGCACATACACACGTGTTTCAGGTGATTGTCCTCACACAGACTTTTACTTGACTCTTTTCCATTCACTTCTGATTTCTGTCACTCTGGCAAATACTACTTGGAGTTGCAACTCCACGTTGTTGAGTACAATTAGGCATTTCCTTTGTTAAAATGGTCACTCTTAAAAGTGCCAATTTAACCTAGTCTCCTTTTACAAAACTTTCTGCTGCCTGTTTATTTTGTCTGCATCTGGATATGTAGAGCACATTTAATTTGTTATCTTGTATAATATTTCCTCAACAAACTGCCTTGTGTAAGGCATCCATGTCAACTTTGCTGATCTGAAAGGTCAATTTGAAATTGTCTTAAGGCTAGCCTGGTCTATATAGCAAATTCTAGGGCAGCAAGAACTACATAGTAAGACTCTGTCTCAAAGACAGAAAGAGATTGTTAGGTAACTGGATTTGAATGATCTTTATATGCTATGAAGTTATAGTTTCTCGTTGCTTATAGTAGTTAGATACCATTACATTTTATAGGTGCAGTGGGAAGTGGGAAGAAATAATACGTAGTTTTGCGTGTTTATCCATTTTTATTTTTTTCTTTATGTTTATTTTTTTGGCAGAGAAACTTTTCCATGTCTGTAAATAGTGCCGCTGTCCTGCGATTGACAGGACGAGGAGGAGGAGGAGGAACAGTGGTGGGGGCTCCTAGAGGTCGAAGTTCTTCAAGAGGGCGAGGTGAGCTATGTGAAAAAAGTATTCATGGAAGAGGAGGAGGAGGCTAGGTAGAATCACTAAATACTTTAATGCCTAGTTGAAAATCAAACCAACTGCTCTTTGATGTTGACTGCAAATGCCTGAACATTTATTTTCTGCAGTGTTTCTGAAATGCCTTCTACAGCCCCTACTTTGGAGGAATGTATTTCTAACTATTAGTTGAAACAGGAGAGAGTCTGTAGACAGTCCTAGTTAACTTCTAAAGAGGAATCATTGCTCACATTCTTCATCCCTGGAGCTTTGCATTTTGGTTACTAGAGCATCCTGAAGGGGTTTGGTAACCGGCGTCTCCTCCATGCACTATATGATTTCTTTACAAGGACCATGTGTGTATATTACCATAGCCAGGAGGAATTTAGTGAGACACACCTCAATACCTTTTAGGAACTAGATCTCTTAGTGGGCAGAGCAGAATATAAGCAGGCAGCGTCCCCTGGCATAATGTGTAATTTTATGCATTTAGGCTTTTTTCTTAGAAAGTTTCTGATTTGTTGTTCTTTTTCATCCCCTATTTTGCATTCATTGGTTTTCTATTAAAATCGTTCTTGATGTTTATAATAGATATTCTTCCTTCAACATGAAACCCTGTGTGGGTTGAATCATAACATTAGTCCAACCATTTATTGTAATTTTTCTCTAAGACATGCTTTAGAAGTGTAATTGGGTGTCAGCAGTGGCCAAGGCCATTGCTTTCACATTGGGTGTGGCACAATTATGGATGTGGAATACCTACATTTTTTTTTTTCAATTTTGTTTTTTTCAAAGAAATTTGAGCATTTTGTTATGCCTTCTTAATAATTTATACACATTCTTTTTAAAAGTGGGGAGTGTATTTCATTGTGAAGGATGAAGAGGCTAACTAAAACTTTGATTTCTCCCCCTTACAATTTTTTTTTTTTGTAATTTGTCTTTGTCTGGAATAGTACTTTTTAACTGGAGTAGTGTTGATAGACTCATCTGTAGAACTTAATAAGAAACAGTATTGCCACAGACATTGAGGTAGTGAGAGTTAGGCATGTCTGCTTTCCAAGTTGTTCCCATATCATCATTGTCTGGGATCTGTGCATATTGATGTTTGGAGATGGAACTGGCTGATTATGGTTCTGGCTCTCCATGGGCATTTCCCATGCTTTCCTTCTGTGGGATTCAGTGAGAAGAGGTTTCATTTTGGCAGCTTTCCCTCCTGTGTTCTTCAGGTCAAGCTAGAGAAAAATTTCCTTAACCAAGAGTACAGACCACACACATCCTCCACCTGGTCTCTGTAGGCCTTAGAAAAACCTCACATTTAAGAGAAAGGAGCAGAACCTGGGTGTGGTAATGCACTCCTGTAATCCCAGCACTTGGAGGGTGTTGTCAGTAGGGTCAGGAGTTCAAGCCCAAATTTCAGCTACAATGAGAGTTTAAGGCTAGCCTGAGCTACATTAGATACTCCTACAGTAACAACCAAACTGCCCCCCCCCAACAAATGTAGTATGCCAAAGCATCAACAAATAGAAGCAAGTGAAGTATTGATGAGTTTTCCTGTTTTTGTTTTTTTCTTTGAAGTAATTTTTTTATAATCCATGCTTGCATAAAACCCATGTAAATTACTTACAAGTAGTAAATTTACATGCTAATGTTGAAGTGTGTAGAACTAGTTAAATGGATACACTCAGCTTTGTGAAAATACTTGGAATGTTATGGTCAGAATGGTCTGTGATGCGTGTGGCTATTTATTTTCACTTAATTCTAACTTTCTTGTTAATAAAGGTTAGTGTCTGTGGCTTTTCTTTAGGTTGTAAGTAGTATCTCTTTCCAATTCAAGGGAAAAAAAAACTCATTTGCAGATCTGCTGGCTTCTAGACTTAGATATTCTGACCTAGTAAAATTTAAATGAACAGATGTCTAGTGGAAACAATGTAACATTGTTATCTTTTAAAAAATCTGGTCTGGATGAATAAAAATTCATAAACTGTTACCTGCATCATTAGCATTGTAGATAGAAGCATATTTTAATTCTTATAAAGATTTAGGTGAAATCTCCGGTAATAGGACAGCCCTTAAAGTTTGGTCAATGTGTTTTCTTGCTTGTTCTTATGTATGGGAATACATTTATTTACAGACGATTTAAATGTGACAAGTTGGAGCTCTAACACCAGATCTCTTTCTAATTAGTAAAGCTTTAGTCATATGATCAAGGCTAGGGCCAGTCACAACTGCAGGGAATATTTATGTATGTTTACATTGATCTTTTTTTTCCTAATTCATCTAAAGTTTCAGTATTATTAAGACAGGGTTTCTCTGTGTAGCCTTGGATGTCCTGGAACTCGCTCGTAGACCAGGCTGTCCTTGAACTCAGAGAGATCGGCTTTCCTCTGCCTTCCGAATGTTGGGATTCAAGGTGTCTGCCACTACCACCTGGTGAAAAAATTATTTTTATTAAATACTGGTCTAAAGAGCTAGTTCCAGGCCAGCTAGGGCTGTTCACACAGAGAAATCGTGCCTGGAAAAAACAGAAAAGCAAAAAAAACAAAAAACAAAACAAAAAAAACCCTATTTTAAAAAATTACACGAATGTGTTTATATCTGTATGTGAATGTGTATTTGAGTATAGGTGCTCTCAGAGGCAAGAAGAGGGCTCTGGCTCTCCTGTAGTTGTAATTGAACAGTTGTGAGTCAGGCAGTGTGGGTCTTGGGAGCAGAACTCGGTTCACTGATGAGCTCTTAACTGCTGGGCCATCTTTCCAGCCCTGACAAAATTGTTCTTGGAAAGGAGAGGACTTTTTTTCTTCATCCTAAAAGTCATTATTGTGGAGGAATATTCTTGTTAGAATATATTATTTAAAGATTTAAAATAGAATGTGTCTATATTCTGAATGTGGGGCAGAGGGGAAGCTACTTAAGTTGGTTTTAGGTTGACTTAAAGTGACATCGATGACACTGGAAGATACGTTTGAGATTGTTATAGTTGAACTGTGGTTTTTCACTTTTATTTTATAGACAAAGTAATACTTACTAGTCAAGAGAATATCTGTTCCTAAGATTACCCCTGTACAGTTCTGCAATGTTTAATATTTTGTTAACGTCACAAAAGTACACCTGTATCTGAGTCGTTGTAAATCTTTTTTAGAATATTGTTTTGGGGGAGAGAATGTATTTTTGTGGCAGAGCATTTGACCAGTATTTGCAATGTGCTAGATTTCGTACCCAGCACCATATACATCATTTTCTTCTGATCATTTTGCTCTGTGGGAGAAATTAGGCTAGGGACAGTTAGTTATAAATAGACCCCAGACTCCCAGGCTGTCTCCAGCTTTCATCTGTGTAGGCTACAGTTGATATGTTAACTGAGAAAACTGTAGAATATGTACAGCTGAAAGTGCATACTGCTTGCTGCTCACATATCTGGCACTTGGCATGTGTATCCTTTACTCATAGCTGTGCAGCAGTGTGGACAAATACTTTATATACATATACGTCGTTCTTGAGTATGCTTTTGTCATTTAGTAGCAAAGGTTTACATTTATACCAGTGTCTTATGCTTTAGCTTCATACTGTTCTAGAATGTTCTTTCAGAATTTTTTTGTTTTGTTTTTTGAGACTGGGTTTCTCCAAAGCTTTGGAGCCTGTCCTAGAATTTGCTCTGTTAGACCCATGAGCTCACAGAGATCCATCCACATGTATCTGCCTCCCAAGTGCTGGGATTAAAGGCATGTGCTACTACTGCCCAGTTTATCAGAATTTGTTTAGCCAAACATTATTAGGTTGCTTCTAGTGTTTTGAAATTGAAGTGTTCACTTTCATACACATGTAGTCATGCCTTATTTAACGAGATACAGTATGGTAAATGCCTTATTGGGTGATTTCATATCTATTGATGCGTGAACATGATCATTTATAGAAGTTTAGGTGGTTTAGGTTAATCACCTGGCTTGGCTTCTTGATACAATTAAGAGACAATGATTACAAGATATATGTTGCTAATGGGATATTGCTTTACAGTAAATTTAAAATAAGAAGTACACTTGAAAATGTTGTATAGTGTTGTAAATCCACAAATCAGTAACATAACCGTTCATTGTCACAGTCACATACTGTATACTGCATGTTGTCAAATACACCATGTTTTTATGTGATTGTCGGTACAGGGGATCTCTTTAGACCAGTATCATCACAAATACTTGAGTAACACAAGAAGTCTCTAGTTACTATAGAGTTTTCCGCTCCATTATAATCTGATTGAACTGTGATTCCAGTAAATAGTCTATCACTTAATTGAAACTATATCCTTTGCATGATGGTTACATTCTTGTGAGTGCCTCTCTCCTCTCTCCTCTTTTCTTTTTTCCTCTTTCCCCTTTTCCTTTTCCTTTCTATTTTCCCCAAGCTTTTTGAGTTATTCTTGATGCAGTGTAGGCTGGCTTCAAACTTTTGATCCTCTGCTTCGGCCCCCTGAGTGCTAAGATTATGGGTATGCTCCACAACACCTTGGTTCTGCAGAGGTATTTCTGCTGGGATAAATTCTGAGTAGAGCCACAGAGTTGATAGGTAATCAAATGCCCTTCGTTAGAAGTGTGTTTATATTTGAATTGCAAAGCTTCTAAATTCCTACACAATCAGCTCTATGGTTTGATTTTAGTGTTGCTATTTTCCTTAGCCTCATATTTGAGTCAAGTATGAAGGATGCCTTTTAACCTGTAAGAACACATTGCATAATCCTAAAACTGTATAAGTCACTCCTACTACTTTTCTGGGACTAGATAAAAGTGTTTTTATCGTGCTTGACATTTTCCACTGTATTCTCTCTGCAAACTCTCCATATTAAGTGTTCCCAGTAGTTATTGAAAATAATACACTAAAACATTCAGTTTATAATGGTTTATTGAACTTAGATTTTTTCACTGTTAACCTTTTCATTGAAGAGCTTCTTGTTGATGCTGTTTATTGTGCAGGACTTGGATTCTTTCAGTAGTATTTTGTTTGCTGGTATTGGTTTGTTTTTTAACCCATAGTTAAGAGCCATTATAGGCCTCACTAAATACTAAAATGTAGACATCCTGCTTTGTATAGGGACCGACAGAACTTCACAGAGATTGACCTTTAATGTTAAACATGTGCTGGATGTCTGTTTCTGACTGTTTCACCTCCCCCTGTTTTCTTATTTTCAGGCAGAGGTAGAGGTGAATGTGGTTTCTACCAAAGAAGTTTTGATGAAGTAGAGGGTGTGTTCGGGCGAGGAGGTGGCAGGGAAATGCATAGATCACAGAGCTGGGAAGAAAGGTAACTAAAGTGTTTAAATTGTAATGTGAGGATTTGTTGGTCTATAAAACTTGCTCCAGTGGGATTCCATAATACTTTCCTGCAGTGCCAGCTACTTGGTAGGCTGAGGGAAGAGATCCTGGAGTTCAGGCTATCCTGCACAATTTAGCAAACTCCTGACTCAAAATAAAAATGGAAAAATGGGCTTGGATTATAACCCATTGTTAGCTCTCTGGGGAGGTTCAGCCTTTAGTGCTCCAAACAAAACAAAGCACACCATGTTCCTTTTGTGACTGTTGCAGGGTTACATGTTCCTGTGATTCCAGCACTTGGGAGCTATGGCAGAAGAGTCATGAGTTCCAGACCAAAATGGGCTACATAGTGAGCTCTAGAGAATTACAAAGATTGGGTGGAAACCTGTCCCCCCCAAAGGAACATTCTGAAAACATAAAGCTTACCCGTTTTCAGCTTTATAGAGCTGAAGCCTCTGTGCACAGTTACAGAACTTCATCCAAAAGTTTTAATTATTAAAAAACCATAGTGGTGAGAAAGTTTTAGATAATCCTTGTTTAAAACTATAAGTGTGAATAGATGAATAAATTAGTGTAAGTATGCATAATTGCTTTGTTATTTGATTAGCAGTCATTTTGTTGATTGGTATGTCATATATATGTGTGTGTATGCATGCATGCATGTATATATACATATATATTATATGTATTCATAGAATCATTAAAGTTAAGGGTGTACCTTGATCTCATAATAAGGACAGAAGAGTTAGGTTTGTAACTGTCTTACCCAGCACCCAGAGGCTCTGGATTTAGTACTCAGGACCACAAATGAAGGAGATTGAATGATGTGGAAAAACATTGCCAAAGTAGTATATAAACACTCTGCCATGTTTCTAACTAAAATGAATACTATTCCAATCATTAGAGGCTGATTTTTGGTAGGTAGCGTGGTGGAGTTTTTGTTTTCATCATTATGCTTTCCTGTGTTTTCTAAACATTAGATAGCAGAACTGCTGTTAAAGGGAGTACAGGAATGTGAGTATCATGATAAGAAATCTGTGTTGCTTTCCAAGCCTTTTTTGAAATTTATTTTGTCTTTTTAGGGGTGACAGGCGCTTTGAAAAGCCAGGAAGAAAAGATGTAGGTAAGGTTCTTACTGTTTTGAACTATGATCTGGACTCTCTTGTTATTAATGCTTAGCAAGTCCCATACTGCAGGATAAATTTAGTGCAGATTAACTGTTATCTGCACAAATCCAGTAGATGGAGCTGTAACACTGTCAAGAGTCCTGTAGGTCTTAAGGGCTTCCATGGGTGAAACCAGGACTAATGAATATAGATATTAAGATTCACTTGACTTAATGTTTTAGGATTATGTGTTTTCTGCAAGGCATATGTTTTTCATATGACACCTTATTGGACTGAAATTCTAAATCAGGAACTAATCTGGTTAATCTTTATTAACATGGGTGAGAACAGGGGAACTGCTGAAACTGTGGCCTTTGTGTGAGAAGGCAAAGACTAAAATGGAATATTCTTACTTTATCAACTATTGGACTGTTTTCTTTTATTGTGTGTGTTTGCATACTATTTATATGTGGAGCCAGGGGGACATATACCACACTATGCATGTAAAGGTTGTGTAGTTGGCTCTGTCCTCCCTTCATGTGGGTTCTGGGGCTCAGATTCAGCAACACCTTTACCTGCCTAGCTTTCTCTATTCAGCATGCTTTGTTTTTGTTTTTAATTGTGAGATGTCAGCTGTCAAACAAATTACATAGTAAAGGTATCTACTTAAGAGGAACTTAAGAAAAGTTGATTTAGTGTTTATGATGATTTAGTTAACTTATAATGTTAAGATGGGTTTTCTGACTGATAAATTGGTGGTCTGTATTAATATTTGGTGAAAAAAGCACCAATTCACAGTATCAGTACATAATTGAAAAATTTGGTATTCCTTGAAATATCAAGTGTTCTACAGAGTATTATTGTATTTGATAGTGATTAATATTTCTCATAAATATGTTAACTTATACTGTTCATAGACTGAATTTGAATGCAATGGTTTGTAAACAAGGAAGTTAAGATGATCAGTTTTATTTCATTGCTTCCATGCAAGACTCACCTAAACATATTTGTAACTTAGTTTTATTCATTAGCATGGCATTGGGAATTCCTGATTCTCAATAGTGCAATGACATTAAATGAGTGTAGCATGATGAAATTTAGGTTTAGCTAGGCAATTTATCATCACACTTCACCCATATTGTAGACTATTTTGTGAATGCTTCCTGGAGAGATTTGGTAGGTCCTTTGTTCCCATCCTTATCTGATTCAGTAGTTTAAAAACATTTTCATGTGTGTATGTGTATGCTGTGTGTATTGGTGCTGGGAACTGAACCTCAGGACCTTTGGAAGATCAGCAAGCAATATTAACTGTTGAACCCTCTCCCTTCAGGCCCTGACTCAGCACTTTTGCCCTTGATTGTAGAGAGGTGATGAAGAGTAGTAGTACAGGATTTGAAATCAGAAGTCCATGTTTATTCTAAGCTCTTGCATTCCTTATTCTCAAAGTCAAATGAGAAGATAATATCCTATGGAGTAATTGAAATCATTTATTCATTCAACGTTGAATTCCTAATTAAGTCATAGGCCTTGTGCAGGTGGTTAACGTTTTCTTTGGAGGATGTTGTTAGTTGCTGGTCAGATTTTTAAATCAGTGCTCAGGGAAGTAGTCTGTGGAGTAGGAAAATTTGAACTTTAGATCAAAATTAAGGTTTAATAAAAAGCCAAATCTAATGAAATGTAAATTTAACAGCAGAAAATGCAGTCTTATATAAGTAAACCACAGAATTTCAAGCATGGAGTAGCCTCTTGGGAAAGACTCAGCCTTCCTTTAGATGACCTCAGCTTCATGTTCATCAGCAATGCCCTTTTAGGTTAGGCAGTATTTACTAGATCTAAATTATCCTCAGTGAGCCAGAAGATGGAAAACTCATTTCCTTTTATTAGTTTCAGATTTTTAAATTATGCGTATGTATGTGTGAATGTATGTGCCCTCCTGTGGCAGCCTGTGGAGGCCTGAAGAGGATGTCAGATCCAAGAGAGCTGAAATGGCAGGCAGTTATAACCACCTATGTGGGTGCTGGGAAACTCTGCTCTTCTGTAAGAGTACCAAGTGATTTATCCAGCAAACACCCTGCCTACCCCATCACCTTTTGTTTTATGAGATAGCCCAAGATTTGTGCCCGCTTTATCTTGAAAGAAAAGGGTCATTATTTGCAGTTGCACTTGAAGTCTTGTGTTGGCAACTGCATCAAGGAAATGGGTTGTTTGGATAGAAGACGAAACTGTGGGCAGGACAGAACTTGAAGAAGGATTTGCAGGGTCACTACAAATACTGGTTTACAGATCATATGAGCGAATTTCAAAGTCTGAATAGTTGAAGACTCAAGGAGGCAGGTGTTAAACACATTCTAAAAATGATCTAACAGTTTCTGAAATTGTTGCTTTGGGGAAGTAGTGAGTTCTTGGTGAGATCCTGGCTGACATGGAACTCACTATGTAGACAAGGCTAGTTTCAAACCTAGATCCATATGCCTCTGCCTAAGTACTGGAATTAAAGGTGTGTACCACCATAGCCAGCCCAAGTATAGCTTGATTTTTAATTTTCAAACTTTAGAGTCAGGAACTGGTGAGTAAAAGTTTTACTTCATTGTCATGATTATTTGTAGTTACCATATGAATCTAATTAATTTTCCTAACCTTCCTCTTTGATAAGGCGAATCCCAATTAGGCATAGTGCTGAGGAGTTGAATCATAGCTCTTGGGGAGAAATGTGTGTGGAGGCCAGAGATAGATGTTGTGATTTCCCTGTTGCTTTCTACCTTAAGAGTCTGTCACTAAACCTGAAGCTGTTTTGGTTAGGCTAACTAGCCAAAATGTTCCTAGAATCTGCCTGTCTGGTCGTCTCCCTTCCCTGGTTCTGGGGTTACAGGTACATGGAGACATCTCTTGTTTTTTTTTTTTTTAAACATGGATTCTTGGTTTTGAACTCAGGTCTGTGTGCTTATACTGCAGGTGCTCTTACCCACTGAGCTATCTTCAAGCCTCTGCTTGCTTGTTCCTTTTAAAATTAGAGAAGGGTCATATTACATACTTACTTTAAATTATTTATTTATTTTGATGTCAGGGATCAAACCCCACGGTCTTGTAAAGACTAGGAAAGTGCTCTGCCACTGAGCTACAGACCTAGCACATGCATTTCCTTTATATGTGAAGATAAATGGATAGGATTGCAGACATCTGGGTAAGAATCATGGCTTACCCCTGTGAATCTCCATGGAGGAATAGATACATAGGTGGAAAAGACCTGTAGCATCAGATTTGTAAGTCCTATCCAGCAGTAAACGATTGCTGTACAGGAGAGATTAGTTCCTATGATCATCTTGTAGTATGCTTCTGTGAGAGTGAAATGAAAATTATCATTAAAAATAAATGATCCTCATGACATCAGTACGCTCAGTCAAGTATGATACATTTTATATTTTTATGTGAAGTATCTAGAAATAGTACAGTGTTCTTTGTAACTCCACCAACATGGATACCTATTAGGTTGAATTGTAAGATACAATATGCTTTTTGTTGTGAGGTACTTGGAGATAGACAATGTTTTTATTATTATTTTTTTAAGTTACATATTTTTTTTTCCTGGCAGCTAGTAGTATATACTTTTCAAGCATAAATCTAATTTGAAGAATCTTAGTAACTGCTTGTCTTCAGTTATTTAAAACTGTCATGCTTTCTTATTGGTTTCCAAGAGTAACTTTACTTGGCTGTTAAGTGGTCTTCCTTGTTGAGTATATGAGTTCCCAGTGATTTCTTCCTTTCTTGATTTGCATTCCATATTCCTGAGGGGATAATGGTCTCTGCAGAAAAATTAATCCTAGAAGCCATGATTCTTTGAAATAAATGAATTATGTACAGTGTTCCCAGAATCTTTCTTTTCCCTGAACATTGAATTTGAATTACATTTCTTGTAAAATTATTTTTTATGTATGTGAGTGTTTGTCTGCGCAATGTGTGTGTGTCTCTAGTGCCTAGGGATGCCAGGAGGAGGATATTGGATCTGCTGAAACTGGAGTTAAAGAGATGCATTGCCATGAGGATGCTGGGAATCAAACTAAGGTCCTCTGCAAGAGCAGTCAGTGCTCTTAACCACAGAGCTCTCTCTCCAACCCCTACCAACAAATTTTCAGATATCAGATTTTATCTGACTAGTAACTATGAAATGAAATGTCTGTAGGGAGATTTGGGTTTAAAGTGTTTTAATGTATTCACTGTCTCCTCAGGCAGCTTGATAAACTTGTAATCTGTGTAAGTAACAGGGAGTCTCAGATAAGGTTATATTTTTTTTTACTGGTCAGGTTAATTTTATTAGTACAGATTTCTGCTGTCTTTATCAGCAGTCTTGAGTTGCTCTGCCCGCCATAGCAGAGTTTATGCCTGCAATTTTTAAACAGCAAAATTTCATAAGAAATAGGGTTGTGCTAATAGTCTTCTGCTATTATTAGTCTTAGGGCTCTCCAGAGTTGTTCTTTATTTTTTTTTTCCTTCTGTCAGAGTAGAAAAATGTGACTTGCGGTTCTCTGTAACATTACTGTTACTTGGTATGTATTTTGAGATGATCCTGCCAGGGTCATCCACCACATTGAAAATTAATTTTGTACTTTCCCCACTTAATCCCAAATAAGGGAAATGGAAGAGGAGGCATACAGTTACACAGATCTCTTTGAAACCTGATAGTATCATTTTTTTTTATTTTGCTGGAGGACAGCTCAATTTTTTAATTGAAATGAAAATTATTCAAGGAATTTCCTTAAGCTGGGTAAAAAAAAAGCATTCATCTTAGTATATATAAAATAAAATCAGGCAGAGAAAGCATAGTTTTCATGGAATATTAGACTTGGAAAGAAATAATAGAGATCATCTAGTCCAGCCTCCTACTGGTAAATAAACACTCATTTTGTGTTTATAGAAAAAACTATTTGATGTTGGAAACAGGAATTTGGGTTTGAAAATACTTTGTTACCTAATTTTCTGCTTTGTCTATTGTAGATTTTTTCCTAGTTGAGTTATATCTTAATGAAACTTTCATATCTATAAAAACTTAATACATGTGTGTATTTAGGAAGTTTGTAGAACTTTTCCTATGTCATTGAATGTGTCATGAGTCCGAAGACACTGCTTTTACTGAGGGTGGGGGCAGCTCAGATGAGGAGGTGATCAGCTTTCAGATTACTACTTGAGTATTATGCAAGTCCGAGTTTAAGATAGTAGGAACACACAGCTTTGCAACTCTTGCCAGAAACACCACCCTGCAGGTTTTGTCTGGGCCAGAACTTTTCTTACTTGTTTGAATATTCTGCATAAATACATGAACATACGTATATGTATTTGGGTGTTGTAGTCAAATGTTTTTGCGGTTATCTATATTGTCACTTTTCTTTTGTATTTTTGCTCCTTGCTGTTAAAAATTGGGAAGATAATACCCTATTTTTGTAGCTTAAAGAATCAATGGAATGACGTTTGCTGTCTTGAAAAAAATAAAAGTTGTAAAAGGATATTCACTAAATATTGTAAAATCAGCTTTCCACCCAGGAAGCTATGTTTGAATCTAGACTGTTGCTTCAGTTTACAGATGAAAATGAGAGCCGATTTTCTTAGAGTTCAGCTGTATTAGCCGTCACTGTCCGTTTTATCCTCGTCATTGATACCATGCTACAATGGGTACCTATCAGATTGAGTTGCCTTGATTTGAGCAAATTATCACTGATATAAACTTGATAGTATAAACTTTTTTGTTTTCAGGGATGTATATAGTTAGCTTAGCCTTTTTTTTGTGGGCATAGACATGATGTAATCAGCATTGAGAAAAAGGAAGCATGAGATTCAGTGAAGGAAAATAGCTGCATAACTGGCTGGATATATTTAATACATTAAGAAGTGAGATGGTGTGGGTGAGTCTTATTCTGTCAGCCCTGTTTCAGAGATCTGAAAATTGTCAATGCTTTGTCCATTGATATGGATATCTAGGTCAGTCCTGTGTGGACTCTTAGAGACCACAGGAGTTGGATGTTCAGGAACAGTCTTGTCAAAATTCTCCATCTTGACTTGATACTCACCTTTGGAACTTCGAGTTATTAGAGCTGCAAAACGGTGATGTAACATGATCTCGGATGGTAGGTAGGATGTCCTCCTTTGGCAGATTTCTCCGGTGCCTTCTTGCATTGCTGAGAGGAACACAACCAGTTCAAAGTGTGGAGGGTTCTCATGCTGGAGAAGGAGGGTAGCTAGTGGACTTGATGGGACGATGGCATGGTAGTAGGTTAGCGGGAAGATGAAGAACGGACATTCCTCAGAACTGATACCATCAAGATGGAAGTCCACGCTGGTCTGGTAGAGTTCACCATTTTCTCTTTCCTGATAGAGTACAGCTGAGACCCGAACATTGGTTAGAGGGCTGGGCCGGGTGTTGGCCACTTGGAAGATAAGATTAGGTTTGCCATCTTTGTGAGCTACTACTGCTAAGTCAGTGAAGCGAATTGAGAAAGCTCTATTTTTTGGCCGTGCAATCTTCGCCACAAAGGCACCTAAATTAAAAACCATTGAAATGTTTTTTTTTTCAAGAATGGAAAACTTTAAATCTCAATATTTTTTTCTGAATGGGAAGAGTATGTCAAGTAGTTACTTATTTCTCATTCTACTGAGTAAGGAATTTATACCACTGTTAATTTCAGAATTTTTCAGAGTATATGTAACATGTCTGTTAAGAACCAACAAAACCCGAGATTTCAAAATGGCTGTAAGAATATTTTGATTTGTTATGAAGAAATGTAAAAGTTTATCTTGTAAGTTACAACGATCAAGAACTCATCATTTTCTATATTCATGCTTACTTAAAAACAGTAATAGAAAATAAATCCAGTGTGGTTACAGTTGTACAACTTGGAGTAAAGAGTAGATTCAGCGCAAGGGGATTAGGAGAGGGCTAGAAGAAGGGGTGATACATTAAAGAATGTTTAACTTTGAAACTTCTAGAAGGATGCGTTTGGGGAAGCTGGCTGTATCAGGTGATTCAGTGTATCTTTTAAGTGCATCCTCCTTGTGTACCGCCCACAGCTCTAGGAGGGTTTCCTAACCATTCTTGTGCCACAGAGCCTGTTGGCATGCTGGTGAAGCATATGCAATCCTTATATGTATATATGCATATATGAATATATATAATTTATATACGTATATAGAATTTACTTTACCTTATGCAAATGAGTGTTTTGCTTACATATATTGTATTTGTTTACCATATGTGTGACTCTGCCTGTGGAGAGTTGTAAGCTGCCACATGTGTTCTGGGAACTGAGCCTAGGTCCTCTGTCAAAGAGCAACAGGTGCTCTTAACCACTGAGCTATTTCTGTAGACTCCATAATTATGTTGTAAGTGCTTAAATGTTAAATGCAAAGAGGAAATCAAATACATTGAAATTCAGTTAATGTTTGAAAAATATACAGTATTACATATGCCATATCAATGTATTAACAAAATCTAGCAGTGGGTTATACTGTAATTCTGAAGTACTATAGTTGACTTGAAATACCTGATTCTGTTTATACCAAAGTTGCTGGTAGTGTAGGTTACCCATCCACCCATCTACCAACTTATCTATCATTTATCCATCTATTTATTAATCTCTATATAACAATATGCATATCATATATTTGTATATAAATTCATAATTGAAGGAAATGGCAAATTTAGTTAGGGATTAGTGCAAAAATGTAAACATTTTTCCCATCCAAACACACAGGCTATTTTCAGTTTATCTAAGACTGGAGCCAATATGAACATTCTTATAGAAGTTAAGTGATTTGTTATAAGATACAGAGCCATTTGGTAGCACAGTGGGTCATCATCGTTCATGATGCTTAGTGCTTATCAGTCTATTAGTTTGCTTTTTTTTAGGTGTATTATATATAAAAAGAATCAGCATTACAGGGAAGAGCCTTATATGTTACCAGAGATAGGCAAATGCTTATGGCCATATCCCGATTACATTTATGTATATCTGTAACTTTAAAACATTGTGTTGAATGTATTGCTGTGGGCGTATTTGTATTGAGTATATATTGAATAGGTGATCTTGGAGGAGAAAGTCCTACCTTAAGAAAGAAGATTAAGAAGTCAGATTCTTCTGTCAGGTAGCATGACTGTTCAAATTTGTATTTAGTATACTTACTCACATACTTAGCAAAAGAGCTTCTGTGAGAATTTACTTTTAGGCCATTTGTTATTATTTTTGCATAGTGCATTCCTGCAAGTTAATGACATAGTCCTTTTTTCTTACATAGTTCTAGTATTCTTTATATATATTTCTATTGTTTGTCCCTAGATTGTTAAAATAATAATAATACAAATAGATTATTTATGATAGACTTGCCTATAACCAACTATATACTTTATAAAAGGCTTGTAGTATTTTTTTTCTTTAAAAACAAAAATAATTACCTGTGATAAAAGCCTCTAGCATGAGGCCTAGGAGCATTTGTATGGCAAGTAAGGCGATTGCACTTGGACAGTCACCACTGGGGAACATGGTACCATAACCAATTGTAAGTTGCGTCTCCAGGGAGAAGGAGAATGCAGCTGTGAAACTGGTGATGTACTTCACACAGATAGTGTGGTTTTCAGGTGGGGCATCGTGATCTATTTCCAGATCACCATTCATCTCAGCTAGAACATACCAGAGTACTGCAAAGACAAGCCAGTGGACAACAAAAGAAGCAGAAAAGACCAGCATCATCCAGCGCCAGCGCATGTCCATTAGGATTCCCCAAGCATCCCGAAGATAAGCAAGGCCTCTTTGAGCACCATCCATTTGAAGTGTGCTGTGGCCATCTTTTGTGACCATCCTCCGGTATCTTTGACTTAGGAGAGGAGCATTAACTTTACAATTACTGCTGTCCATCTCAGTCTGTAATTTTCTGAAACAAGAGTAAAGTAATTAGCCCTTAACTGACTTAGAGTTCATATTCATGGGAGCAATTACTGCTCAGGTCATTTATTTATTAGCTAGTTATATATTATTTCAGGATATTTCTTATGCTTTCTTTGAGTGACTGTAAAATTATTTTCTAAATATATTTTCTGAATTACAGAGGGTGAGGTTTATGATTTGTGCTTTTTTTTAGCACCTACATTTGTCTTTGCACAAATATACAGGCATTAAGTATTTATTGAGTCAACTATCATTTTTAAATAACAAAATTTAAAAATTTGCTGATAATTGTGACTATAATAAGGAGACTAAATATGAAAGTATTATGCTCTGTAAATAAGTAAAAATCATTTGGAAAGTTAGTGTTAGACTATCTTGTTTCCTTGGAGTTGCTGGTGATTGAACCCAGAACTCTGGGCCTTGGGCATGCTAGGTAAGCACTCTACATTGATCTAGATCCCCAGCATTCTGCATATGTTTTGAAGTCAGACTTAGTACTAGGCCAAGACTTACATTTATGTTAAACTTTTAGGAATTCAGTTCTCTCTCTCTCTCTCTCTCTCTCTCTCTCTCTCTCTCTCTCTCTCTCTCTCTCTCTCTCTCTCTCTCTCTCATTCATTCAGTGTGTGTGTGTGGGGTAGGGGGAGGAGTGCATGTGTTCCATGTTATTTTTTGAAGGGCAGAGACAATCAGTTCTCTCCTATTTTGTGGGTTCAAGCTCAGGTCATTAGTCTTAGTAACAGTCACCATTACCCGCTGGCCCCAGATACAAAATTTCAATGTAGTCCGTGGAATTAGCCTATTCAAAACTTTTTTTTGCCATCGTGGATATATTAATATATTTCTGGCCTCATTGATGGATGGATACCTGTGGGACATACACATTCTTGGTTCATACTAAATCTTGACAAATTATGAAATTCCTGGCTGGAACTCAGTGGTAAAGCACCCACCTAACATATATAAGACCTTTGGTTCAACCCCCAGTAAAACCACCATACCTCAAGAAGACATTCCAACAAGATGTATCTAGATAATATCCCTTTCCCCTGGAACTAGGGATGGACTTTGGGCCCTTATGCATGCTAGGTAAGTTCTCTCCTACTGAGCCCTCCTCCCAGCCCTATTAAAGGTAGCTTTGAGAATAAGTAAACCAGAAGAAAAATATTAAATGTTTAATAATCAAAAATAAACAGTAAGAAATCAGATGGCAATTTTGAAAGCATTATAGTGTAATTAGTTCTGTGAACAGTTTTCATGAAGGGCTAGACTTTTTCCTGTGTTATCAATGGGCATCTTATGTATGACCAACCTTGGAGACTATACATATATCAATACTTTTGTATAGTGACTGTCAGGAACAAATCACTAAAGGTGATTCTTCCGAAGTAGATACCTTGAGAGTACTTAATAGCCACTTCTGTCCCCCTCCTCCCTTATTTTTGTTCCCTTAGGTAGCTTAGGCTGATGAACTCTGGATTCTCCTACCTCAGCCTTCTCAGTTCTAGAATTACAACATGTGTTATCAGCCTTGCTGCTTTCTTCTTTTTGATGCTTAAGCAGGTGAAGTGAGGTTACTTGGGTTTGCTGGACTGGTCTGTCTAGGGACTCTGGTGTTTTAGAGACTGATTTTCTGTTACTGCCTTTGGACATTGGACAGCTAGGCATGTATGACTTTTTCTTTTGTCCTGAGGCTGCTGTAATCTTATTTGATGATACGTAGGCCATTCTTTCATATTTTTAGATAGAGCTGATTGAACACTGGATAGTTATTTAATTTAGACTAGATGGTCACTTCAGTTTCATGTGACAGAGTTTAAAAAAACAAAACTTCATGTTGTATCACTTACTGCCCTACCAAGTTGTCATAATCATTGAGTGTCTTTTTTGTTGTTTGGCAAGTACTGACAAGTGAGCCACTCCTCAGCCCATATTTAATGTTCCTTATTTTGCTAGATTCTTAAAATATTTTAAAAGACCTTTCCAGAACAACAAAGCCTTTATAGATACTGTACTAGATGCTTCCACCCCTCTCTTTTTGTGTGGCAAGAGGATAGACATTTCCATTTTCAAAAATATGGAACCACAAAAGTATATAGAAAGGCAAGAGATTATACACCTTATGTGAGGGTTTTGGATTATTGGCCTAGTCTAATTAACAACAGCAAAAATTTACTTTTAATTTTTTCGATAAGAAGCTGTTTATGCAGCATTTGTGCTGTACTATGTTCTAAAGCTGATCTTTGATGGTTCCTAGCACTTTTAGTAGGTGTTTTTTTTTGATCCTGTGTAACTCAGATAACTGACTTAAACCATGTCTGCTTTATACGTGGTTCTTAACGGTGGTAATGATTTATAATAGTAACTGATAGATATTGTTTTTCCTGTGCTAGGCATCATACAATTTCATGGGAGGCTAAACGCAATGCCTTGTGCAGGCTAAATTCAGTATTAGTTGCTTTATTGTTGATAAAATGCTTCTTTTATAGTAATAGCTACTGATACATTCCCATTTTATAATGAAAGTGAGGCACAATAAATTTTCCAAGGTTATAAAATTAGCAGTTACTGAGTATTATTCTCAAGCGTACGTGAGTCCAAAATTAGTGCTAAAAACCAAGATATTTGAGTCTAGCCTTTGTGAGCAATACTGTGTTGAAGAACCACTATAGGGGCTAGGAGTGGCAGCACATGCCTTTACTCCCAGCACCCTGGAGGCAGAGGCACAAGAATCTCCCAGCCTCATCTGCAACCAGGAGCCACTAGAGAATACTGTTTCTCCAGGAATGCTTATTAGGTTCAGACTTAGGATTTATACGTAAGCAATGGATTTTCAGTTAAAGAAGACTTCTTTTAAGACTTAAAACTGAACACAATCAGAATTATTGAATTATTCTGCAAAACAGTAAAATAAAGCAGTCTGAAAAGGGGAATTTTATGCAACATTGCCTTGAACATACTTTGTCAGGTAAGAAGATAATTTTGAATTAATTTTAATGAAAGAAATCGTTTTGACACGAAGAGGAAGTCTAATATAGTGAAGATGCAGACTTTGATGTTCTTGTGTCTTTGTAAAAATCCTCTTGTGAGCCTTTGTAGCCATTAACCTACTAGAGTGTACTAAGTGCTCCTTGCTTCATAGAAGCAAAGTAGAACAAGTTCACCCTTGCTTAAGTCTGATTGCTGTAGAACCCCACATCTAGCAGGAGAGCTTTTCTATGCACACATTATGCCTTCAACACTATTTTCACTTGAGTCTTATTATGATTGCTGTGGTTTACCTACGGTTTTTGTAACAGTGTTCATCTCGACTCTCTACAATTTCATTTTTTTCCCCTCCAGCAACTAAATAACATGGAAACAGTTATGGGCAGGGAAATCAACAGGCTGGTATCAAAACAGTGAAGCATTTTTGGTTTTGTTTCCCCCCATGAAACATTGTTGACTTTTGTTTTGATCATGTTGGCAAATAGTTGAGAGAACGTGAAGCATTCATATAGTCAAGTCACTGCCTCATAATGCAAAGAATAGGGATAGGGATAGGAAACATGGCCTGGAGGCGCTGGCTCTGATTATACCCGGCAGTGACATTTTGGGCAAGCTGCCTTGTCCCCTTGGCCAGATATCATTAGATTAAAGCAAAGAATATGGTTAAAAGAGAGATTAAATTACATGATCCCTTAAAGTCTACCAACAAAATTTTAAGTTTATGTCTAGTTTCTCAACTAGTACGTGTTTCCTATTGGTTTGTTTGATTTTATGTCTGCTTATATAGTCTTTAAAAATATTTCATTGCTGTTGGCCTGATATTTATAGGATATTTTCCCCTTCTCCTTCATGTAACTGTCTGATGGGTAGACATATTTCCAAATAATTTTTACATTCTCACTGGCACATGGGAACATACATACTTTCCTCCCTCTCCTCTCTACCCTCTCTCTTTTTGAGATTGATTTTTTTTAAAACTCAGGCTGTTAGCAGTGTAGCTAGATGTCTTTGAACTGATGATTCTGCTTGTCTCCCAAGTCCTAGGATTGTAGATATGTGTTCCTGTAGTTGACTATGAGTACATTTTGGTTGCATTTTTCTTGATTTAGATTTTTGTTTAATTTTCATGAACTGATCACAACAGGAAGAATAGACAAATGGAAAATTTGTGTGTATATGTAGGGGGTCTGTAATATATTTATGTATTTATAGATTGTTTGCTGGGAAAAGTATTTATTTTAAAATGAGAGCTTCATTGCTTTATTAATTATCAAAATAACAGTGTTGCTCTGTCCATTGGGTGGTAGCCCCTAACTTAACAACTTCTGTTGCTGTGCTTCTAGAGGAGTGCTGTAATTCCTGTTCCACAGTTAAGATAGAGGCTGCACTTAGAAATGTTAAATGAATACAGTGTTTGTTCATGCCTTATGCAAACACTTTAAAGGCTGTGTTGAAAGTCTCTTAAGCACCTTTCCTGGCCTCCATAATTAGGGCAAATAATGTGGATTTTAACCCCATTATGTAAGCTCAGAGAGTAGTTCATATTTTAATTTCTTATATACAGAATCTATTTCAGTAATAATTCCCTGCTTAAAAAGAAATTTTAAGTTAGGACACACATCTCTTTTGGATTAAGAAAATTAAAAACATAATGGTTTATTCTTATGGCATTTATTTTCCATATGTTTATTTTGAGTTTCTCTAATTCCATCCAAAAAAACACATTCTTTTTTCAAAGCCACTGGGTTTTATCTAGGATCTTTTCCTATTTATTTATATATTATAACAAGGAATTAGTATGTATTTGCTGAAATAACTGAGAGCTAAACTTTCACCAACACTTTCAGTATGGCTACTTGCCAGTTCTAAAATTGAAGGAAAAAGAACAAACCTTAGCTATGAATGTCTAGTTAATGTCGCTGTTGTAAAACTCTATTGTAAGCAATCTCGCTTTGTTCCTATTTGCTGCCACTATTCTTGCCTGTTCCACTAAAGGAAAGAATAAGAATGAAGGTCATTTCATGTACTCACCAGTTCTCTTGTGGGGTCAGCCTACCAAGGTAGGTCTCAGGAAAGCTAGTAACCTTGTCTTTTTGATCAGGTGATTTTAACCTACAGTGTAGTCTGTAGGTTCTCTTCTTAGACTGGCTTTGCAGCTTACATTCCTCTGTTTATAATGTCGTGAGGGCTGGTTTCAGCTGAAGCTGATGTGATTGGTCACTTAGTCTGCAGGGGGGCCAATTAGCTCTGATCATGTGGAAAAGAATGCTGGTTTGTTAGGAGGTCTTTCTTTACCCAACACAAACCTTAACAACTCTGGAGAAAGCCTCCAGAACTGACGTGGAGAAGGGGTGCATTTTTTCCCTCTAATCAGGACCGGTTTTTAGTAAGTTTGCATAATCTTATTTAAGAGTTTATTTGAAAGTTCAAAAGGATAAAATTCCCTGCAAGATTTCCTTTCAGCCCTCTCTTCTTATATTCCTTGTTAAAGTGTGAGGTATCTCTTTCAGGAATCTTTTTTCCACCATTTCTTGAGGGGAGATTTTGTTGGGTAAGGATGTTTAGGCATAATTGATGAGTTGATATTTCTGGCTTTATCAGATCTCACCTCATCAGCATGGCTAAGATTAGTTTCAAAATGAGTAGGGATAGATCATTTAGTTACCTGAAACAGTGCCCATTCCCTCCTTCCTAATTGCAAGGTAACAGACATTGGTTTTTGTTTGGTTTTAAAGCTGTGTAGTAGGATTTGACTAGGAATATGATTGTTTGATACCTTGTACTTTTCTTTAAACAGCACCCTCGTGAGGGAAGGAAAGGGTTTTTTTAAGGCTTGCTTTAGTGATCCTTCACAGGGTCTTTTCTTGGTATATTTGATGAAGTAGAATAAAACAGTTTTCAGGGTACATGAATTGTAACTCAGTAGTGAAATTGTGTTTACCTGGAAAATGTCAGCAGTTTAGCTTGTAGCAGCCTGCACATGAGCTAGAAAGGATGGCCTTGTGTAATGCCTGGTGAGCAGTATTTTCTTCTCTGGTAGCTGCCAGTTTTAAAACTTTGATCAAATGTTACACATAAGAGGATCTGAGAAACAAAGGCACTGTTTGTTTGAAGTAAAAGCTTGGAGAGGCCTGCTGAGAAAGTTATGAATGTAGACCAATCTAATGCTACTTAGGAAGGGAAATCCGACTTTGTGGATTCCTCTCCTTCCCTTCACAATTAAAAAAAATACATTAATTCCTTCTTTGTTTTATTAATGCCAAACATTAATACAAGTTTAGACACAGCACTAGTAACTGTGACCTTTAGAACCAGGGAAGGTAATCAAGGTGAGATTCACATGTAAGACTTATTCCCTGCATGTGCTGTTAGGAATTTGTGTTATTTTCCAGCTAGCGGATTGAGGAAAACACCTAACTGAAACAGCAGAAACGCTGGAGCGAGTAGTGGGACACTGTTCCCAAAAAAGCAGAAGCACATTAGCATGTCTTGCATTGTCTTTAACAGTAGGTAAGACAGAAAAGAATGTCATTTAATTTAGGAAACACCTCCCACTATAAAGAAAAAGGCATTTTGACTGTATAGTCTACTGTGGCCTTCAACTCATGATTCCCTTGCCTCAGCCTCCCAATTACTGAGATTATAGACACGTACCACTGTGCCTGACAGACTTCTTCAAAAATATGCTCTTATTCCAGACTGTATTGATACAAAAATGATACATTAAGTTAATAAATGTCTTTAGCAGGTATAGTAGCTCATATCTGTAATCTTAGCCATTGGTCAGCTGAGGCAGTAGGATTGTTTCGAGTTTGAAACCAGTCTCAGCTACACACCCACACGTACATATACAAACATGCACCTACACAACGACTTATGTGAAATAGTTTTCTAATTCTGGGACTCTTTCAATTTGAGAGCCTGCTGTGGACAGTGTCACTGATGGCTGACTATTGTCGTTAGACTTTGACTCTGGAGCTGAGCATTCCCATGACAGTCACTTGGGCATCTAAATTATTGGGAGATAGTGCTATCAGAATGACTGAGGTGACATTGGTAATGGCCCATGAGATATGCCACCTTCACCCTAAAAGACATAGTAAGGTAACTGGAGTTGGATTTCAAACATCTCTTCTGTGTATGAACATAAATGCTACTGATCCATCGATGATTTTTTTATTAAGAATTATAATGATTATACCAAGTGTCACAAACAAGTAAATTTAAATTAGTCTTTATTAGATCCAAATTTCTGACCCTAAAAGTACTGATTCCTACTTTAGCTGAAGTAGCCTAGTGTACAGTTTACAAATACACTGCAGTTTTCTTTAAAATGGCAGGATTTGTTGGAGTGCAGTATCTTGCCTACTGGTCTGTCTGACTGGTTGCATGTATTCTTAACTGATTTGACGATGTTAAAGATACCTAGACTCCTTCCAGTTCTGCATGGTGAGATATGTCAGGCTGTTCTGGGTGTGCTATCCACACACTGAGTATGAGGGCTGTTGGGATGGGGTCACATGTCCATTGTTTGAGGTACTTTTTCAGAGACTCTTCCTCTAGTCATCCAGGCAGAAGCAGCTGAACTTTCAGGACCGTGCTCACCAGCTGAGCAGAGGACAAGCTGCAGAAGTTTAGAGACTCCCAGTGTAGACTTTAAACCCTGTTTTCACCACTCTGGAATTATGACTATTAAGAGCAAGGGGAAGTAAGTGTCCATACTTGGATGGGATTCCCTTTCACTATTTAATAGAGAAACACAAAGTCAATTGTTACAAAAATTTGCACATAAACAAGCTTCAAAGTCTGTCCCATAATTCCGCTTTTGCTTTTGGAGTTTGAGTACTTGTAAGCTCCAAGTTTCACAGCTGTAGATTTTGTTGGCTGAATGCCTCTGTGCTCCATCTGAAGTTTTCCATAAACACCAGTTTTGGCTGTGAGTCAAACATGCACACAGGTGCCCTTTTACCGCTCCTTCTCCTTAGGAAGTCCGCCCAGAAGACCAGGCAGAAGCCAGCACTAAATTTTCATTTAATTTGTAGAAAACTCCTATTTTGTCTTAATACATTAAGGAAGAAACAAGTATAAACTGTCATTGGGGGATACTACTTGTACATAATATACTACATCTGTATTTTAACAGCTATATGCCTTAAGTGACTATAAGGCAGTAGAATTTCATGATATAACAGTTGTTTACTATATTGAGCAGAAATTTTTTAATTGAATTTTTTTTTTTTTTTACCTTTTGAAGATCGCAGACACCGTTAAGATTAAGATTCTGAAAGCCTTAGACTGTTTGCTCTGAAAAACAAAACATCCTTGGTCACAGCATGCTTCCTGTTTAGGGCCTCTCAGCCCGGAGCTCACCCTTGATTATAGTTTGGGAATAGCTGCTTTACCTAGTCTCTCTTTCCAGTTTGGTGTGTTGAAGGCTCCCTGGTGACTGCCTTCTCCAGATATTCCAGGCAGTTTCTAGGTGTGTACCAGCAGACAGCAAGCATGAGGGCTGTAGGGGTAGGGGCATATTCCTATTGCTTGAGATATTTTTAAAAAGAAAATTCTGATCTGCTATAGTCTTTCCAGTCTCTCTGTAGCCAGGAACTATACTGCTTATATACATGCATTTACAGACTATTTCATTAGATTTTAAATCATCTTATTTATAAATTGAATTTTCAAAAGAAGTTACCAGAGTTGTTCTTTACTCAACTTTGTCATAGTGCTGATGTGTTACAAAGAGTCTGAGTTTGAGTGCTAGAAGGGTCTATGTGGGTGGCCCTCATTGTTGCCTTGGCCACCGTAGAACACTGCAGTTACTAGAAACAAAAAGAGGATAAGATAGCATCTTTTAAACTGTCTGCAAATAACTTCGATGCTTGTCATTTAAGTTTCATCAAGAATACACAAATGTACCAGGTGTGGTGCTGCATGCCTTTAATCCCAGCACTTGGAAGGCAGAGGCAGGTGGATCACTGAGTTCCAGGACAGAAAGGGCTACACAGAGTAACTGTCCTGAAAACTGAATAAACGAAAAGAGAGTGCAAATCTATAAGTCTTTTAAAACTAGATTATCCAAGTGAAATTCTTTGACATTTCTCCTTGTTTACCAGAATTTATACACCAGATACCTACTTATTAGAAAAGGCCCCAAACTATTCCAGAGGTTCTTTATTCAGTTATTTTTAGTTATTAGTAGCAATTGCAAATGTTTTTTATATTGTTTGAAGCCACATGTCTTCTTAAATTAATTTCTAGAACAAAACTTTTCTATTGAAGAAGTTGATCTTAACCATTTTTTTCCAGAAATAAACATTTTGAAATTATTTTGGTGGAAATACTGAAATAAAAACAAGTTGCCCTAAGTTGTACTATCCGTCATCCTTTTGGAGCTTGGCATGCTTAAATCCTAGATCTTCCTGCTGCTTCCAATGGGCATAGTTGTGAGTAACCCACCGAGAGTAATGTAGTAAAGATGGGTTAGGAGGGTGCCGGCCTAGGTTCTATTTCTGATTCATGACTCAGCTATGTGATCTTGGGAAACCACCCACAGGTATCTCTTTCCACACAGGAACAATAGCGATGGTGAGGTTTAACTTAATCTCCTGTGGTTTTTAGGACTATCAGGTGAACTATATCAGGACATTGTATCAACTATAATGTATCAGGTCCTTTATTCCTATGTGTATCCCTGGGCTGTGGAGCAGAGGGCAGGCGCTATGTTCAAGTCTGTCTTTGTAATCTCCTGTGTCTAATAGGGTTTGTTTATGAAAGAGGCATAATGTTAACTTTTACTCTAGCTTTGAGAAAAACAGTCAAATGGCAAGAGTAATACCATTTCTTTGGGGGAAATATATGATAGTAATCATAAAAACTGAATATGACGCGTTCCCAAGGGAGCATATCTCTATGGCCACCAAAATTTTATATAAGAATGTTCAGAAGCGTGTAGTTAATAATAGCAAAAAGCAAGAAATAACCTAAATGTCAGCAATTTAAGAGCAGTACATTGCAACTATTTCTTCAGTGAGATCCGTATACCAGTGTAAAAGAACAAGCTATTTTTCAGAGATAAATTAATATTCCATTTATATAAAGAAGTTCATGGCCGGTGATACAGCTCAGTGTTTGCTGTGCAAAGCCTGATGACTTAAGTTTAATCTCCAGGATTCATGTAAAGGCAAAAGGAGAGAACCAACTTCACAAAATTGTCCTCTGTCTTCCTTGTAGATTTTGGTGTGTATGTACTCCATTCCCCAAATAAGGTTTTTTTCCCCTCTTTTTAAAATTGTTTATTTATATCACAGTTTCTCCTCCCCCCAAATAAAGTTTTTTTAAAAGTAAATTCCAAAAGGGCAAAATTAAGAAATCAGGATAGTGTATGGATTTGAAAAGGCTGATGGTGGTATATGTGAAGATTTTTGAGAACCTCCCCCCCCCCCCCAAACTAAGGTTTGATTTTATACAATCATTTGATAAAAACTCAGTGAATTGCACATTTGTCATGTGTTCACCTAAGAATGTTGAACTTTAATTAAAAGGGGTTTTGAAGAGTAGAGCAGGAAAGAGTGAAGTCTATTTACAATTCCTTGAGTCTTTTTCACTCTTTTCTTTGGAAAACAACTGTAAGTCCTAAAGGTTGAATGTAGGATTGTAAGGACTGTTGTCATCTGGGTTTCCTTGGTTTACCAATAATTCATAATTGAAACCTTTCTATTGTTGTTATCCATGTGTTATATTTGACATGTGAAAAGTATGTGATCATTCTTAGCAATTGTTTTATAGCAGCCGGCACCTAGTAACTCAAATTTGAATTCTCATTGATTTGCTAGTGTTCATGGAAATTCAGGCTTCTTCATATCAGTCCCACTCCCCTCAGCTGAGAAATGTGAGGATATAATTGACTTGTTAGCATTACTAGGAGACGAGTAATTATAGAGAAATATTTGCTTTCAGAAGTGAAAACTGTGGCTGTAAGGCAGCAGGAGTGTAAATTCCAGTTACTCAGGCTCTGTGGTGATCCTCTGCATCCAGCCACTTACAAAGCAAAAGCAGAAGGATTACCTGAGCCTGACTGTTGAAAGCCTATCTACACCAGTCAATGAAGCAAGGATCTATGAGGGGGAGGGGAGGACACACATCTTACTTGTATGCATGTTTGTATGTATGCATTAACTCCTGGCCTAGTTATGTTCTCCATTCTTGCTCTTGCTCTCTCTTTCTCACGCGCTCTCTCACATGCTCACTCTCCTGTGTGCTCACCCCTTTGCTCTCTCACTGTATAGTGTGGCTCAGATTGCCTTGAACTTTTTGGCAGTCTTGTTTCAGCGTTCAAGTTTAAGATTGTAGAATTATTAGTACTTTAGTGATTTAACTTTTAATTTATTAAGCTCTAATAGTGTATTCATTTGGGAAAAGTGATATCCCGTGTTTGGTGAGTTCTGCCTTTTGCTATTAGTGCTGTATTGCTTCCTTTGATATGTTCACTACTCTCAAAGATTCTGTGTGGAAAAGCAGATGATGAAAATGAGTGGCTAGATTAGTTTAGCCATCTGTCATTAGTACTTTGTATTCTCACAGCTCAGTAGCATTTGTGACAATTCTCATTGTCTTTCATATTCAAATACATTGAAGGTTTCTTCTAATTTCTCTCTTGTATGGACAGCTACATTTTTCATGAAGCCATATAACAAATACAGTGTTTTTAAAGTTTATTGACCTCTCCATCTAAGCAGGAGAGCCTGGGAGGTCCTTTAGTGCAAAGAAAGAGTGTTACTGTACTTGAATCTATATCGTTGATTCACTGTGCTATAAATTACTATTGAGTGCTGTTTAATAATGAAATGTGTTTCTAGACAATTTCCAGAGGTTATTTATTGAGCCTCAATGTTGTCAGCCATAAAATGGGAAAAATAACTTCCTGTAAGAAGTATTTTAAATAAAATCAGTTAAGTGGTTTTTGGGGTCTCCTCTCTCTCTCCCTCCCCCTCCCCCTCCCCCTCTCTCTCTCTCTCTCTCTCTCTCTCTCTCTCTCTCTCTCTCTCTCTCTCTCTCTCTCTCTCTCTCTCTCTCTCTCTCTCTCTCTCTCTCTCTCTCTCCTCTCTCCTCTCTCCTCTCTCCTCTCTCCTCTCTCCTCTCTCCTCTCTCCTCTCTCCTCTCCTCTCCTCTCTCCTCTCTCCTCTCTCCTCTCTCCTCTCTCCGCGTGTGTGTGTGTGTGTAGTGGGACACATATGTGTGGAGGCTGTCAGGTTTGATGGCAAGAACCTTTACCCACTGAGGCACTATGATTCTGAGGCATTTCGTTATTTAGTTATAATAATACCTCCTAACAATCTAAAAACTGTGTGAACAAGCAGGATGTTAAGCCTTCATATATATAAAATGTAATATAACTAGAAACAGATCTCCTCATTGGATTCCTTTTTCTTTAAAACCTTTATTGTGGTTTAGTTGAAAGGATCTGTCATCTAGAGAACATGTAACTGTTGCAGACTGAGGGTTTTAGTGTTCTCCATTTTCAACTAATGTGAGATTTTGTAAGATGTTAGGAGTTATATGTCAGCATATACCAATTTGGTTTATATTGCCTACAGTTTTTTAAATCATTAATGTAACTCTTAAAACATAACTGTTAGACAACATAGCTTTGAATTCTGTCCAAAAATCAATTTGTCATATTCCTATATTGCTGAGTCTTTACAGTACACGACTTTCACTTTTAAATTTCCAATCTGTTTTTTAATAAAAGTGGTTGAAATGTATACATTTCTTGATCTGGGAGACTCTCCTATGCCAGTTGGTTATATAAGTTAAGGTAGTCATTTAATAAAAATGTCTTTTAAAAAAGTTTATGCTGCTAGGGAAAAGTTGGCAAAATGCACCATTGGATGAAAATAGCAGGAGTACAAAATAGTATGCTATTATCCTCAGGATGTGTGTGTAGGAGTTATCTGTACATGACTAAATGTACATATGGGCAGTTTTTAGAAGATTTTATAGGAAACTAGTGATGGCTCTTCTTAATGTTGGGGACTAAGTCTCTGGAGTTCTTATGTAGAAGGAAGATTAGTTGAATTTTCATTGTATGTCTTTTTTTAGTAAAGGATTTATTGTATTGTTTTGTGTCTGTGAGTGTTTTGATTGCATGTATATACATGCTTGCCTGGTGCCAGCAGAGTTGAGAAGAGCATTTTGAGCAGCTGTATGGGTGTTGGGAACAGAACCAGGATTCTCTGCAAGAGCAAGTGCTCTTAACTGTGAGCCATTTCTCTAGCTCCTCATTGTGTGCCTTTTAAAATTGCACTTATTATTTTTGTTTAGAAAACAATTGCCCAATCTTTGAACATTGAACTTCATAAAAAGTATATTTGCATGTATACATATTGTCAGTTTATTAACACTTTTTGGACATTGAAAGGAACAGGTAAGTGGAAAGTTTGAGGTATTACGTGTTTCTCAAAATCTTTGCTGGTAAGAACTTGTGCTAACTTACCATGTTTTCTTATAGGAAGACCAAATTTTGAGGAAAGTGGACCAACATCTGTGGGGAGAAAGCATGAATTCATACGGTCAGAAAGTGAAAACTGGCGAATTTTTAGAGAGGAGCAAAATGGAGAAGATGAAGATGGAGGTTGGCGATTAGCTGGATCAAGAAGGGATGGAGAGAGGTGGCGACCTCACAGCCCAGGTAAGAGTTGTGTTGTGTAAAGGACAAAGGAGCTGAAATGAGAGCTTGCTAAACATGATTGGGATTTAATAGAAAAGGAAAATAGCTTGTTTGTTACGTTTTTGTTTTTAAAGAAATCATTTATGCTGTCACAGTTCAGGCTTATTATTACAAAAATATTTCAACAAAACAATTCTCCAACACATCTACTTAGTTGATTGAAATCACTTTTCTATTTTCCTGGGGCAAATACGATGGTTTAATAGGAAGTACCTGCCTGCATTTGCAAACATGGGGGAAGATTTCATTCCAATTTTTACCTCTTAACCTTTAATCTATCTGTAGCATTCTTTAAAACTTAATAGGACATAGTAAAAAAATAATCTTACAAATGTATAATTATATGTTTGGAATGTGTGTTGTCTTCGTGAATATTTTTTTCTGAACAAGAAAGGATTATTCTCCCCCCTTTCTTCCTTTGAAAATGTGATTGGGGAGGGGGAGGCTTATTTGAAGAATAAACTTTAAACTCAGGTCAGAAGTAATCACAAGTTTATTCATTTGTTCTCTTGACCTTAGAAAGGAGAACAAGAATAGTAATGATTAGTAAATTTCTAAGTTCTTCTTTGGACTCTTAATGTTTCAAACCATTCTTGGGCATTAGCTGTGCCAATAATAGAAGACACTGGTGCTTTGTGAAGCTCCTTTGCTTCCATACTCATGATGCTCAGATGTACTGTAGCTTGAATCTTTGGGTCACATAGACAGAATGTGTCTGCCCTGTGAAGCATAATAATACCATCTGTGTTACCTTAGTAGGGTATTATAACAATATAAGTATTTTTCTCATTTTAAAGTCAAGTTGTTAGCCAAACCTCTAACCTAGCTGTAGCAGGGGTTTAGTTTGTTACTGAGTAGTATGTAAATAGAAACATAATGAAATTAACCTTTTGATAAAAGCCTGATTATACCAGTTCTTCACAGCTGCCTCTTGGGCAGGTTTTCTGTCATGAATGGATATTGTTTACATCATAGGACCCAGGCAGTTCTCATCAGTTTGTGTCCTAGGCAACCACATGTCATAATTCTCTTCAAGGCATTGCAGCATTTTGTGCTGAGCTTGCCTGTAAGGAGAGGGGTTGTAGACTTATGTTCCCAACAAGCATTCAGTGAAGAATGGACAGAATCTGGGCTGAAGGAGAAGAGAAATTCCAGCTGGTCAAAAACAAACAAGGTGAATGTTTTGGAAGATGAACAGTGCTTCTGAGCCCAAGTGTGTGATATTGTGTCTATTAAAGGGAGTTAGGTCAACCTTTAGTGTTGTCTTCTGCTGTTGTCCTCCCCTAGCAGCCTAGAATTTGGCCATGCAGTGTTTTTTCTCATCTATCTTTTCTAAATCTTTCCCCTTCATTTGTTTTTGTTGTTTTCTTTTTTTCTTTTTTTTTTTGGTTTTTCCAGATAGGGTTTCTCTATATGGTTTTGGAGGCTGTCCTGGAACTTGCTCTGTAGACCAGCCTGGCCTTGAGCTCACAGCCTCTGCCTCCCTAGTGCTGGGATTAAAGGTGTGTGCCACCAATTCCCGGTTCATTTGTTTTTCATAATAGTTTTGTCCAGCTTCATAGTCTACTTCTGCCCACCTTGTCCATGTATTTTTAAAATTTTTATGGGATAAAGACAAAAGAGATCTGGAAAAAAACTCATGTGCTTTTTTGGGGGTGAGGGTACCTGACATATCGAAAATGTAGTCTGATTACTTAGTTGTTATAAGGTAATTTTCATTTCTTAGATTATAATTAATTTTTATTATAATTAGAGTAAAATTTTCAGTATAGTATTTTAGACTGACTTTGAAAATTTTTCACTTTATTCTAGACGTAAAGCCCATATAAAGCTGTGTTCAGCCTTAATGAGTTTCCCTCACTTGCTACATTTAGTTTCACTAGAAAAATTTTGCTAACTCTTGGTAAGATAGCATTTGGGATGTAGTTTTATTAAAGCAGGGGTCACAGCTGGATATAACTGGAGATAGGGCTCCCAGGACAGGGAAGTCACCACTCTAGGAGATGAACTTAGGAAACTCAGTAAGAGGGAAACAGGAGCCAAGTGCCTAGAAGGATAGATTCCTATCAGTGTGCATACTTAGACTGTTTAGAAATGATAGTGGACAGCTGACTCGGAATCCAACATTTGATCAAGAAGGCTCCTTTTGAGTAATGATTGCTCTAGCCTTACATTTAAACAAAGCATATATAAAATTCTGGGCTCTCAGGTAGTGAATGTTTTACATATGAAAGATTCTGTCTTTTTTGAACATCTCAAGTTTCTACTTGTATGTGGCAACTTAATGTTTTCCATAGTATTTTTCCCCCTCCTCTTCCATTACACACTAATTGTAGATTGCTGGTTCTAGCAAATTTGTTCTCAGGAGTAAGAGCATTTCACTTTGGCCTCATTTGTTCCTGTATATCTCAACAGAATGAGAGTCAAGACTACAAACTTCATAGAAGTTAAGAACCACCTTTCCTTTTGGGACTCTTAGATGTAGCAAGAACTTCCATTTCCCTCTTAGAGGAATACTTCTGTTTTAGAGAAATACCTTGAGCAAACAGTCATTTTCCTTTGGAAAGTAGATTCAGTAAATAGTATGCCGGGGTGGACTCAGGAATGCCCCTGAGGGTGTTCGACAGGAAGAAGAGAGAGCTGAAGAAAGTGGGAAGGAGGAAGTGTGCTGCTGTGGGAAAGCAGCCGAGGATGCAGGACTGTGTGGCTCTGCCCTGCCGCTGTGCTAGGAGGTTTGTCATAGAGAATCATCTGTCAGCGCTCAAACGTCAGGATTTTTTTTTGTTGGCGATAAGCATTATAAATGAGAAATTAACACTGGTAATTAGGCACAGTGAGCTTGATACGAATTGACACTGGACCTGATGTAATTCAGAGATTTTTTTTTTATAAGAAAAAGGATATTTTAATACCTACCAAGGGGAAGGCACGAACTTTAATTCAGAAAGACAGCCAATGCTCTAGGAGTGGACTATACAAGTATTAATCAATGCTCACTGAATGCCTAATTATTCAGAGTGCATACTTTGAGTAAAGTATCCTTTCAGTGTGCTTTGTTTTAAATTTATCTTTTAAAGCTTTACTTTGTAACATGCTACAGACTTTGAAGGTAAATAAATACTGTGTCACTTAGTGATGGCAAATGCTCTGAGCTCACTTCTCCTGATTTTTCTCTCTAGAAGGCTGATCCATTAGAATTTGCTCTTAGTTGTAGTTGTCTTCTTTATTTCATAACCATGATTTTCTTTTTCAAATACTGTCATAAACGTTTCCTAAGGTTTCTGTCCTCCTCTTCAACTCAGATGGCCCTCGGTCTACAGGCTGGCGGGAGCACATGGAACGCCGCCGGAGGTTTGAGTTTGATTTTCGAGACCGAGATGATGAGCGGGGTTACCGAAGGGTGCGCTCTGGCAGTGGGAGCATAGATGAGGACAGGGACAGCTTGCCGGAATGGTGCTTAGAGGATGCGGAAGAGGAAATGGGCACGTTTGACTCGTCTGGAGCATTCCTCTCTTTAAAAGTAAGAGACTTGTTTTAAATGCTGTGACAGGCACTGACCCTACACCAAAGCCAAATATGTTGTTAACTTTGGTTTACCTTCTTGCTACAGAAAGTACAGAAAGAACCTATTCCTGAAGAGCAGGAAATGGACTTCAGGCCTGTGGAGGAGGGAGAAGAACGCTCTGACTCTGACAGCAGCCATAATGAAGAGGCCAAAGAACCTGATAAGGCAAATAGGACAGAGGGAGAGAAAACAGACAGAGCAGGAACTGGTAAGGCTTTTTTTTTTTTTTTGTCTTCCTGGATCCTATGTAAACCAAAACCTCCCTGAATTCACTTACTATTATATTACTTTGTGTTCCAGAAGCTAACGAAGAAGCACCCCAAACATCATTATCATCTGCTAGACCAGGTACCCCTTCAGATCCTCAGCCTCAAGAAGCACCACAGTTGGAAAGAAAAGATGAACCCAAAGCTGAACAAATAGAAAAACCTGAAGAAGAGAGTCGGACAGAAAATAGTCTCCCAGTCAAGGTCCCCAGCAGAGGGGATGGTATGTATTTGTGAGAGTGTACCTAAAATGGGATTTTGCTGAGACCAGTAGTCAATGGGGTGACAGCTTTTACTTAACCTCATGGAACTGTTTTCAGGGGATGAATGATTGGAATGGGTATCATTACCAGTAAATGCAGTCAGATATTGCTTTCGTCATGTTTCTTAACCTCAAAATTTATGAAAACAGTTAAAGTCTGATGAAGTGGAGATTAGAGCCTCACTTTCTCAGGTGATGTAGCTGTCTTGACTACACTTGAACATTTGGTTGGGTTCTTGTGGATTTGTTGGATTCCAATAGCAGATAGTTGCTTTCCGTCTAGTATCATATAGGCCACTTCCCACCAAGATGCCGTTGTCCCAAGGGAACAGAAGGAACTGCTTGGCTAGTCTGGGAGCCCATCATCACCTTTGTGAGAAAGCAAGTCTATACACATCTTTAGTGTTAATTGTGTTTGTTTGAATGGCTCATACATCTCAAAAGCACTATAGTTGTGTATTTATTCTTGTAAATACTTAAACATTGCACTGTAATGGCTGATGTTGATTTAGTCACCATAAGAGTCTGCTCTTTGTAACATAGCCTGCTAGACTTGGGATCTATCACATGACTCCTCTGTAGTTTCAGCATTAGCTCTTTTATCTCCCCCACATTGTACTCACCATCCTGAAAGTGATTTGTGCCCTGTTTTTGTGTTTGTGCTTCTCTATGTAACTGAAGCTTTATTCTCTTCTATTTAGGTTGTTGTCTTCTATTTCTTAGTAACCAGTACTATTTTTTAGTTAACAATGTTACTTGTATATGCCTAACGATATTGTAAAGATTTAAGGTCTCCCCATCCCATTAGATTAATATATTGAATACCTGAACCAAAAATTTGTTTTCAGGCTGGACATTGGTGGTGCATGCCTTTAATCCCAACACTTGGAGGCATAGGCAGGTGGATCTAGAACAGCCTAGTTTATCCACAGAGTTAGTTCCAGGACAGCCAGGGCTGGACAGCCAGGGCTACACAGAGAAACAAATTAAGAAATACTTGCATCTGTATCTATGCTATGGGACTTAGACCTCTTTTTTTTTTTTAAATACTTTATTTGGCAATTTCATGTATTTATACAATGCACCTTGATCATTATGTCTACCCTCTGGACTTTCCCTAGCACATCTCCCTGTTCACCACATGCCAGTTTTTTCTTTTAATAACCCACTAAGTCCAGATAGGTTGCCCATCTGTACACATATTTGAAGCCATTCTCCAGAGCTGTACAATCTATGTGTAGTCACATCCCTGAAGAAAAGTGACTCTTTCCTCAGCAGCTCTTATCTGCTAATAACCTTTCACCTGGAGGAGTGTTTTTCGCCTCTTGAGACCTTTTTGGTTCATAATAGTTGTCTCTTGGTTGTTCTGTGTCCAGGAGTGGAGCAAAAGTCTTATCCAAGAAAATTGTGAGTCTAGGTATGAATATTTTGAGAATATTGTGTATTAAAGGCTAACATTTCAGATATTCTGTCTGGAGTTAAATTGTGTGGCTATCAAAATTGGAAAATAAGATATTACTATTAGCAGGACCTTGGGATTTTTCCGGAGGTATGTAGTCCTAGATCTTAGATAGGAAATAGAATTTGGTGGTATAGATAAAGCTGGATCAATTGAGAGAACATTGTAGTACCAGGGAATGGTGAAAGTACAGTGAGAAAATATGGTTGTTTGTTCCATGGGCAAGAAATAGTTTTATTTATTACATTTACCCACCCATCCCAACATGTGTATGTTTACATATTACATGCACATATGTACCTAAAAGTAGAAATTTGAGACCATCTTCCAAGAGTCACTTTTCCTGCTCTACCATATAGACTCTGGAAATTGAGCAACGCCGAGCCCCACTGAGATACTTTGCTATCTCCTCAGGTCACCCACCCACCCCTTAAAAAATAGGTAGTGTGTGTGCTAAGAAGGTTGGTAGAAAACGTGGTTGCAACTTAGATTTGATAGCTTTGTGTAGGGTACCAAGACACATGGGCTACTATGTGATTTGAACTTCTGAGGAGACAAAGTAGGCAATGCACTTGTAAATTGAGGTAGATGAAATTTTAGTCAAAAATGGACAGACTTATTTATTGATTATACATGATGGTGGAAAAGAGGCAGTGATAGCTAAGGTGGCTCAGAAGATTAGGTACCGGGAAGCAAGAAGTTGAAGAGGCCATTTGAGAGGGGAATGATTCGTGGCTGTGAAACACGAAGGAGGAAGAGTTGACCAGAAAAAGGTTGTAAATGAGGGAACTGTAGGTGGATGGGTGCAGTTTATAGCCAGGGAGATAATAAAAGTCTAAAGGTGTAACTGGGTCCATTGTGGTGGCACAGGCCTGTAATCCCAGCAATTGGGAATTTGGAGGATTGAGAGTTTGAGGCCAGCATGGAATAAGGAGTATGGTGACTGCTTCAAAAACAAAATTAAAAGCACAACGAATCCATACAGTTGGTAGGGTGAGGAAGACAAAGGAATAAGCAGTAGCTTGGATAATTCCTAGTTCTAGGGATGGGAATTCCTTTGAGAGACAGAGGTATAGCTTACAGATGCAGTAAGAAAAATTCAAGCTTAGACTCGGGTCAACAATGTCAGCTGCTCCAGAGACTAGCTAATGATGGCAAGGAAAAGTCACTGAATCTGGCAGTATTGTGTCACTGTGTATCTTTGACTGGGTACTTTACTGGTGAGAAGGGGCAAACAGAAGTCCTGTCAATCACTCACACAGAAGCAACATGTATAGACTGAACTTAAGTTTGGCAATGCTTGAGGGAAGCAAGTATTTGAAGAGTCTCTTTGTGATTAAACATCCAAGGTTTTAAAGCAGAAACTGTAATCTGATATAGTTACCCCCTTTTTCATACTTGTTTCAGGAGCCAAGGACTGGAGAGATGGCTCAGTGATAAGACCTGGGTTCAAATCCATATGGCAGCTCACAACTATCTGTAACTACATTTCCAGCGATCTGACACCCTCACACAGATATGAATGCAAGCAAAACACCAACATCCACACACAAATAAATAAAAATTTTAAAAAATGTTTTTAAACTGGGCAGTAGTGGCTCACTCCTTTAATTCCAGCACTAAGGAGACAGAGAGGTAAATCTCTGAGATCAAGGCCAGCCTGGTCTTAAAGAGTGAGGCGCCCCCCCCCAAATAACAAAAAGCACTTTTAGAATTTCTAGTCTTAAAAAACACCCTACACTGTTGAGACTCCTAAAACATGCACTATATTACCACTTGAGATAGGAACTTAAGATTATTATAGGTGTTTTCTGTAAACATTTTGATGAGATGACATGTCTTTGAATACCTTAATCTTTACTATTACTGTTACTGTTATAAAGAATGGCATGGACTGACTGTTACCACTATTGGCTAGATGCTGTAGTGACATAAAAGATCCATTAGGGACTTTTAAACTCTTCCGTCATTCTAGAGAGAAAACTGCATTTCTCTGTAAGAAGTAGCTTCAGGGTTGACATCTTGATTGGACCTACACAGCAGACTGCTCCAGTAATGTAGAATTAACCTTGAGTTGTCTCCAGATTTATAAGTTCATTGATTATTCTATATTCTTTCCCTTTAGAAACAGTGCCTACCTCTCAGCAACCCTCGACACAGCTTCCTCCAGACACAGCCTCTCCTATCCTCATCCTTCCACCTCCTGTTCCCACTCCTCCTTCTGCCTCACGACCAGTTGAGACAGCAGCCATTGAGGCTCCTGGTATGGGTAGTGTTCCCACAGAGCCAGATGATGAAGAGGGCCTCAAACATTTGGAACAGGTGAAATCAGGTTACTCTATTATCTACTCTCAAGTTTCCATGAATATCCCAGTACAGAAGTTTTATGCACTAGTCTTAAGTACTGGAAAAAATGTTTGGTTATTTAATGTTTATGTGAGTAATTGTCTTTCAGATCATTTCATGCTTTTAAGTTTCTGCTATGTAGTAGTCATCATGTCAGGTTATTTTTTGCTCTTCTGAGATTGCCCTTAGCTGTTTTCTTTTCTTTTCTTTTTGGACCTTAATGGAATGCTAAAAATGGTGAATACAAGCAGCTGTGGATGGTCTCTGTGTCTTCTGTGGGTTTTTTTACTTCAAGTATAGCAGGGACGATGGTTAAAAGCTTCAGGATGTTAACATTCTTATTCATGTCTGTGTTTCCTGAAAATTGTGTGTAACATCATCACATGAAAAGTAAATAATGAGTTGGTTTTCTACAAAAGAATTTCTCTTTCCTTCAGGGTGGAGTGGTTAGAGACAGGAAATGTAGAAGAAAATGTTATTGATGTATTAGTGAAATTTGTAGAATAACTTATTTGCAATTGTATTAGTTGAGTCTTTTATTCTATCAACATCTACAAATAAAACAGGTATGTGAAAACAATCTGGAATGGGCTGACAACATATTTTAAAACCTTATTTGAAGCCTAAGCTTTGATCCATACCAGTTTGTATTTCGACCTAGTTGGCTTATTTTGGGTCTTTGATCCATAGCTTTTTTTTCTCCTATAAAATGGGATCAGGTTGTTAATTGTTTTGTTCTTTGTGCAATGTCTTTCACAAATCAGGTAGTTCAAAAACAGTGATCATTATTACTAGCCTTATACTATTAATTCAGGATCATTTGTTTCCTCTATCCTTTTATCTTCTGTTACTAGCAAGCTGAGAAGATGGTGGCTTATCTCCAAGACAGTGCACTAGATGAGGAAAGATTGACATCAAAACTGCAAGAGCACAGAGCTAAAGGAGTGTCGATTCCACTGATGCACGAAGCAATGCAAAAGTGGTATTACAAAGACCCTCAGGGGGAAATCCAAGGTAAACATCTATATTCATTTTAAACTGGAGTATCTGTGTCACTTTCAGAACCTCCGGAGAGGGGTTTGTTCAATGTTAGTTTGCATAATAGACAACAAAGGCAATAGACATTCTTTATAAATATTAAAAAACAAAACAAAAAACAGAAGAGTGATGACTAAAATGGCAATGGTATCAGCAAAATGCTTTGTGCACTATCCAAACTCCACACATCCCAGCTGGATAAGAGGCAGAGCAGAGTCTCTTTGCTTCGATACTCAGACAACAGGAAGGAATGGCAGCAGTGTTAGAACTTTGACTGATGTGCTGAAATGGATGTGGTATAAACAATAGAGAATTACTAAAATGATTAAGAAAAACTACAGTTTTACAAATGAATCCCTTGAAAGGATTGAGTAAGTTAGATTACAGGAGGGAATGCTGTAAAGAATCCATGTAGATCCATTTCTGCTTTTAAAAACTTTAGAGCCTGTGTTGCTTGTTAGTAAGTTAGTGTCAGTTTTAGCACAGCACTTACTGAATATATTGTTTGAGGGCTCCAGCATGTTAACATTTCCACTTTTTAGTCCCCTTTCGCTTCCTTACTCTTTTTTTGTAAGAGTTGCCACTGATTGGTCTTGTATATATTTGTTCATTGTTAACATCCAAGTATAATGTTAAGTTAGCTAAGAATAGGGTTTTGTACATATGTGCATTTTAATTAAATTCATTTTATTTGGGATAATTGTAGTTTCACATGAAATTGTCCTTCATCTGATTTTTCTCAGTGGCAAAAACATCCAAGGTGTTTATATCAACACAATTCAGAATCTTTGCATTTTAGCAGCAGTGTTGGCTTTTTATAGCAACACATTCTTCCTTTCCACACTGCTTTTTTAATCTATGGTAAGCACCAATCTGTTTTACAATTTTTATATTGTATCATTTAGGAATGCTATATAAGTAGAACCATATAGAATAGAATGGTTATATCCATTTAGATCCCTAGAGATTCATCCTGGTTGCTTCAAAAGTCATACTTTGTTTCCTGGTATTACTGAGTCCTAGTGAATGATGTCAATTGGTAGTAGTTTGTTTAACCATTCATCCGATGAAGGACATTTGGGTGGTTCAAATTTTTTGGCTGCTGTAAACATTTTGGGCAGCATGTGAAAGTATTTCATTTCTTCAGTATAAATGCTCAGAAGTGTAAGTACTAGATCAAATGGCCATTGCATCTTTAGTTTTTTAAACTGTTTTCCGGATTGCCCCCTAATGATGTAAATGTTTTCTTGTATCTTTTTCAAAATTTGATGATGATAAGTTTTTTGTTTTTGTTTTTAAATCATTCTAGCAAGTGTATAATGATACTGTATTATAATTCAAGATCTCTACGTGTAGCTCAACTTCATCTTGTGAGCCTCCTGTCTGTTAGCATTATAGACATGCTCTACCATGCCTGCTTCTAGATTATATGGAAAGTATTTTTAACTGTTTCCATAGCTTCTCTCTACTGTATGTTCTTACAAAAGGTACACAAGATCCTAATTTGTCTACATCATTTCTAACTTTTATTATAATTTTGTAGTTAATAGGATATTCCATTTTATGTGGGTTTTTTGTTTGTGTGTTGGGGCATATGTCTTATTGTATAACCCAGGGTGTCCTCCAACTCTTAATTCTTCTGACTTAGCTTTAAAAGTTTTGAGATTATGGATGTCTTTTCCCAAACCTGGATTGTCACAGCTTCTGTAGTTTGGATTGCTGTGTTGAGCGTCTTTACCTGTGCTTATGTCTAATAGAGTTTTTCCTTTTTTCATTCTCCCTTCCCCCTTTTTGAGACAGTGTCTCATTGTATTGCTCATACTGATTTCACACTTCTGGACTGAAGTCCTCTGCCCCAGTCTTCCTAAGTAGCTAGAAATAATAAGGCCAATTGACAAGATCATCCTACTAAGCATGATTGTGTGTATCTGGTGGTAGATCCTTACCTTTGTTTCTCCTTTTAAAGCTTATTTATCACTGCTTATATGTTTGCATGATGTGTGAGGTCAAAGGAGGACTCTGTGGAGTTGGTTCTCACCTTCCTTCTTTCTAAGGGTTCTTAGGGTGAAAGTAAGGTCACTAAGTTTTTGTGGCAAGTGCCCATACTTACTGAGCCATCTTGCTTGCCCTAGCCCTCTTCCTTTGTTTGTTTATGTGTGTGGGGGGGCGTATATGCACATGTGTGCAGGTACCCACAGAGGCCAGAGGTGTCAGTCCCCTCTGGTTCCTCCATGGAGGTACAGGTGTTTGAGGTGTTGATTCTCTTATGTAGTTCCCAGAAGTCTTACTCAAGTTGTTAGGCTTAGCGGTAAGCATCTTTACCTGCCCCCTCCCCCCTTTTGATTTCTTCTTGGTGTTTTTTTTATGTCAGTTCTTTTGGTATAAACGAGAAGGTCAGAATAAAGAGAACACTTCACAAATTTGGGTGTCATCTTTGTTCAGGGGCTATGCTAATATCTTTGTTTTGTTCTAAATTTAGTATGTGCTGCCAAAGTGAGCATCCCCATCCTTAATATGGAAGGGTGTTACACATTTCTGCACCAATTGACATAATGATATGCCACATGTAATGTGGTATAATACTGGTAATCCCTCCCACCAAGCACTGAGGTTAAAGGCCTGCACCACTATATTCAGCTTATTGTTGAATTTTCATGAATTGAATTAACCATCCTTATATTCCAGGAATAAATGTCTTATACTTAAGTGTGTGTGGAGTGTGCATGTTCACACAAATACTTTTTACCCATCAATTATTTGGAAGTGTCTTTAGATTCTAAGCTAGTAATTTTCCTGTTAGTATTCTGTTGTTGATATATATCTTGGTTCTGTGGTGGTCAAAGAACATATATATGATTTTAGTTAACAATTTAGAAGGGATCATTATATAAATGACTCAGTTAAAAACACTCATTGCACTTCTAGAGAACCCAGGCTTGACTCCTAGCACCCACACGATGGCTTAGAACCATCTGTAACTTCCATGAAATTCCACACCCTCTTATGTCCTCTGTGAATACCAGGCCATGGTGGTTCATAGGCATTTTTACAGGAAAAACAGCCATTCACATTTAAAAAATATTTTTAATGCCTAGAAAATACTGAATTAATCTATGTGTTCTGTAAATTTGTATGTTTAAAGAATACTATATTTTTTCTCAAGTCCAGATTTAGTCTAGTTAGGTAAATAAATTGTAATTTGACTTAGTTCATTTGTTTATTGCTTATATTTTGCATTTTTATTCCACAATCACTAATCTCCAGCAGAACATAGCAAAAATTGGAGGATGCGTTTGGCACTGAGCATTTATATTCTATGCCGCAGTGATACAAAGGCAGCAAGTTTATCAGCTCTTTTGTGTATCTCACTTTCTGACGTGTGAGTGGTTGCAAAGGGTGAGACAGTTTTGCTACTTACATCATCAAATCACTGATGACAACTTGGTGTGTGTAAAAGTGGAGTTTGGTTAGGAATGAAGCAGCAGATCGCTGGCTGAGAATGAGCAAAGTCCTGGCTCTTAATTCCCAGCTCTGTGAATTAGACACAGCGTATTTCAAAAAACTATTCGTCATTCTTTGAAGTAAGTCAAGATAATATGAAAATTTGTGTGAACACGAGACCCAGAGAATGTATTTATCTTTGAGCCTGACAAGATTCTTACTGTCTTTGTGTTTAGGTCCCTTTAACAATCAGGAGATGGCAGAATGGTTTCAGGCGGGCTATTTTACTATGTCTTTGCTTGTGAAGAGGGCATGTGATGAAAGCTTCCAGCCTCTTGGAGATATCATGAAAATGTGGGGAAGGGTTCCTTTCTCACCAGGACCAGCCCCTCCTCCTCATATGGTAAGTATCTTCCTGCTGGCCTGGGATGCACAAAATAGATACAGGAGTGCTTGTTTTTCCTTGAATGACAATCCAGGGTTGCAGTAGAGAAGGAAAGGATAGTAGTTTCTCTTTTCTTACTTTGAGACAGGTCTTATACCACATGGATTATAGGCATGAGCTACCATACAGAACACATTAGTATCATAGAAGTAAATTGAAATTGTAATGGACATTTTTGAATGGGATAGTTATATCCTTAACAGTAATGACCCTTTCAAAACTTGCATTTGTGTGCATGCGTTTTTTATACATCCACCAACAGTTTTCTAACCAATAAAAAATGAGACCAATATCTTACCCTGACCTAACTACTAGGTCTTTTTTCATGGTCTGGCTATTCTCTTTCAAAGCTCATGTCAAAGCTTTCATCTGCAGTGTTTTAGTGTGGTTGACCTCTATAAATTCCTTATTATCTTTACCTAGAATGCACATTCTTTTCCTCTCACCTCCATTTCCATTTTATTTCCGGCTCATACAATTTCTGGCTCATACAATTTGAGGCTTAACCTAAAATAAGTGCCGCTAGTGTGTTAGGATATTTTGAGGGCCTAAACCTTTTGCTGGGAAATATTTTCTCTTCAGGGCTGGCCTTTCTCCATAGAGTTGCTAGTGGAGGTCTCTAGGTATGTTTTTATCTAGGCCTTTTATGTCTTAAGTTGGAGCAAATAGTGACTGTCTGTTGATAAAAATGATGACATTTAATTTAGTGTGAATACTGACTTTCTACAGTAACCCGCCATTGATCTACTCAGCTACAATGAGGGCTACTTGGTCATGCTTTCATAGTAGGTTTTTGAGAGGTGAAGATGAATGTGATAAAACAAAGGTTTATGTAGGCAGGCTCACTGGTCATCATGCTTTCTCTTCCGTGATTCCTACATCATATTTGAGGATTGCTTCTTTTAAATCCCAGGAACAGTTAGTGTTTTAATTTACATGGCAAGTTTGAGCCTTGTCTTCTGTCTTGAAGTTGAGATGTGGTTTTTTGTCAGTAGCTAAAAGTTGCTCACTTGGTTCTTGGCATGCTTGTACTCCTTGTCTGTTTACCAACACAATCTGTTGGGAGTCACAATCTTTACCTATTCAGTTGATGCTGTACCTGAGCCTCAATCTGTACCCATTCAACCAGAAACCTGTAGGAAGCTCTGCTTCCTTATTAGCTGCTACCTTTTCCTTGAGTAGCACTGATAAGAGAGCTGACCTTCACGAACAGTGTCTCTGAATTTAGGATGTTTCCACCTCTAACACATCGTGTGTCAGATGCTTTATTTCAAACTGTAATCAGTATGTAAGAAAGATATAAATTCATACTTGATTTGCCCAGGTCTAGTCTGTTATCTTAGGTTTTTTTATTTCTTATTATTTTAGACCTTAACTTTAGAAAACTATACAATTTCAGCCATCTTACTGGAATTATTTTGAAATACAAAGAAATACTATAGCCTATGTATTAATAACAATAGCAATAGAAATACCTAATTTGAAGTAGTAGTATCAGGTGTTTTTTTCCCCCATATGAACTAGCTTATGAACTGATTGTGTGCTACTGCGAAATTCCTTTTCAACCCATCAACTGTTAGGTCATTTTACTCTTTCCCTTAATGTCCTAAAATTCTGACTTCTAGATGATCTTTAAACAAGCCACTAAGATTTGGAGTGCTGGGTAATTAATTTTTCAGTTATAATAGCAGCTCTGTAGAACACTGCTCAGCATTCAGCTTGAAGCAGTAGAGGACAGTACTGAAGGACCTTTTGTGGCTTATGCTTGAAAACCACCTTAATCCACTAGGTGGCATTGTTTACATTTTAAAGGTGGTGGGGTTTTTAGTTAAGGGTTTGAAGGGCAAAAGGTTGAAGTAGGAAGTAAAGGTCTGGGTTTACTGTGCTGTGTTAGGTGTATATATTCAGTGACACTGTCTCATTGCTGTTTATTTCATGATGCTTCTCTCTGTACCTCTTTTCTCTTAGGGAGAATTGGACCAGGAACGCCTGACCAGACAGCAGGAACTCACTGCCTTATACCAGATGCAACACCTCCAGTACCAGCAGTTCTTAATACAGTAAGAGCAGTGATGCAGTAGGATGCACTGCAGCACCAAGGAGCCTGAGATAGAGTCTGCTCCCAAGTCTCACCTTTTATAGTGAGAACTCAAGGCTTCTGTGATACTTGAGTAGCTTACTAGTGACATGTGTACTACTGTCCATCTAATTTTAGTCTCACCCTTTTAAATATTAGAAGATTGCAGAAAACCACATCTAATTATGATTTTTCAGGGTCTTTAGTTACTGAGGAAAGAGCCAACAAACATTTTAAGAACTAAATATTTTCCGAGGGACACAAAAAACGTAGAGGAGAAGGTCGGAAGAAATTAAAATTTACTCTCTTAGGAATGGTGTAGAGTGATGACCAGTTTACTAAGGTCATTATCCATCTTTATTTTGTTGTTGTTGAGATAGGATTTAGCTATGTAGCTTTGACTGCCCTAAATCTCATGTTCTGAAGCCTTAGTCTGCTGAGCACTGGAATTGGGGAAAAGAACTAACATTTGTGCCAGTAAATGAAATGGGTTGGCACTATCTTTCCTGGTGGCCTGCTGCCTGTTTTAAGCAAAACATTATCAGATCCCTGACTTGCCTGTTTATAGATTATCTGTGATTACTTACTGTTAAATCACAAAGGCCGAATTGAGGAGTTGCAACTGCAAACCTGAAGATACTTAGTATTTGGAACTTTCAGATCTAATGGAAAATATTACCTAAAAATTTCCAAACTGAAACATGAAATTTGAGACTTTAATTTTATTTTACAGAGTTCTTCATTTGGAAATAGGTGTTCAAATATGCTTATTGTCACTTACAACCTGGGAACAGATTGGTACTGATCATCTTATGGGTGTTGGCCAGTGTTTGGCATTCTGTGATGTGATATGCGTATATCACATATATCATTTGTTTTATATGTATATGTACACATACCTGTATCTCCCATTCAGAAACATCATCTATGAGTTCTCTCTGGAGTGAATTATAAAGTTTCTTGTGACTATTAGTACACAGACTTATAAATTATATTTGATTGTTATTTCTAATTGTGTTTTGGGGAGGAGATGAATTGCATTTTGAACTACATATGAGTAGATAGGTTATACTTTTTTTTTTTTTGACTTTTAAAGACAACAATATGCACAGGTTTTGGCTCAACAGCAGAAAGCAGCTTTGTCATCTCAGCAGCAGCAGCAGTTGGCTCTTCTTCTTCAGCAGTTCCAAGCTCTGAAGATGAGGTTGGTGTCACTCCATTTGTCACATTTTCTGTCTGTGCCTGTCTGTCTGTCAGTCTCTCTCTCTCTCTCTCTCTCTCTCTCTCTCTCTCTCTCTCTCTCTCTCTCTCTCTCTCTCTCTCTCTCTCTCTCTCTCCCTCCCTCCCTCCCTCCCTCCCCCTGTCCCCCTCCCTCCCCCCCTGTCCCCTCTCTCTCTGTGTGTATTAAGGAGAATGAAGAAATGTTGATATAAGGTGTGTTTTAGCATCAGAGGATTCCCATAAAACTTGACTTCATGGTGTATGTAAAAATAATATGACTTAAATCTTTTAGTTAGAGCGGTTTACATATATAAAAAAGCATTTATATATAGACTATACAATTTTTTGCATAATAATCTAAAAGTGATGATAATACTTGGAGAACTATAACAAAAGATCATAGTCTCGGATTTTAATTTCAATTTTACCCATGATATTTGAACAAAAAAAAATTGATAAATCACAAAGGATCACAATTTACTGAATTCCCAAACCCTTAAGGCAAGTCTGTGGAAAAAGCAATTATGAAGACATTCTTCATTCCTTCTACTTCAGACTTTCATTCAGAAACTTTGTCTCAGCTCCTGGAAGTTGTATCCAAAGCTGTTCCAAAGTTGTACTGTCTGTCTCAATCAGAGTACTTCACATTTCTCATGTGAGCCATAGCCCACCCTGTGAGGCAAGCAGGTAAACAGTTGGATTTTTATTTTTATTTTTTTTTACGTTTTTATTGATTGATTTTTTTCAAGACATGGTCTCTGTGTAGGCCTGGTTGTTTTGGAACTCTTTCTGTAGACCAGGCTAGCCTGAAACTCAGAGGACTGCCTGCCTCTGCTTCCCAAGTGGTGGGACTAAAGGCATGCTCTACCACGCCTGACTAGTTCTCTGTACCCTTGATACTGAGGGCTTGATTAACCTGATTTATAGAAAACCTTAAGAAAGAAGTGAAATGCAGTTCTTGGGTCTTGTTACTGTTTTAAGACAAGGGTCTACTATATAGACCAGGCTAACTCAGAGATGTGCTTGTCTTCGAAGAGCTGGGACTCAAGGCATGTACCACCACATTCAGTTTTCATCATATTAAAATAGAGCCTAATATTAGGAAAGCAGAAGCATATAGATCTCTGAATTTGAGGCTAGCCTAGTCTGTAGAGTGAGTTAAAGGTCAGCCAGGGCTACATAGTGGGACCCTATTTCAGAAAAATAAAACAACAACAAAACGATGGCATTTTCTAGCCAGATAACCCAGAAACCTACTAATATTCTAGAAATCCCTCTTTATCTTATTTTCCAAGTGACAGGAACACATTGACTTTTTATTTCCCTTTTGCAGAATATCTGATCAGAACATCATTCCCTCAGTAACTAGGTCTGTGTCAGTGCCAGATACTGGCTCTATCTGGGAGCTTCAGCCAACAGCCTCACAGCCTGCAGGTAAAAATTTAGCATTGCTTGTAGTGAAATTTAAGGGATCTAGAATGTAATAGTTATTTATAGTTAATTTTTTAATGTTGCAGATATATTGATCCACTATTACTGATTTTCAAGAAGCTCTATATTCAGTGGATCCAAGAAAGCCTTTGTAGGAAATATTTAGTGTGTAAATTGTTTGAATTGTATGAGTCAGGTTCTGTCTTTGTCGCTTTAACTAATGTAGGTTGTTTTGTTTTGTTTTTTGCTTTGTGGTGCTGTAGTAGTCTCTAGCCAGAAAAGGGCTGTGCCACTTTTCCAATCTCCAGCCCTGAAAAATACTTTGTTTTTGATGTTTTTGCTGGAGTGTGTGGTTTGTGTGTGGAAATAAAGTAATGATATTCTCTCCATTGCAGTTAAAGTTTTATAACCTTATAGATGCTGCCGAATTTTAGCATGAACACCTTCACTTCTGTGATGTTTTGTTTGTCAAATTAGAAAACTTGGGCATTGGGAATTTTAAAAATCTTAGTAATTGGTGGAGTAAGCTTGTTTTTGTTGTTAAGGTATAAACCCACAGAAGTGGAAAGTTTGACTAACCAATAGTGCTTATAGGAGAGAGTAGTTGACTGTTAAATTCTTAGGAACCATGTACTTTGACAGTTTTTTTTTAGAGTTGGTGAACCATCATGTGATAGTTCTCGAATTGACCCTACAGAGTATTGCAGTAGAGGGCCTAGTGTCTTCCTTCTGAAACCTTCCCAAAAAAGAGATCAAAGCAAAACTTTTCTACTATGTGTGCATACCCTATTGTGTAACAATTATTTATTTATTTGTTTTGTTTGCATGTATATGTTTGCATATTGTATTTGTATGTGGGCACAGGTGCCACAGTACACTCATGGATGTGAGGACAACTTGTGCCAGTTGGTTCTCTACTATCTTGGGAACCCTAGGGGTCAAACTCTTGTCATGAGGCTTGATGGCAACACCTTGTCAGCCTACATTAGTCTTTTATTACTATTCATTTATACTTAGGATTTTAAAATAGTCTTCAGTGTTTTGGAGTTTCTAAATATCTCAAACAATTTACATGCAATCAACTCCATTGGTTTTATACACATAGTATTTAATTTGCACAGATATATCATAATAGGTATGCAGAAAATAATGTGGCATTATAAGTTCAGTGGTAAAATACTTGTCTAGCATTTGTAACACTATTAAATCTCTAGTACCAAAAAAAGTAAAATAGGGAATTAATGTCAACAAACTTAACAATAAAATAATAGACTCAGTGCCTTTATTTTGTTGTATTTTATTTTAGAGACAAGGTTTCATGTGACCTTAATTTAGTATGTATCCAAGGCTGGCCTTGAACTTAGGATCCTCATGAGAGCTCTACTTCCCAAGTGCTGGTATTATAGAAGTGTATCACCATGTTTAGCTTGGAACCCCTTATATTTACTTCTATATCTAGCATGTGCTTTGTTTGCCAGATGTAGAAGTAAATATAAGGGGTTCTAAGCCAACACCAAATGTAATTTGTAAGAACTGCCCAGTCTCTCTCCAAAGATTTGTTATTTGCATTATAACCATATGATGAATAGCTGAGTAGCCACCTGGTTCTCTACTTGTATTCTCTCCTCTGTGGAATTTGGAATCACTGTGTTGTCACATTCTTGCCATGTTCCTTTTAAATTTTTAAAATTAGTTCATCTGTAAAGATAGGGATGTATCAGGTACCTGTATGGAGCATTACAAGGATGAAGTTGTTTCCTAGTAAATGTCTTGTACTACCTTACCGTCATGATGTATTGAAGAGTGTTGATGAGACCCTGCTGGCTTGGCTTCCTTTAAAGCAAAACAGCCAGGCACATGATGGCACATAATTTTAATCTCAGCATTTGGCAGGCTGGGGCAGGAAGAACTCACATTAAAGGCTGTTTTCAGGATTATATGGCAAGACAGCCCTGCACACTCCTCCCAAAGCCAGAACAGTCGAGTATGATGGAGCACATTTCAGTTCAGGGAGCAGCTGTTCTTTATGCCTGTGCTTATGTGACTACGCTACACTCTTGGACCTTTCTCAGTTTTGTCTTTGTCTTACAGTTTGGGAAGGTGGTAGTGTATGGGATCTTCCCCTGGACACCACGACACCAGGCCCTTCCTTGGAACAGCTTCAGCAGCTAGAGAAGGCCAAAGCTGCAAAGGTCTGTGTACCTTCTAGCTGTAGGATGCAAAACTTTGTTTTTTTTTCTTTCTTTTCCTATAGCTACCTATTTTCTTATTAGTTTACCTCTATTCAGCTGGGATAAGTACATTTGTATTCTTATCTTTTTTTTTTTCTTTTGCCATCTTCCAAAAAACTAAAGACCTCAATTAAAATAGGTTAGAATTAAGTTACTTAATAATGAACATGGTCATATGTGTATTTTACTAACTTTATTCATGGTATGATTATTTGTCATGAACACTGTTACATTGTTAAACTGTTGATCTAATGCTTGCATTCCTACACTGGCTCTTTATAGTCATTTGCTAGTATCCTGAGGGACTGAAATGCTCAACATGATCATTAGACTGTAGAGGAGCAAACAATCTTGAAGTTTAGAACTTGCCAAAAGAGGATGTCTGTACAAGAGCATGGTATGATTCTAATGGTTTTTCAGACCCAAAGAGAGTCACACTTACTGTAGCTTATATCCCAAGGGGGTAATGGTCTCTTTATAAAACCCAGACTGTGGAAAGGTCCATCATGAGAACTGTCTCAATAAATGATTGGGAGAGAGTGTAGTTCTTTACAGTTCTTAAGTTTAGTATCTTCTGATTCCTTGGTGCTTTTTGCTGGAGACATGTAGGTTAAGAATAAATATGGTGTTTAAAGTAGTTTACCAGTCCCCTGTTGGGTAGGGAGATGTAGACAGGGTGGTCAGGAGTAGATGGGCTACTACCTAGCTTAGAGAGGTAGAGACACTTTTAATAGTCAGCAATTCCTAAATTACTTTTCACTTCGAGTTTAGTACGAATTTGGTTTCGTTTGTGACATGAGCTAGCTATAGTAACCTTGACAGTCTTAGATGTTACTCTGTAGACAAAGTTGACCTCAAATTTACTGCCTCTGCTTCAGTATAGGTTTTCATAGATGAAAATTAAATTGCTGTTAAAGGAAATAGTCATGGCTAGATGGACTAGAGAACATTCAGTAATCAAGAAACAGTTATGTAATTTCATCTGATTTGGAACCAGGGTACAATCTGAGGAATAAGATGATCAGAGCTACCATGAGTGCCTTGTACACATTATGATAGAATTATTTTCATGGCAAAGAATGCTACTAGAAAAGCCTGGCTCTTTCCCCTTCCCCCTTAGCCCCAGCCCTCTTAACTGATTAGATTTTGATCTGAGGAATGTAGATGGAGACAGAATTTTTGGTGGGATGGTTGGCTGAGACTTTAGAATATAGGTGAGAAAAGAGAAGGCATAAAGTGTAGCTAACAGCAGTGAGATTGGTAACCCTTGTGTTCATTCCCAGCAGCCAGAAGTGTTCTGTAGAGATGAGTAAAGAAATACCACACATACACTTCAGGACAGTCTGAAGTTACTCTCATGTTGGCCACTTTGTTTTGCCCCACATCTTAGAGATGTGGAGTAATGTTGTGTTGAGGGAAGAGGTGGCCACAGTAGGAGGAACTTGCACTTTGTTTAGAAGAGCAGAAAAGAGATTACTGTGCCATGCTGGGGCTTAGGGCTCTTCAGAGTCTCGTCCACCCATTTTCAGCACAGCAGGGCACTGCTAAGTGAATGGCAGCATCGGCACCTCTCACCTCTGAAAGTACTGAATGCTTTGGTGTACCCCATACTTGCTGTCAAATCAATGGAAATTCTCCATCATCCAGCTAGAGCAGGAGAGAAGAGAGGCAGAAATGAGGGCAAAAAGGGAAGAAGAGGAGAGAAAGAGGCAAGAAGAACTCCGGAGACAACAGGAGGAAATCCTTCGGAGGCAGCAGGAGGAAGAAAGGAAAAGACGGGAAGAAGAGGAGCTGGCTAGAAGGAAGCAGGTATGTCTCTGGGAGCTCTGCACATAAGAGAAGTTTTGGTTCCTTAATGAGAGCCTTTGGTGATAGATGTGCTCCCTTCCATATCAAGAGGAATGGGGAAAGAAGGCTATAATAGCAGGATTAGAAAACTCACCCACCTTTAGAAAGAACTTGTTTTGTTTTTTTTTTTTTTTAACCAATATCCACCAAGGGACTTTTGACTATTCATAATTTACTCATAACCTAGTTAGATTTCAAACATTCTGGCCTTACTGGTAAGAACAAAATTTTTAAGCGTGCAGGCCATGACATCATCTGTGTTTTACTATTGTAATTTCTTACCACTGTCCTGTTGCAGGATAGCCTCATCGTCCCAGACTGAACATTCTTAATGCATGAAATGATGAATCCCATTTCTTTTTCCCCTGGTATATATATTCTTCTTTCTGTCTCTGTGATTTTGACTACTCTGTGGTCAAACAGTTTGTCCTTTGATGACTGACTTAAATTTATTGGGTCATTGTCATAGCGTATGGTCCGAATTTTCTTCCTCAGTGTTAAAGAAATGTCTGTTATATGTAGATAGCACATTTTGATTTACCTGTTCATGGATGTTTGGAGGACTTCCTATGTATATTTTCAGTGTATAAATAATGTTGCTATAAATGAGTATACAGATGATTGGGCCATTACTTTCAACTCTGTATATATACCAGAAGTGTATTTGCCATATCATATATGAATTTTGCTACAAAATTTTTCATGCTCCCACTTGCAATGCATAAGGTTTTGAGTATCTTTTTCCCAACACCTCTTATTTACAGTGATATTTTTGATAAAGTATCTCATTAGGGCACCATGGCACAACAGTTAAAGCAACCACATGATGGCTCCTAACCATCTATAACTCAAGTTCTATGGCAGTGCTCTGTGACACTTTAATACAGTTCTTCATGTTGTGGTGATCCCTAGCCATGACCGTAATTTTGCCAATGTAGATATCTGATATGTGGATCCCCAAAGGCGTTGCAACCCATAGATTGAGAACCACTATTCCAGGTCATTCAATGCCATTTTGCTCTCTGAGACCATCAGGCACACATGTTACACAGACAGATATATATGCAGGTAAAACAGCCATACACTTAAAAATGAATAAGTCTTTTTAAAAAAGAGACTGAATTTGAGAGGGTGTGATGCATGGGAGTAAGAAGGGTGATGCAAATATAGTACACATATGAAATTTTTTAAAGAATAAAAAAGGAGCCAGGCAGTAGTGACACAAGCCTTTACTTCCAGCACGTGAGAGGCAGAGGCAAACAGATCTCCAAGTTTGAGGCCAGCCTGCTCTACACAGAGAAATCCTATCTTGGGGGGGGGGGGTAAAAAAAGAAATACATTTAATTCTGCAGCACTCAGTGTTCTCTACATGATTCTGTGTTGTACTTACTGGTGAAATTTTTATCCTTCAGAAAATGTTCTGGGATGCATGGCTTTTCTTCACTAGGTTTTGGTGTCTATGTAGATTTGGCCACTTTATCCTTTGTATTTTTAGTTGATTAAAAAAAAAAAGGGCTAAGCCGGGCGTAGGTGGCACACGCCTTTAATCCCAGCACTCGGGAGGCAGAGGCAGGCGGATCTCTGTGAGTTCGAGGCCAGGCTGGACCGACAGCCTCCAAAACAGAGAAACCCTGTCTCGTAAAAAAAACCAAAAAAAAAAAAAAAGGGGGGGGGGCTAAAAGTACCAATAGAGAAAGCAACACCTACGTTCTAGTAGCCTGTCTAGGCTCAGTAGTAAACTTGTGACTTGTATCCATGCCAGGATAGACTTCTTACTGTTTTGCAGTGTACTAGTATTTTAAATAGTTGGCTTTTTGTTCATTTTATTTCTTTTGGAGACAGGGTCTCACCACATGGATCGGTCTTGGAGCTGTAGAGCTCCTACTGCCTCTGGGATTTAAGAGGCATGTCCAGTTTTGTTTTTTGTTCTCCCTCCCTCCCTCCCTCCCTCCCTCCCTCCCTCCCTCCCTCCCTCCCTCCCGTCAGTCTGTTGTCCACTTACTTATTTTTCTGTTTATTTTAATTTCCCCCTTCCCCAAGACAGGGGTTCTCTATGTAGCCCTGGAATCCATAATATAGACCAAAGGGGCCTCAAACTCAGGGATCAGACCGCCTCTGTCTCCTGAATGCTGGGATTAAAGGTGTGCGCCACCACTGCCTGGTTTGTTATTTTTATGATAATATATGTCTTTTCAACTTACATGGTACTTTTCACTCCATCCTGTTCTGTACTTACAGAGACTTAATTGCTCTTCACCTATTCCTCTTTGAATATTGGCAAGCCAGAGTTTCACACACACTCTGCCCACCCTACTGTTTTCTCTAGGAGGAGGCTCTTCGACGCCAACGGGAGCAAGAGATTGCACTAAGGCGGCAGCGAGAAGAGGAGGAAAGGCAGCAGCAGGAAGAAGCTCTTAGAAGACTGGAGGAGAGGCGGAGAGAGGAAGAAGAGAGGCGGAAGCAGGAAGAACTGCTTCGAAAGCAGGTAGCCAGATACCAGCTGTGCTGATTGGTCTTGAAGTTAGGAGTTTGTAATAGGACACAGAGCAGCTTCTCTGAGAGTTCTCAGCTTGATGACAATTACCAAGAGAAACCAAAGTGTTCTGAGACTTGTTCTTCAGTCTGTTTTTATCTCTTCAAATGAAAACTTGTGTCCTGGGAGTAAAAGAAACCTGTCTTTCTCACTTCATCTCTATGATAAAAGCACAAAAGGTGTGGGATTTTTAAATTTTATTTCTTATTTTTGAGATGGGAGTCTCACGATGTGGTGCCCTGCGTCCTGGAGGCCACTGTGTAGATTAGACTACCTCTGATCTCACAGAGATCTGCCCACCTCTGCTTTCCAAGTGTTGAGATTTAAGATATGTATCACGGTTTAAAAAAAAATCCATATTAGTGTGGATTTCTGAGCTTTCTGTTCTCTATCTGCATTTTTTGGTGGCATGCTTTAAAACACTTAATTTTTAATTTTTGGTAATGTTTTAGGTTTTCCCCAATAATTTAAAGTTTTAGCTCTCTTAAATATATAATCTTTATATTCTGAAAACATATTATTTGTTAAATAAATGTTTTACATGTATGTTCCCTTAGACTGTGGCTTGCCTATTTCCATTGTTCTTAGAAGTATCTTTTTTAGAATTTTGTAATTTTTAAGAATTTCATTTAGGATACTCTTATTTCCATTGTTTCTACCTTTGCCAGTCCCCCTCCAACTCCTTCCTTTTCCCTACCCAGCTCTCTTGAGTTCTACAGGTACATATATATGTATAAACACACAAACATACTCTCGAGTCCACCTGTTGCCCATAGATAAATTTATTTAGGGACCACCTAGGATTGGGCTACCTGTAGGTGGGTGAGGGGCTTGTCCCTGGAGAAAACTGATTCTCCCTCTTCATATAGAGATGAGACTTTGTGAAATTTTTTCTTTATTTATGTTGGTATATTGATGTGGTCAATCAGCCATATTGTTGATAGGCACAGCTGCTTGAGACACTATCTCAAGCAGCTGTTCTGATTCTTTGGCTCTTATGATCCTCCATGATGTTCCTTGTTGCAGAAGTTCTGTTGTAGATAACCCTCCTGGAGCAGGGCATTTCACAGTCAATAATTCTCTGCATTTCGAACAGCTTTGGATCTCTTCAGTAGTCTCTATCTGCTGCAAAGAGAAATTGCTTTGATAAAGGATGAGGCCTGTACTTATCTGGAAGCTATAATGATTTAGGAAAATGGCAGAAGAAGGTTCTCCACTAGGCTTACCATTCTAGCCACAGGCTCTTCACTAGGCTTACAGTACCAGACACGAGTTTCTACTGTTGAATAGCCTCAAGTCTACTTAGACATCTCTAGATCTAAGTGCCAGTGTTGCATCATGGGTAATACCTTTCCCAGCTTGTCTTTTTGGTTTACACTTTTTTTTTTCAGGTTTTACTGCTGGGTAGAACTATTGGTTACTGTTTTTCACCTGACAGTCTGCTTGTCGCATCTGATGCTTAGTCATCCGGGAGGAGGCTGTCATGTCTTTAGCAACAGGGTCTCATTTTCAAGTTTTAGGAGGCAACCAAGGATAATGGTAGTAGCCTATATTACTTTTGAGGTTGACCATCAACTTGAAAAGTGTTCCTTGCTTGGAATTTGGGTTTTTGTTAGATTGTCTGGTAATTCCACTGCCTGTCTGTCTACCTATTTATCATCTATGCTATCTATTGTTTTCTTATGGCTCTCTTTCCATCATGGATCAAGCTCAGGCTTGGCTTCCTGGAGTTAGTTTTAAACCTTTCCTCATGTTCAGAAAGCATAGCCTCTAAGTGGTGTATCTTGCAGACGGTCTGCTCCTTATAGCAATTGAGTGTGATTCTGTGAATGATAACAAGGTGATTAATACATTCAAATAGTTTATTTTCCTTATTTATGTCTAGTTTTGTCACTTGCTAAGACAGGCATGCTTAGATTTTCTTTGTTCATTTCTCTCTTTAGTTCTATCCTTTTGCTCTTGTGTTTTGAATTCTGTTACTAGTTGCCTACAAATCTATTGTTCTGTCCTAATACCTTGTTTGTTAAGTTTAGTGAACAGGTTCGGCTTACCTTAATGGAATGTTTGTGAGGAGCACATTCATCCTTGTGAGTGAGTAGTTTTTCTTCTCCCCACAATCATCAGTTGCCTGGTAGTTCTTTGTCTAGGGTTAGGACCCCTTGAAAATTTTCCCCATTCCATATTAGCATGTTCTTTAATATTGCCATTATTCCTGTCTTGTTTTTGTAGCCATTTTTGGAGAGAGTGTTTTCACAACTCATTTCCTGGTATTCCCCTCTTACAGTCGTTCAGCCCCATCTTCTTTGATGTTCCCTGAACAATAGATGCGAAAGCTGTGCTGCAGATATGTCCATTGGACCTGGGCTTCCCATGGTCTGTTGATTTCTGCATTGTGTCCAAGTGTGGTTTCCTGGATTTGCTTACAGCATTTGCTGTAAGGAAAGGTCTCCTTGATGAGGAGTGATAGCCACTGTAGATGTAAGAATATTTAAAAGTTGTAGTAAGAAATTACGGTGGTTTATTTTCTTTTTGGTTTTTTGTTTGTTTTTGTTTGTTTGTTGTTGTTTGAGACAGGGTTTCTCTGTATTGTTTTGGAGGCTGTTCTGGAACTCACTCTGTAGACCAGGCTGGCCTCCAAACTCACAGAGATCCACCTGCCTCTACCTCTTGAGTGCTGGGATTAAAGGCGTGTACCACCACCTAGCTAGTAGATTGTTTTCTAAGGTCCATGACCTCACTAGTTGCTGTAATTGGGCTGGGTGTAAAGGGAAACCTTTTCCTTGAGAGAAGCCTTCCTGCCAGCCTGGTTCTCGAGCCGCATGAGTCCCAAATAAACACACAGGAGGCTATATTAATTATGAAGCTGTTGGCCTTGCTTATTTCTTACTGGCTAGCTCTAACTTAAGTAATTACCCCATAATTGCTAATCTAAGTATTTCTCTTACCGGAGAACTTTTCGGGCTTCCTACCCCATGGCGTTACATCTTGACTTCCTGTGTTTCTCCTTCCCAGAGTTCTCCTGGACTCCTAGTCCCACCTATCCTGGTTCCCTATTGGCCCAACAGTGCTTTATTGAAATATACATAGGACTTCCCCCAACAGCTGGGTTTCTAGTCCCAGACATGATTTTCCCCATTGAGTGGGCATTACGTCTATTTAGGCAGCCGTTGGTTGCCACCACCATGGATGCCATTTAGTGCACCCTTTTGCATATCCTGCCATACTGGCATTTGTTGTGTAATGTGTCTTTGAGTATTGAACCTAGCTAACTAGTGTGCCACTACTGAACAGCCATACCCTCTATTCCTTTATTGTTCATGACCTTGATGATTTTAACAAATACTTTTCAGTCTTATAGGGTATCTCTCTCCTGAATTCACTTGAAGTTTTCTTCTGAACACACTGAGGTTTTAGATGTGCAGAAAGATCACAGAGAAAAAGTATTATATTATTGTTTTCTTCCGTGCTGGGATTGACTCTAGGACCTTGAGAATGCCGAGGAAATCCTCTACCACTGAGCTACAATCCCAGACCCAAAGGGGTGTATTCATTACATTGTATCAATGGTACTATATTAACATGGTTTGTAGTTGCTAAACCTTGATTACTTGGCTGAAACAGTGCTAGTTCTAAATTAAAACTTGTATATTAGTTGGTTAACTGTGCCATTTCTAATCAGTGTAAGCTTTTTTTTTTCCCCTTTTTGGTGGTGGGTGGGTGTGTGATTGAGGTTTTGAGACAAGGTATCTGGCACCATGTAACCTAATCTGTCAGTGGAACTTGCAGTCTATTTGACTCCAACTTCCAAGTGCTGGGATTACAAGTGTGTGCCACCATACCCAGCAAATGTTCATAGAGGACTTTAGGAAATGATTCGATCTTCAGCAGCTCACAGAATCTGTGGATGATGAAGTAAACACAGAATTACTGTATTTTAATTTGCAAACACCGAATGTGGCTCAAGCAATATGTGACATACTGAGCTTACAGGCTAAGGATTTCTGACTCTAAGTCCATGGGCATTTAGTACTCCGTGATGCTATCAGGATCCAGATTATTTGCATACTCGTCTATACTCTTGGTGGATTGATTTCTGCTTTTATTTTCTTTATCTCAGGTTGTGACTTTTGGGTGTGACACTCTTGTACAATCTCTGTCCAATAAAGGAGTGGGTTTTCTCTATATTATTTTTCTTTAGGAAGGGTGTCTTTCATAGAATTCTCCAAGCAGATGTCTCCTTGGCCTAAATCATGACTGTTCCTAGTTACACTTGGAAGCTTTAAAGCAAAATGTAGCATTTTTAAGTCTCTGAGGTGGCAGGCAAGATGGCTGAAAGGAATGGTTGCTTGTTAAGTTGAAACCGGTTTTATTTATAGCAGACTTAGGAACATGTCCTTCTTGCTGGGGCATGTCATGTTAGTGTGAATGAGGAGTCTTTGAAAGAAAGGATAGAGAGGAAATCCACCTACCAGAGGCTCACAGTCAACATTGACTTAGACACTGTGTTGTCTGGATAAGACAGAGCATTGCAGGCATAGCAAACCAACTCTGCAAAGGTGAGGGCATGTGGGTACTGAGGTGAGTGAACCAGAGGACATAGTGAGCTGAAAGAAAATGAATGCAGGTAAGGGGGAAAGTAGTAGAACGTAAAGAATTAGTTAGGGAGAGATGTTTTGAAAAGACCCTAGGTCCTATAGGTCATACAGTGGAATCCAGTGATTTTTAAGGAGTCACATTGGTTCCAGGCCTGGCTGAGGCATGTTATAACTATTGTTCTTGCCAGGTCTTGGTGGCTTCTTTTGAAGTACCCTGGAAAACTTGTTCAGCCTATAGTACTGAATGATATTTCCAGGAAACTTTGTTGCAGCAGGTGGTAAGCTACTTCTGAGATCAGCACTTTCACCCCAGACCTAAGTGACAGGTCTATAATCTGTTAAAGTTGGGTTCTGGAGCACACTGGTCTTTTGTGAACCCTGTTAAACCTGATTGTCCCTAATGACATCCTAAGCAGGGTTTTGCTTTATCATTTCTGTATACTATCATAATTGAAGCCTTTAAAAGCAATATATATGGATTATCCCTTCTACAATTAATTAATGAAACATTTTTCTCTTTAATTTTTCCTTCTGGGAAGGAAGAGGAGGCTGCCAAATGGGCCCGGGAAGAGGAGGAAGCACAGCGTCGACTGGAGGAGAACCGGCTGCGCATGGAAGAGGAGGCAGCCAGGCTTCGGCATGAGGAGGAGGACCGGAAACGGAAGGAGCTGGAGCTGCAGCGGCAGAAGGAGCTGATACGCCAGAGGCAGCAGCAGCAAGAGGCCCTCCGAAGGCTGCAGCAGCAGCAGCAGCAGCAGCAACTTGCACAGATGAAGGTATATCCTAGACATAAAAAGAGCTACTTGAGTTAAATATTTTGTTGGCTATTTGGTTCATCGAGGAGGGTAGGGGGAGAAGGGAAAGGAGAGAGAGAACGGGGAGAGAGAGTGTGTTGTTAATTGTTTAAATGAAAGGCACACACATATGATAAGGATGGGACACGCAGTGGCACAGACACAGACAGGCACAAACCCGTCAGTCTGCTTGGTTCTTTTGAGTGAGGGCCCATGGCAGTTGAAGCACCTCCTCTTTACCATTTCAGCACTGCTGACAGCAACATCAAAGAGAAGAAAGTGCTCAGCAACCTGGGGGCAGCAGGCATGACAGCATCCTACAGCACAGTGCTCAAACACAGTTGCCTTTGGGGCCTTATTAACAATTGGTTAAAGACAAGCCAAGGATGGTGGCACAAACCCTTAATCCCAGAACTCAGGTGACAGAGGCAGGCAGATGAGTTAGAGGTCATCGTGGTTTACATAGCAAGTTCTAGGCCTGCCGTGTAAGGAGGTGGAAGATTCAAAATACTGATTAAAGTTGAAAATTAATACTAAGAGTCTGCTAAAAACAAAAGTTGGTGTGGTGGTGGTGGTGAGATGAATAAGAAGGGTCAGTGGGAAAGAATTGCCTTGATATAGTTGGCAAAGTCTGAATTTGTTGATTGCCCAGATTTAAAGGCCATAGGTAGAAGCTGGGGTATAGCAGAGCACAGGATGAGAACTGCTCATGCAGACGAGTGGATGGAAAGGTTAATAGTAGCTTGGTAGATAAGCTTGCAAGCATCAAGTTGAGCCTGAAATTAAGTTTAGTCTCCCTTGTCTTCAAGGAATTCACAGGATAAAATATGAGAGCGAACTTGTAGTGAGCTGAGAAGTGCAGATGGCATTAATAAGGCAGGGATTCTCAGTAATGTCACTTGGATCTTGTAAGATATGCAGACCGTGAGTGGAACCCAGAAGCTTGTGTTTAAATAAACTCTTCAAAGGACTCTGATATTGGTAAAATGAGTCACCATTCCTCCAGGCTACTTCCTGAGATAAGTTAGCTTCCAAACGGTCCTTTTTGGGGTATAAAGAACTTTCAAGTTGAATGGTTTGTTTCGTGGATGAGGTTTATGAGAAAGGGATTCAGTGAGCAAGGCTTGAAGATTAGTGACACTCCAGAATCTTAGAGGATATCTTGGAAGCTGGAAGGATGCGTCAGTGGTTAAGGTTTGTTAGCTATTTCTTCCAGAGGATTCCAATTGACCACATTACATGGCTCCCAGACATCTATTAACTCAAGCTCCAGGGGATCCTACGCCATTGTCTGACCTCTGCTAATACCTGTACTCACATGCACACAACCTATATGTAGGCACACATATACATAATTTAAAAATTATGTACACTGGTGTTTTGCCTGCATGTATGTCTGTGTGAAGGTGTCGGATCCCCTGGAAAAGACATTTGTGAGCTGCCTTGTGAGTGCTGGGAATTAAACTCAGGTCCTCTAGAAGAACACCCAACTGCTGAGCCATCTCTTCAGGTTCCTAAAACTAACCTTTAAAAAATAAATTTAAAATCTTTTCCAGAATATGAGGAATGAGATAAGTATAGATAGGGTCCCTAATGTCATGATTGTATACACTCTAGTAAAAGATTAGAACTTAAAGGTATGCAGAACACAGAATAATACTCTTGGGTTTGCAAGAGAGCTAAATGGAAGATGAACTTGAAGGAAACAAAGCTGTAGGCTAACAAACTAGCAGTAAGACAAAGAACATAAGTCTTAATTGAAGCCTTTTTAGTTTGAAAAGTTGGGAAGGAGAAGTTGGTAATACCATTAATTATTGAATACTTCCTTTCTTAGGTACCATACAACAATTTTCCATATGTCATACCGCTTTGTCTTCAGAGTGTTTTCTCACAAAGCTTAGATATTGATAACTTGTATTTTACACAAAAAGAAGAAAGTTAGGAGTCTGAGTGTCTTGTTAAGTGAAGAGTTGGTAGCAGAGCCGTGTACAGTTGTCCAAACACCTTTAAAATGGTTTGAAATTATAATTTAATTTAAAAAGAAGAGCAAAGAGTTCTCCTTAGAAAACTGGGTTTTGAAAATTCAGATTTTCAGGGCCACATATTTATTTCTAGTTTGCTCATTAATGTAAAGGATAAATAAAGTGCATTGTTGATCCCCCCCCCCCAACCAACTTAATTTTCATGATTAGGGCTAGGGACTACATTGTAGTCTGTTTAGCAGCAGCTCTTCTGCCCGGCCCCTTCATTCCCTGTCTACCTCAGCTTAGAAATCCAGGACTTTCATTCACTCACTAGATCCTTACATTTGTGATTCACCTGCCTCTGCCTCCCAAGTGCTAGGATTAAAGGTGTGCGCCACCACTGGCCAGTGGATTAAATTCTTAAACTATATTTAGTCACTCTTTTTTATGCCTTTTGATTTTGACCTTGCATTGTTAGTTATGTCGATGCTCAATGTCTCAAATTTCCATCCAAATGGGACAGCAAGCACTAATACATGTGTGTAATTTTAGTTGTTTTGAAATGAGCAAAAGAAGCCAACTGAAAGAATAGAGTGGAAAAGGGATTTTTAAATAAATATTGTAAAATGAGGAAAGATGGAGATTCTGACCCTAAGTGTTGTTACTCTTTCCTTGTTTCCTGACGCTCTCCTGCTGTGTCATGTGTGTTTTGTTGTTTTTAGCTTCCTTCTTCTTCAACTTGGGGTCAGCAGTCTAATGCAACAACATGTCAGTCCCAGGCCACACTATCATTAGCTGAAATCCAGAAGCTGGAAGAAGAACGAGAACGGCAGCTTCGAGAAGAGGTAAACAATAAAAACAGCCTGCTTCAGTATTCAGGCAGCTTAGTGTACACTATGGGCTAATGCCTCTTGACAATGGTTGCTATCAGAATTGCTGTGTGCCTGAATATGATCCACTGTTAACTAAACCACAGACTGATTTGGACCCTTTAATATAAATGAAATATTAATAGGAATAACATTAAGATTGGGTGACATAATTGTTTTCTGGGACTTTCTCTTGTAGCTTTTCAGCTGTTATTTAATCCATAAATAAAAGTAGTCTTACATCTGTGTACATACAGACAGCACTAATAAACTTAGTGGGTTGTTTAAGGAGAGAGAGAGAGAAAGAAGAGAGGAGAGACAGAAAAGTTGGGTGGGGAGTTGACATGGGTAGTGGGATGTTGATATCACCAAGATACATTACATGAATGTATGACATCCTCAAAGAATAATGAAAAATTTTATTTAAAAAATAAATAGGTTGTTGAGAATTATGGGTAAGTTTTGCTCACCCTGTCTTAATTCCTTTTTCTGTACTCATATTAAACTACTCTTGACAGAAACAACTTAAGGGACAAAAGGAAGACAAGTTGTCCATAGTCAGGATACCGGGATGAGCACATGCTAAAGCTCAGTTCCTTCAATTCATTGTATACCCCAGGATGCTAGTTAGAGAATAGTACTGCCCACAGTGGGCGCAGCCTCTCATCTGAGCCAGTGTAATCAAGAGAATCTTCCAGAACCCAGAGATTTATTGTCTCCTTGGTACTAGATCATGTCAGCTTGACAACTAACACCATCCATCACACATCCATTTGTGAATTTGTTGTTTGGAATTCAGGGCACATTCTTCTGTAAAGGATATTTCGGTTTTTTGACTAGTCCAGAAAAACTTGTAATATGACAAAAATAGTATCTCACTTTAAACTTTATATCATGAAGCTCATTATAAGATAGGAAGGGTACAGAATAGTGGGAAGAAGTTGTAGAGGATGATAAGTTTTTGATAGAGAAAAGATGGTTAATTCACCAGACTTGCTGTTAGTTGTCTTACTCATTGATTGATTGATTCAATACATATTTACTCATATTCAGGGATTGCAGCCAAGCATAAAACTGATGAATGCTCTGCTATTGTGAACCTGCCCTTTAGCTAATGAGAGATGGGCCACCGAAATTAAGTAAAGTGTATGGTGCTTTAGAGGGCTAGAAGTGTCAGAGAAAGGAAGGAAAGGAGATAGGGCATGGGAGTTGTGGGTGACTAGGGATGGAATAGTAGGTTGTTCATGCTTAAGAGGTGTGCCCTGCAAAGGCCTTTAGACAAATGCGATAGACAGGCTTTGTGCAGCTAGCACTTAAGGCAGAGCAGTTAGTTTGTTGGTGAATACAAGCTATCATGTTTGGATCTGGACTGTGCCATTCACTAAAATAGGCAGCTGCAAGAGAGAGATGGGAGTTATCAGAGTGTGTGTGTACAGTATGTACTCTATCCATCATTTATAATTTCATATATATATAGGTGTGTGTGTGGGTGTGTGTAATATTTGGATTATACATATATTCTAAATAGTGGATATCATTCAGTAGGTTAAAGCATTTCTCTCTTAAAATTACTTTCTCACATTGTTAAAAGAAAGGATTACCTTTACTTTTCTCTAGAAGATTTTCAACAAATTGGTATCTCAGAGCAGGGTGTTTCTTTTCAAGGCTAGAAATTACAATGATTTTAGTCTTGAGTTCAGTGAAAAGTGAATGTAAACAAGAATCAGAGTACCTCAGGCCCATGTGCATCCTAAGAAGACATTCTGTTGCTGAGTGAATAACCTACAGTCTGTCTTGGGAAGCTGTGACAGGAAGGGGAGAAGAAATCCCATCTCAAAACCACACACAGATAAACCCATGAAAAGTTTATCCTTTCATTTTTGGTGGGACTTTGAGAAGTAAGCATTTATTTCATTTCTGTGCTTAACCAAAAAGACTCATCATTTGTAAGAAGTAATTCTGTGTTTAGTCTCTTAGTTTCCCATTCAGTACTGCTTGCAATTTCCATCTTAATTTAGCTAAAAGAATTAACCCCATTGGGTTTTGTTTAGCTGCTGTGTGTTAGTATTCTGTACAGATACTTGTAACTAATGTAAAAACAAATCCTGAGTTGGCTGTCCTTACCCAACAGCAAAGGCGTCAGCAGAGGGAATTGATGAAAGCTCTCCAGCAGCAGCAACAGCAGCAGCAGCAGCAGAAGCTCTCTGGTTGGGGGAATGTCAGCAAACCTGCAGGAACCACCAAGTCTCTTCTGGAGATACAGCAGGAAGAGGCCAGGCAGATGCAGCAGCAGCAGCAGCAGCAGCAGCAACAACAGCAGCAACAGCACCAACAGCACCAGCAAACAAACAGAGCCCGGAACAGCACAGTGGGTTCCTTTTCCTGAGTGTAGTCGTGGGCACTACTTTTTGTTTATCTTTTTGAGCTTTTCAAACTATCTTTTGAATGTTATTAACCAAAATCTTTTTTTTTTTTTCTTGTGTTTTTAACAGCATTCCAACCTGCACACCAGCATTGGGAATTCTGTCTGGGGCTCTCTAAACACGGGGCCTCCTAACCAGTGGGCATCTGATATAGTCAGTAGTATCTGGAGTAATGCAGACACTAAAAACTCCAACATGGGGTTTTGGGATGATGCAGTGAAAGAGGTGGGACCTAGAAATTCCACAAGTAAAAATAAAAACAACGCCAGTCTCAGGTAGGGCTCGTAATGATTACACCTGTGTACCTTGATTTGTGGGAGGTGAGAGAGCAGTGGAAGGTGTTAGATACAGTTTTTATTTACAGTTTCATCTGTGCCCAAAAATGTAAGTTTTAATTGTGGTGATTGCTTTCTACCCAGTGAAACACACGTGTTGTTCCTTGGGCTTGTCTTACTGCTGAGGACTTAACCCCCGCCTACTACATGGCGACTGCCTGAAAATAATAATAATAGAATATCTTTGTTGTTAACATTTCTGCAGTGTTTTCTCTAGGTAACGGGGGTTTTTGTTTTTAAACGATATTTATACTATAATGAGCATTCCAAAAAATCTTCCATAATGGCCTTAAACTTGTTATATAACAAATTAGTTCTATTTCATCTTCCTCTTATTTCCTCAGCCAGTGTTGTTGAATGAGCATGGGTTTGTTGTTACATTCATGAACTCAAATGCAAATCCCAGCACTACCACTTAATAGCTGTGTGACCTTGGGCAAGAGAAAACCTCTTTTGGGCCTCAGTTCCCTCATGGGTAAAATGAAGATAATAATTTCATGAGTGTAGTTGTAAGGAAGAAACAAATACACATTAAATAGTAAAGTGCCTGGCATATAGTAAGTGCTTAATAAGTAGTAGTGTTGTCAGATTCTTTCTGATTAAATACTTAAAGTAAACACGTTAGTTTATTGAGCTTCTTTGCCAGGCACTGTTATGCTCCAGGCTGTGAGATTGTCTTCATTCCTTAATGTAATCCAAAAAAGTGTTGGCACCATTTTGCATATGAGGAAACTGAGGCTTAGTAAATTGAACAGCTTACCTAAGAACATGTAGGAAGAATTTCATTATTTTCTCAAAATAGAAGCCTTGTAATCTAGGATATTAGCTGAGGCTAGCTTTTAAGGAAGTATCCAATCAAAATATTTGAATTTTTGTCATGTATAGAATTAAGAATTGGCTTGCTGGACAGCTATCCAGTGTTGCCTAGACAGTATTTATGCTATTATAGTATAATCACATAGTAACAGTTTCTGGGAATATAATATCGCCCTATTGTTTTGCTTTAGTAAATCTGTAGGTGTGTCTAACCGGCAGAATAAGAAAGTAGAAGAAGAAGAAAAGTTGCTGAAGCTCTTTCAGGGAGTAAATAAAGCCCAAGATGGATTTACCCAGTGGTGTGAACAGATGCTTCATGCCCTTAATACGGCAAATAACTTGGATGGTAAGAATGGGGGAGGGAATCCCAGCATGTGGATAGACAGAGCAGGACCTACAAAGAGGTTGGTAGGTTGGAACAGTGAGCCAAAATAGAGATGAAACCTATGGGGACCAAGTCCTGCACTTTCCATTAAAATTTTGACTCCTGTAGTATTACTTATGAAAAAAGTCCTATAAAACCATGCTCAAATAGATTATGAGCAGTTACAAAAATGAAATGCCAGCTCAGCAGGCTGCCTTAAATAATGTACAGGACAAAGTAAGTTATAGTTTCCCATTACCCTTTTCATGGGAAACATTTCCCAAATACGTTATCATGTCTAAGAGAAAATTAAATGCCATAGTCAGGATCAAGGTCAGCCTGGCCAGTAAGGTACCAAAGCCATGTTCCCTTCCTGCTTTGGGAGATGATGGAAATTGTGATAGAGTAAGTATAGACTTGCTTAGTATGTGCTGAGACTGCAGAAATAAAGGTTGTAAACAAGCTGTTTACAGAGAGTTAGCTCCTTAGGTGGAAATGAATCCCAAAGATAACCAATGGTGATTGTTGATCATATTGAAGAAGGGATTGCCTTAGCTGCTAGACCAACTGGCCTAAAGCCGGCAATCTTTAACCCTGAAAAGTCAAGAATTGACAGGCTCCTTTGCAGAATTGCAACATTAGCTAAGAGTCTGAAGGCCTTCACAGATTTTCATAGTAGTAATGGCTGCCATCCATTAAGCACCTACCATGTGCTAGGCACTAGCTGGGCTAACATCGAGTTATCCCAGTTATTCATTTTTTTGCAGTAAAATTTGAAGATACCTTTACAAGGTAGGTGATATTATCCCCATTTTATAAATTAGGAAACAGAGGCTCAGAATGGTTACATACCTCATCAAGGTCACACAGCCAGCAAACTTCAGAAATGAATTTTAAACCCATGCCTGTCTAACTCTGGTGTTTGTGATTTTTTCCCCCTCTGAACCACACAATTTTCATTCTTCACTTGATGCTTTCTAAATTATATAGTACCCTAATTAATTACAAGTGAATCTTCACACCCCTCCCATCAACAGCAGATAGATAAATCTGTATCTTTAATAACTGTCATGGTAACTGATGTCCATCATAGTACTTAGTAAATTTAATTAAAGGAAAGAAGGAATGAATCCCCCAAATTACTTTAGTCAGTCTTTGTAACATCTAGTTTCCACCAACATAACATGCAGTGAAGTTGGGCGTGTGTGGTGTGACTTTGTTTGACACTGCTGTTTTGGATAATTTGAATACTGTGATGAGGCTCTTTCATCTGTATTAGGCAGATGTGAGTATCTACCCCAGAAGCTGTATAGCTTTCACATTTCTGTTAATGTCTGTGTCGATGTGGTGATCTGTTAAAACTTGAGGCTTGTTCTTTGCCCATGTGTTTATTTCATTGTTACTGTCTAATGTCCTCTCCCCTCTTGTATTGCAGTTCCCACGTTTGTTTCCTTCTTGAAAGAGGTAGAGTCTCCTTATGAAGTCCATGACTACATCAGGGCCTATTTAGGAGATACTTCTGAGGCCAAGGAGTTTGCCAAGCAGTTCCTTGAGCGCCGTGCCAAACAGAAAGCCAACCAACAGCGTCAGCAGCAGCAACAGCAGCAGCAGCAGCAGCAGCAGCAGCAGCAGGTATAAATTAACAATGTGTGCAGCCCATGTGAGTAGGAATCTCTGTAAATGTTGAGTAGCCAGAGAAATTAAAAAGGAATATTTTATTTTTATACATCCAGTGACCAAAACTTTTCAAAATGTGTGGCCTTAATCTTTTCAAAGTCTGTAAATGTCCAAATTAGCAAGGAGCAAATTGGGAGTTCAAGGTACTTTAGTCTGTTTTCCAATTCATCTGTTTTTTTTTTGTTTTTTTTGTTTTTTTTCGGATTGCAGATCCAAACATGACCCATAAAATTGTTTTTTTTTTTTAAAACTTGGTATCTCCTATATTTGGCAATGTTACCCTATATGGAGCATGATGGGTATTTCACATGCTGTTGATGGGGGGTGTGAAGATTCAGGTGCCATTTCTTCCTCATTGCAGCTCTGCTCTGTAGCATTATGCTGAAAACCTTTAACTCTACAGTGCCTTGGGTTGTGGTGACACCCCCAACCATAAAATTACTCTTGTTACTACTTCACAGCTGTAATTTTGCTTCTGTTAGTAATTGTAAATATCTGATATACGACTCCTGTGAATGGGTCGTTTGACACACAGCGCCCTCCTCCGCCCTCCCATAAGGGCTTGTGACCCACAGGTAAGTTTGAGTGACTAGGACACTAAGGGTACATTCATTGCCTTTATGGATTATGCTGGACTGAGTTGTGAGCCTCTCATTTACAGTATAATCAGTACATAATTTTGTCTTACAATCTTGTTTAGAGGCCTTCTTTGTATGTTGATTTATTAACATTGGCCCTTGCCAGTGCAGCTGTCGTTGTCACTTGTACGGACCTCACCTGTGCATCTTCTCCTAAGATGTGCAGTCTTCCTGTGCTCAGGAACATCTAATAGCACCCAAGCACTGGACTTGGAGGCTGGAAGTCACAAGAAGCACAAGGATGTGAAATCATTGTACTAGATGACTAGCCAGAGGAAACACCTACCTACCGGGTGTGAACTAAAGTTGGAAGGTGGATGATCCTTTGTCCCTCTTTAGGGGAAAGCATGTGCCTAGGATGGTAAAGAGTGTTTTGCCTTTCTGAGCATATGTATACTCAGAATGACTATCAAAAACAAACAAACTTAACAATTTGTTGAAATTTACAGATGTTGGATCTTTGAGGGTTGATAGTTTACATTTTCTGAAAGACAAATTGGCATAAAATACTCATATTCTACTAGTGATGGTAGCTTCTGGAGATGTAGAAGATGCATTGTAGCACAGAGCATTAGAGATCTAACTGTGCAGAGCAGACTTGGGTAAACTAAGAGGCACTGGCAGCTGTCTATACCAGAGCATAGTAGAACATATGTCTCAGGGCATTGCAGGAACAGATGGTATGAAATAGTGCAAGAAACACTGTACCTGGGGATGGTCTCCTCTGGGCTAAAACAGCAAGGAAATGCCCCCACATATGTGCCCATGGACCCTAAGCATGTTCTTCCACAGTGCTCTCTGCACTCCTCCTTTGGTGCTTCTGAAGTAAGTTTCTCTAATAAAACAATAAAAACAAGAGGATCAGTGTACTGTTTTATACTCTAACCAGTTGGCAGAAATTGGGGCAATATTTTGGGAACAAATCCCTTCTGGGATTGCCAGTATTGAATAACGTGTGTGACTGTAGCCTTTGATGGTATACTGCCAGCTGGTTCTCAACCTGTCCTCTGACCTGTGTACTGTGAGTCAGTCAGGTGCATGTTTTGCCATACTGTTGAGGCCTGTTGAGGTCAGATGTGTGTTGCATTTCTTAATGGATGATACAGACACTGTATCTGCTAGAAAACTTAGGATAGTCATTCTGGTATAGCCGAGTGAATGAATGCCTAAAGTTCCAGGAGGGACTTTATAGAGATATCAGGTATCAAGTAGAGTGACAGTTCAGTGACCCTCTCTCTTTTTGTATTGCCAGTACTGGCTTAGGCTTTTTTTTTCCTTAAGATTTATTTTTAAAATAACTCATGTGTACTTATGTGTCAATGAGTATGTGCACATGAATGCAGATCAAAGCATAATATACCCATGGTGCTGGCAGTTGTAGGCTGCCTGATGTGACTGCCAGGAATCAGACTCAGATACTTTACAAGAATAGTTTGTACTCTTAACTGCCGAGCCATCTCTCTAAACTGACTCTCGTGTGTGTGTGTGTGTGTGTGTGTGTGTGTGTGTGTGTGTGTGTGTGTGTGTGTGTGTATGTGTGTGTGTGCGTGTGCGTGCGTGTGCGTGTGCGTGCGCGTGCGCGTATTTGAGCACATAGGTATATGCACCATATGGAAGTAACAAATACTTTTTGGGACTGGGTGGTGGTGGTGCATGCCTTTAGTCCCAGCACTTGGGAGGCAGAGGCAGGTGGATTCTGTGAGTTCCAGGCCAGTCTGGTCTACAAAGCTACACAGAGAAACCCTGTCTTCCCCCCACCCACCCCCCCAAAAAAAGAAATACTTTCTACTTTTGGGAGTTGGTTCTTTCCTCCCACTGAGTTCTGGCCATGAACTTAGGCCATCAGACTTCTGTGGCAATTACTTTTGCCCTATGAACTATCTCACCAGGATTTTTGTTTGCAGACTCACACTTGAGAAGGAAAGGCAAGCCAACCATTTTCTTAAAGCAGTCCACATTCATATGTGCTGTATAATTGTAGTTGTGCTATTTTGTTTCTTGTTTCACAGGACTCTGTTTGGGGCATGAACCATAGTACACTCCATTCGGTATTTCAGACCAATCAAAGCAACAACCAACAATCCAATTTTGAGGCTGTGCAAAGTGGCAAGAAGAAGAAAAAACAGAAGATGGTTCGAGCAGATCCTAGTTTATTAGGTGAGAATAGGCCGGGAGTCTCAGCCTGGATGGGAGGAAGGTTTGGGTGATGCGAGTAACCAGGTAAATCATAAATCACTACTGTCTTTATGGTAAAGATTAATTTTACTTACTGGCCTTAAGAGAAGTAGCTAGTATTTCCTGGGCATGTAGGTGCAGGAGATGCACCTCATGTGCTGGGACAAGCAAACTAATAGTATTATGGTCCTTCAAACTTTAAAGCATTGCTTGCCTTTTTTTTTTTTTAATATAATTATTTTAAATTAGAAACAAGCTTGCTTCACATGTCAATCCCAGCTCCCTCTCCCTCCTCACTTGCCTTTCTTACAAAGATAAGGATAACAGGTGGCAGTAGAGCCTGTTCTCAAGTTCTGCTGCTGGTTTGTGCTGGAAGCAGATATTCAAAGAAGCAGCACTTGTTCCATCCACTTGTATGGATACTGGGTGATTGCACTGCTAGGGCGCCCAGTTCTCCCGGCCAGCGAGCTGGGCTTCAGGCCTCCGCCACTCTTCTGTGGTGAACACCTCCTTGTCTGGTACTGAGGGCTGTTGTCTTCACACACAGCAGCCTCCTAGAAAAGCAGACTCCCAAATTAGGGCTTTAAAAGACTGGTGGGAATGGTGGGGACTGGTATTTCATAAGTAATGAATATAAGTTGCTGTTTCTCAAATTGGCCCAACAACCGCACAAGTAGTGATGGAAAATGAAACTCTTTTCTATTTTTAAATATGAAGGTAATATACTTGACTGTCATAGAGCCCTTATTTAGAGCATTAATATCAAACACAGGTTGAAAAGTATAAAATCTGAAAGAAATAGGTGAACAGGCTTCTTTTTTTTTTTTTTTTTGGTTTTTCGAGACAGGGTTTCTCTGTTTTGGAGGCTGTCGGTCCAGCCTGGCCTCGAACTCACAGAGATCCGCCTGCCTCTGCCTCCCGAGTGCTGGGATTAAAGGCGTGCGCCACCAACGCCCGGCATGAACAGGTTTCTAACTGTAGCTCTGGCCAAGAAGTCCTTAGGACTTGGCTTACAGGTATGAGAGGTTGCTCTGCCGATGTGGCCCAACTGTTTATGTTTGCTGTCTGCCATGAACCCCAGAAGGCAGGGACTTAAACATCTCTCAGTTCCAGTGTGGGAGATAGATGGGTAGGTCTTCTTAGAGCTCAAAGGCTCCATTATTCTGAAGGGAGGACAACCAGCACTTAAAGGACAAGAAACTTGACCATGAAGTGCTGAGGGGACTACTTGGGCGAGTGAGCTTTCCATGTGAAAACCACTTCCTACTTAAGCCTCTTTCTGGAGAGTCCTGTGTTTATTCACTTTCATGTGTTACTAATCAATGTATATATTCTGTGTAAAGTTACAGAATTAGAAAAGTTTTCCATGCACATACTGGATGAATAGCTTTCGGCTGGATCTAGAAGTATCCATTGCAAGAGCAGATTGAAAGGGAACTTTAATTCTGAAACAAACCAACAGAGGGAGCCCCAGCCTCGTTTCACTTCCCAGTGTCCTTCACTCTACTGTGATCATACTAATTTTAAGGGTTCCAAAGTAGCCAGTGTAAGCCATTTGGGGGTGATAATACACACCTAGCAGAGTCCTCCTGGGAGGTTGGGCTTCCCTTTCCTACAGAGGATCATAGTCCTAAAGAAGTCATGCGAGGGAGTGTTCTAGACCTAGGAGGAAGTGGTCTGTGGTGCAGCTGAGAGGACAAATCCCCCTTTTTGTTGCCTTACCTTTTGTGGCACCCACAAGGCTGTTTTTTGTTGTTGTTTGTTTTTTGTGGCGTTACGAGGCTGAGCTTTGAAATCAGTTAAGTTAGACCATGTCTTCTAAACAGCCTCTCATGGTAATCAGGAGATTATAACATCAGATAACCGTTATTTCTTCATAGGCTTCTTTTCCTGTCTTGATTGAAATTAGTTGGTTTTAAAATTACATTTCTTGTTCTGTTGCATACCGCTCATTGTTTCCATTACATTTCATTTGTTCTAGACATGGAATCAGATAACCCTGATTCAGAATAGAGTGAATAGCTCATTTCATAGATTATTGGTTTTTAAATTTACCAAATAAAACCTTTACCTCAAACATATGAACACTAAGTCTTCAGTATTTCCAAGGGAAAAAAGGTCTTGTGGGTGGGTTATGGGTTGGGACATGACAGCAGCTTGTCCCATGGCCTTCTTGGTTAGTAAGCAGGCTTATTTATTTTTTCAAATCTTATTTTTGAGTCTGTTAATTAAGCTATTTTGTTATGTAAGGCATTTTTTGTTTGTTATTGGAACATTTCAAATGTGTATTTATTTGAAAATTTTAACACTGAAGTACAAAACTGAGGGTGTGAAAAACCCACCCAATACCAACAACTTTGTTGGAGTGGATGGCGCCGCCTGTTTGCTTTTGGTTTTCAAACAGCTGCTGAAACAGTTGAGAATTCATCTAGAGTAGAGGAACTGGGAAACTTTCTGGGAGTCGCTCACCCAAAGAGGCCTACTCACTAAATTTTTATCAACTTGTGATTATGGATTTCATTGGAAAAGTTCTTCCACATGGCCACTAGCATTAGGTGTCATGTGTCATGTGTCCTGTTAGTGATGCTTCTCCTATGCTGACTCCATTCCAGTCTGATCAGAGGTGCCTTTCTGCATAGCTCTACTTGCTTACCTTTCTTCCTTCTGTCTTCCTCCAGTGCCCAGTGTACTGTAAATCTTAAGCACAAGAGGCTTGAGTCCCGCCAATTGCTTGATGGAGAGCCACTTGGCAGAACAGTCACTCACAAACTTACTTTCTTCTTGTAGGGTTTTCAGTCAATGCGTCATCAGAGCGACTCAACATGGGTGAGATTGAGACTCTGGATGACTACTGAGTACCTGCCGCTGTGCCAGCCTTCCTCCTCCTGCCTAGTGACCATGGATTCTCCTCGTTGGACACAACACACATTCACCATTTGCTCTCTGTCACTCTGCAACAAATCACAGAACCAATCATCTCAGGCTTTTTTTTTCCTAGCCCCTGGTGTCCAATTATTTTAGATCACTCTTGGTGAGCATCTCAGACTGTACCTAAGTGGACCAGACCCTTTGTCTTGGAGATGGCAGTTGGGATTGCTTCCCAGCAGGGCTGATAATTCGCAGCACACATTCACTGTGCGTTGATTTCCATCTACTGTCTCCTGAAAGTGTGTTGGAATCTGCCAATAGCAGGTTATTTTCTCTTGTCACTTTTTTTGTTCTGTTTGTTCCTTCTCCCCATGCCTCTACCCTGCCCCCAATACAGGCAGAGGGTCTTAACTGGTGCAGTCATGAAGAGAGTTAATGGTTATGAGACATTGGCCAGCAACAAATGCTCCCCTGGATGGTGACTTCACTATTGCCAGAGCCAGGCAGAACTCTGTCTGGAGATTGCATGATCATTGCTAACTTTGGGATTGCATCAGAGGCCTGAGGGGGTGGGTTGTAGACTGGCTTGTTTGATGTTGCACACCCTCACTTGTTCTTTCTGAATATCTTTCTGGAGAAAGGATTCATGTTTTCTTCATTAGGTAATGACTTTCCAAGCAAGCTGAGTTCTCCCCTGACATATTCCAACCTTACTGAACAAAGGAAACCCTATGGCCTGGGACAGGGACTTCTATTTTCCTTTCATATAAAAACTGATTCTCCCCCCCCCCATAAATATTTTTACTTCAAAGGACTAGGACCAGTTTGTTTTGGGCCCTTCTGTGAAAATTTGTCTCGTTTAAGAGGCATCTTTACCATATGTATGAATTTGTGTAATTTCAACTTGGATAGGGATAAACTTTTGCTTCCGATAAAAGCTGGGAATTTCATCTGTTCCTCAGAGCACCGTGTGTATGTTTTGCCGTGGCCCTGAAAGATTCTGTGTAAAGATTCTGGGATGGCACGCTGTTTGCCTTTTCTGAAAAGAGTGTACAAAACCTGACCATCTTTAAGACCTTCATCCGTGGAGACCTCTATGCAGGAGGATACAGTGGGATGAGGGGCATGGGCAAGAACAGGAGCAAGAGTCCTGCTCCTACCTGTTCACACCAAGTAGAGATGTACGCAAGCTCTGTTTATAGACAAACTGATGGCCTCCACCAGACACCTGTACAACATCACCTGGGATGGTCAGTCGTACCTCGAGGGAGCTGTGTGCCAGCTGTGCCTGTGCAAGAGGTGCTGTGTGCTGTGTGCTGTGGTGGGCAGCTTGTAGGTGAAGCATCTTTGGTCAGCAGTGCCTGGAGAAGGCTGGAGTTGCTCTGAGAGCAGTTTGGGTTTGGAGGATTATATTTGGTTTCTATTTTTATTATTTTGGATCACCACTCTCCCTATCCCTTCTTGCCTCGATCCCTCCTAAATGTGTACAATAACTATACAGAGACTGCTACAAACTTGTAAATAGTTTTTGGATCAAATAGCATAAGGAGCTGGGGGACCATTAAAAAGTGAGACTCCTACTTTCCTTTGCTTTGTAAATTCAAAGGGGGGTTGGGGAAGAGGGATAGTTTAAAATGTTTACAAAACTTTAAGCTCCCTCGGAACTTTTGCCAGTGTGGAGGAAAATAAAAGAACTTAAATGAAATGTGGTTTTGGTCTCTCCTGTACTCACCTCTCTTGAGGCTGAGGTTGGCTTGAAACTCTTGTTCTTGGTGTCAGGCACTGGTGGTGAGAAGGCAGCTGGGGTCCTCTCCCTGCGTGGAGCGCTGACTGGTCTGTGTTCGGGAAGGTAGAGGTTCAGATGAATGTGTTAAGTCTCCCTTTGTGCTAAACTCTGGCCTGGAGACTGCCTTTGAACCACAGACCCTCAAAATGCCCTTCCCTGAAACTTGTCCAACTCTTTTAAATCAAGCTGTGCTTTTTATTCCAGCGAGGTAAAAATAAATCTAAAAACAAAGTGGGAGCCTAGTGGACATACTGGGGGAACAAAGTCATTTTAGTTATGGAACATTCCATTTGCTAACCCTGGTTTTTTCTTCCCTGTTTGCTTCCCAGTTAGTGGAGAATACCACTCTTCTGGAGACCTTTTTCATCTTTCAATTGTGCTTTTTTTTTTTTTCATATTCTCTTTACTCACTCTTGCTTACAGTCACCACTCACCACCTTCTATAAAATTATTTCCTTCATTATTCCTCCGGGGTTCTTTAAGGGGGTGGGCAGTCAAGGAACTCTGGGCATGGTGTATGTTAAGCTTTACATTCTACCACCGGGTGACACACAAGCCCCTTACTAAGTTTTAAGCTCCTTTGGTAATTTGGAAGATTGGGTCAGAACTCTTACATATAACAAAATCTTAACTCTCAATTCAAAGAGGTACTCAATTTGCATATAATGTACAAATATGTCTTCCAGAATACTTTAAAATCATCTCTAGATGACTTGAAATGCCTCCGTTCATATGTTATATAAGAAAATAATAAGTATATATTGTGTTTATTACTTGTGTCATTTCCTCTGGGTAGTTTCCATCCTTGGTGGGCTTAACCTGACAGTGCAGAGCCTTCGGTGCTGAGAACTAGCTGTATGTGTTTTTTGTTGTTGTTGTTTTGTTTGTTTGTGTTTGTGTGTGTGTGTGTGTGTGTGTGTGTGTGTAAAGCAAACAAGTTTGGTAGCCCCTGTTCCGATCCCTATTGCTCTATAGAAAAATGTTGACAAATTGTCTTGTAGCAGGTACCTCATTGTGTTGGTAATTATGTGGTTGTGAGTTAGGGAAGGAATCATGATGACTGTTCAGATGTCAGCTGGGGTTGCTTGCTTTATGAAGGCTTAATGAGGTAGACCTTTCTGGATTGCCACTCAGGTAAGTAACTGACAGTTGGTTGCAGCAGGCTGGACCTCAGCTGATAGTTGCAGAAGCTGTTAACATTGGCTTTAGGGGATGGGGCTTGGCAGGTGGGGGTAGGTCTCCCTCTCCTTGGATTGCTTACTGTGATACTGTGTTTGATTCCAGGGGCAAGAACAAGGCCTGTCTCCCACCTTGATGGAAAGAGTGGCAAGGCCACATTGCCAAAGAGTATAGCCATTTGAAATACCAGCACAAAATGAGTTTATCCATCTCCATCAAGGACTGTTTTCATATTAAATTGGGGTGTGGGGTGTTTGTGCTTTAAATCTCTGGGTCATGATACTTCTGACACATTTGTGTGTACATGCACCTGCCACTGTAGATGTGTGGAGGTCAGATACTCTTGTCCTCAAGACTTAGCAGCAGGTGCCTCAACTCAGCTATCTTGCCACCCTGTAAATTTTTAGTGCAACCATTTTATTTATGTATGGTATGACTAATACACATAATAATACCACTTTTAAACATGGACACAATGGTAAATTTTTGCATTCCTCAAGATAAAAAAAGCCCATGTATGAAACTAGTGATGCTTTGAGATGAACATTGTTGTGCAGTGGGATTGTGAAGTAACGTTTCATGAAAGGAGCAGCTGGCTTGCGGTGCCAAGAGACACAGCCATGCACATCCCACACGAAAGTTGGCCATCTTACTGATGAGTTTCTTAAGACCCCAGTGAAAGTCTAATTGGTGCTGTCTTTGGCACTTGACTGGTTAATTCTTGGTATCCTAATTTGCTTCTCTTTTGCTATGATAAAACAACTAACTAGAAGAGGAAAGAGACTATTTATCTTAAAGCCCCTGGTACAATTTATCGTTGAGGAGAGTCAGAAGGAACTGTTGACAGAAGTTTCTGTCCTGTCCCGGTCCCACAGCTGTTTAGTTCCAAATAAATATACAAAGGCTTATACTAATTATAAACTGTTTGGCTGATGGCTCAGGCTTCTTATTGGCTGCTCTTAATTATTAACCCATTTCTATTAAACTATGTATTGCCACGAGGCTGTGGCATAACCATAATGCTTCATCTTGTTACTCCTTTAGTGGCTACATGGCAACACACTCTGCATTTCTCCTCCCAACCTTCTCCTAGTCTGGTAGACCTGCCTATACTTCCTGCCTGGCTTAATCCTGCTTCCTGTCTGGCTTAATCCTGCCTGTCCATTGACTGAACAGTTTTATCCATCAACCAATAAGAGAAACATTCACAGCATACAGAAGGACATCCCCCATCAGAACCTGGAGGTAGGAACTGACCAATCTGATAGAGGCATTTTCTCAATCATATTCCATCTTCCAAAATGACTCAGGTTTCTATCAAGTTGACAAAACTAACATGACCTACAGGCCAGTTTGCAATTAATAGACTTGAGTACATAGGTGAGGTGCAGCATCTCAAGTGGGGGTAACCACTATTTCAAATGTCTTAAGTTGATGCAGGGAAATTTAACAGTCTCCAAGGCAATGTAGTATGGCTTCCAGAGGTCTCCATTTTAGCATAAGCTTCTATTAACCCTTCCTTCCTGTCTTGTCTCTGGGACTGCAGTACTCGCTTGGGATCTTGGGTTGCTATCAGACTTTTAAGGCAGCTAGATGTGTAATAATAATTTTCAGATGTTTGGTTCCCTATGAGTGTTGATCATATATAGTGTCTTGTAATGTTAGTTGTATAGAAAGCCTAAACCTGCTCAATGGAATTTCATCCATAAGTTTGTCAAATCTATCCCCAAGGCAGTGTGGCATGGCTTCTAGAAGATTCCATGTTAATATTAGCCTCATTATAACTCAGTGTCCTTACCTGTTAGATTGTTTGGGGGTAGGGTATTGGCCCAGGTCATCTTGGGAACTTAACAGAACCAGTCCTGTCAGGGACCCCTACAAGCTTCAACTGGTAGGGAGAGATCCATGGTAGGTGAAGAATGAAACGAGTCATTATCATCTTTACAGGCACTGGATTAAAAGTTCAGACCATTTGATTTATTCTTACACATTTAAGTATAGTAAAACTTTGGGGAAAGGTTTCCATGTGACAGTTCACAAAAGAGCTTTAGGCATAGCTACATAGAAACTCCCTAGCAAAGTAACAAAGCACTTGTGACATTAGCAATGAGAATGAGTTCTATTGACTGATAGCAGAGCTCAGGGCCAGGATCTGAGGATGCATAAATATAATACTAGATTCTTTTGGTGCAAGATGCAAAGTTCTAGTCACTGAGAGACAAAGCTCAGGAATAGGGCCTAAACAATACCCAGGATTTAGGAAACCTGACTCCATTGAGTAGCAAAAAGATCACCAGGTTGTTGGACATTTACTCCCATCTTCAGGGTGAAAAGGTATCATTTCCTTCTCTTGAAGAAAATAGAAGCCTTTGTGTTTAACAATTATGGATTTTCTTTTTTAAAGAGTTATATTTATTATATATACAGTGTTCTATCTGCATCTACCCCTGCAGGCTATCATGTCATTGCTGGGACTTGAACTCAGGACCTCTGGAAAACCAGCCAGTGCTCTTAACCTCTGAGCCATCTCTCCAGCCCCCAATTCTGGATTTTCTAATGCTTTCTGTGAGCTGTACCTCCTACAGAGTTCATGTCCCAGAATTCTAACCTGGAATGGGGTCCTATGCTGGTGTTCAATATTCATAGGATTCTAAGTGAGCAATCCCCATGACCAGCTGCTCCAGAGCTTCCCTTCAGCTCCATCCTTCTACTGTGAATGAGTGTGTGAGCTCTCAGGAAAGGGACTGCTGGTCCTTGGGTTCTTAATAATGCATGTTGGACCACCTTTCAGTTTCACTGAAGGGGACTCAGTGCTCTAGATTACTGTGAAGAGTCATGATGACCAACTCTTATAAAAGCATTTATTAGGGGCTGGCTTACAGTTTCAGATGTTATCAGTGCAGCAGGAAGCATGGCAGCATGCAGGCAGACATGATGTTGGAAAAATAGCTGAGAGTTCTACATTTGGATCCAGAGGCAGCAGGAAGAGAGTCAATGGGCCTGGCTTGGGCTTTTGGAATCTGAAATCCTACTCCCAGTGACATACTTCCTTCAAAAAGGCCACACCCACTCCAACAAAGCCACACTTCCTATTCTTTCTCAAGCAGTGCCAAATCACTGATTATTAAACATTATTAAACAGGGGTCATTCTTAACCACAGAGACTCAAGCTGAAATGCAATAATTGTGTCACTTATGTACAGGGGCAAATACCTTCGTGGACTTGAATCACATAAAATGAATCTGAAGCAGGTCAGGGGCCCATCATGAAAGACAAGCTAGTTTATGAAGTCAAATAAAAATGGAAGAGACATTGGCGTTAGATGTATTAAGAGCAGTCTGGAGGAGGAAACTTCACTCTAAAAGATCAATAGACTGGGATGCTCCTGACATGCAATTTTCTTCCAGTTGCACCTAGACATGTATCAGGCAAGCAGGTAAGAGAACTGCTTCCAGACTGCATCCCATCCCTGCCACCCACTGAACTCTGCTCCTCCAAGACCTATTCTGCTGCCCAGCCCCATAAGCCTCAACATTCTCCCCATAGCCAGCCCATTTCCACAACCCTAGCAGACTATATAGGCACAGGTGCAAAGTATACCAGTTGGAAGAACAGGTGAGTGACTGACCTCCTAGCTAGACTGCCCCAAAGTACAGGCCCTAACTAAACCACAGGGGCACACCCCATGCTCCTCCCTGTCCCCACATCTGGTGGAATACCACTGCTTTGATGCAGCCCC